ACTTGACTTTAATAGGCGACTTATGTCAATGACGGTCATTTTTCCATCCCTTCGCTCTTCCTGTCGCTACAAGCTAAACGGCACCATTTTGGCGCTGCCAATCAATGGTGAAGGTTCCAGCTGGTTTGACTGGAGTAAGACCAAATTTTTCTTTTTCGTAGACGTAATTTTTTGTTTTAGCTAATTTTGAAGTGTCTTTTAACGTCAGGTACGGAGAAGTTGTTAAAAATAATAAAACGTATGTGGAAATTTCTACATGTAAGGTAAACGGAGCACCTGAAGACCTTCGCATTAAAATCGATAATCTTTTTAATGGGGATAAAGAAGCTGGCGACCGCACTAATCGACTTTTGAATGACAATTGGAGAGTACTGTATGAAGATATCAGTGGTGATTATTTGGAGATTCCTTGCTTTCTTTTTGTGAATGTAATGGGCGGGTTTTTTTCAAGAGTCTCACTTGAAGAAATGTTCGACTAATTTAGCTAAATAAATAAAAAAGCGTGTTTTCTATCAATTATTTTTTTTTCTATTTTGTGTCATTTTGTTAATCAAAATTGTACAATTTTTCGAATTTTCGGTTATTCGGGTTTTCAATTTTCGGTTGCCCAATTTTTCGATATTTGAGTTTTAGGATTTTTCAGTTTTTCGACTTCTCAAGGTTTCGATAATTCAGTTTTGGGATTTCTTGATTCTTTAATTTCTCGATTTTTTTAAATTTTCGATTTCTCGATTTTTTTAGTTTTCGGTTTCCCAATTTTCTGATATTTCAGTTTTACGATTTTTCAATTTTACGATTTTTCAATTTTTGATGTTTCCAAATTTTGGATCTTTTCGATTAACTATGGATGAGTCGATTTTTCGGCTTTTAGATTTCTGGATTTTTGACTTGTCAACATTTAGATTTTTCGATTTTTTGATATCCCGATTTTTCAGTTTTTCAATTCTTCAATTTTTGATTTTTCACTTTTTCAAATATCTCTTATGATTCTTTTAAAATTAAAAGTAGCCCTAAAGATTCTTGCAAAATTTTTCGAAAACGAAACACAAGAAGCTCTAAAGATTCTTTGAAACTTTTCAAAAACGAAGCACCAGGAGCCTTCAAGAGTTTTTTAACTTTTTCGAAAAAAAAACACCAGGCGCCCTCAAGATTCTTTTAAACTTTTTCGAAAACGAAATACAAGTAGCCCTAAAATTCTTTCTCAATTTTTTGATAACGAAACACGAGAAGCTCTAAATATTCTTTTAAACTTTTTCGAAAACAAAAGACCAGAAGTCGTCAAGATTGTTTAAAATTTTATGAAAACAAAACACCAGGAACCTTCAAGATGCTTTAAAAATTTTTCGAAAAAAAACACCAGGAACCCTCAAGATTCTTTTCAACATTTTCGGAAACAAAACGCCAGTAGCCTTAAAGATTCTCACAAAATTGTTAGAAAACGAAACGCCAGCAGCCCTAAGATTCTTTCAAAATTTTTCGACAACGAAACACGAGGAACCTTAAGGATTCTTTTAAGCTTTTTCAAAAACGAAACACCAGAAATCTAAAGATTCGTTCAAAAATGTTTGAAAACGAATTACGAGGAGCCCTCAAAAGTGTTTAAACTTTTTCGAAAACAACACATCAGGAGCCCTTAAGATCCTTTTAAAATTTTTCGAACACAAAAACCGGGAGCTTTCAAGATTCTGTTAAACTTTTCCAAAGACAAAATATCAGGAGCTTTTAAGATTATTTAATTTTTTTTCCAAAACTAAACACAAGTAACCCTAATGATTCTTTCAAAATTTTTCGAAAACGAAACACGAGGAGCACTCAAAATTATTTAAAACTTTTCGAAAACAAAAAAACAGGAACCTTCAAGATGTTTTTAAAAAAATTTCGGCAAAAAACTCTAGGAGCCCAAACAATTCTTTCAAAATTTTTCGAAAACGAAACGCGAGGAACACTAAGGATTCGTGTAAACTTTTTCGAAAACGAAACACCAGAAATCTAAACATTCTTTCAAAAATGTTTGAAAACGAATTACGAGGAGCCCTCAACAGTTTTTAAACTTTTTAGAAAACAAAACATCAGGAGTCCTTAAGATTCTATTAAAATTTTTTGAAAGCAAAACACCAGGAGCTCTCAAGATTTTGTTAAACTTTTTCAAATACAAAATTTCAAGAGCTTTTAAGATTCTTTTCAACTTTTTCCAAAACTAAACATAAGCAGCCCTGAAGTTTCTTTCAAAATTTTTCGAAAACGCAACACGAGGAGCCCTAAAGATTCTTTTAAACTTTTTCAAAAACGAAACGTCAAAAGCCTTCAAGATTTTTTTAAACTTTTTCAAAACGAGACACCAGGAGCTCTTAGGATTCTTTTAAATTTTTTCGAAAACGAAACACTAGAAGCCTCTAAGATTCTTTTAAGCTTTTTCGAAAACAAAACACCAGGAGCCCAAAAAGTTCTTTCAAAATTTTTAGAAAGCGAAACACGAACTGCCCTAAGGATTCTTTTAAGCTTTTTCGAAAACAAAACACCAGGAAAATTAAAGATTCTCTCGAAAATGTTTGAAAACAAATTACGAGGAGCTCTCAAAAGTTTTTAAACTTTTTCGAAAACAAAACACCACGAGCTCAAAAAAATTTTTCAAAATGTTTCGAAAACAACGCCAGAAGCCCTAAAGATTCTTCCAAAATTATTAGGAAACGAAACACCAGGGGCCCTCAAGATTCTTTCAAATTGTTTCGAAAACGAAACAGCAGAAGCCCTAAAGATTCTTTCAAAATTTTTCAAAAATTAAACGCCCGGGACACTGAATACTCATTTAAGCTTTTTAGAAAACGAAACATCAAGAGCTCTTAAGATTCTTTTAAACTTCTTCTAGAACAAAACACTAGAAGCCCGCAAGATTCCTTTAAATCTTTCGAAAACAAAACACCAGAATCCCAAAAATTTTGATCAAAATTTTTCGAAAACAAAACACCAGGAGCCCTGAAGATTACAATTTTTTTGAAAACGAAACATCGGGACCTCTCAGGATTCTTTCAAATTGTTTGGAAAACGAAACAGCAGGAGCCCTAAAGATTATTTCAACATTTTTCGAAAACGAAACACGACGAGCCGTAAAAATTCTTGTAAACTTTTTTGAACACAAAACACCAAGATCTCCTACATTTCTTTTAAGCTTTTTCGAAAACAAAACACCTGGAGTCCTTAAAATTCTATTAAAATTTTTCGAATACAAAAACCAGGGGTTCTCAAGATTTTTTTAAATTTTTTTGAAAGCAAAACACCAGGAGCTCTCAAGATTTTGTTAAACTTTTTCAAATACAAAATTTCAGGAGCTTTTAGGATTCCTTTCAACTTTTTCCAAAACTAAACATAAGTAGCCCCAAAGATTTTTTCCAAATTTTTCGAAAACGAAACACGAGGAGCCGTAAAAATTCTTGTAAACTTTTTCGAACACAAAACACCAAGATCTCTTACAATTCTTTTAAACTTTTTCGAAATCAAAACACCAGGAGTCCTTAAGATTCTATTAAAATTTTTCGAACACAAAAACCAGGGGCTCTCAAGATTCTTTTAAATTTTTTTGAAAGCAAAACACCAGGAGCTCTCAAGATTTTGTTAAACTTTTTCAAATACAAAATTTCAGGAGCTTTTAAGATTCTTTTCAACTTTTTCCAAGACTAAACATAAGTAGCCCTAAAGATTCTTCCAAAATTATTAGGAAACGAAACACCAAGGGCCCTCAAGGTTCTTTCAATTTGTTTCGAAAACGGAACACTAGAAGTCCTAAAGATTCTTTCAAAATTTTTCAAAAATGAAACACCCAGAGTACTGAATATTCATTTAAACTTTTCGAAAACTAAACATCATGAGCTCATAAGATTCTTTTAAACTTGTTCTAGAACAAAACATCAGGAGCCCTCAAGATTCTTTTAAATTTTCGAAAACAAAGCACCAGGAACCCTAAAGATTTTTCTAAACTTTTTCAAAACGAAACACCAGGACCTCTTAAGATTCTTTTAAACTTTTTTGAAAATCAAACGCTAGAAGTCTTAAAGATTCTTTTAAACTTTTTTGAAAACAAAACACTAGGATCCCTCAAGAATGTTTTCAACTTTTTCGAGAACAAAATACCAGGAGCCATCAAGATTCTTTTAAATTTTTTGAAAACAAAACAGGATTTCTTAAAATTCTTTTAATCATTTTCGGACACGAACACCAGGAGCCCTCAAGATTCTTTTAAACTTTTTCGAAAAGGAAACACCAGGAGCTGTAAAGATTCTTTTAAACTGTTTCAAATTCGTGGCACTAATGCACATTTTTAAAAACAAAATGAATTCTGTGATAAATTCAGTAAAATTTTGTAGTTTTTTAAAATTAAAAAATGTGAACCTTATTTATTTTACATAATGTTTAGTTTCGGCTAGAGTTTAATTACATTTGTTCTCCCACCATTTATTTCAAAAATATCTTGTTTTACTTCCCGAGCATTATCTAAATATTGCAATAGAGTCCGCGGAGCAAGTGACTACTTTCATGTTTTCTCGACGTTTCGCAACCCCAAGATTTCGAAGATAATCTCCGAAACTACTGGATCGGTTGTCGTCAAATTTATTATACGCAATTTAAGAAGTATCGTGAACATGGTATTGTCATAAAAGTCAGCCAAAATATCGATTGTATGAGCAGTAACACCATCCTGCTGAAAGCAACTAACTCATCATCACCCAGTTGATTTAAAAATGGAGTTAAAATTTCGTCACGGTATCTTGCAGCATTTATGAGTCCTAAGAAACTTTTTACCATCAGAAAACTGGACCAAAAATTCTGGTTTTTCGAGGTGGTCATCCGGATCTAGAGTACTTATAAATAATTGACAGTATTGAAGTCGTTGAGGGAAATGAGAGAACTTTTTTTGGAATCATATTCACGATATCAACAGACAAACCAAATTTTGCTTTATTTAAAACTTAAATTGTATAATAAGTATGTAGATTGCATGGATAAAGACATTGACAAATATTTATTTGTTGTAGAAATACAATCCAAACTTATATTACACTAGCATTGACTACCTCATCAGAAAATTCCGCGTTGTCTCTACTCTGTACCGCATTTTCGCCGTCACTGGACTCAGCTTCAGCATTCAAATCCTCCTCGTCGTAGCTCCTTGCGGACTTTTTAAACACGACATTGTACGAGGCTTTAAAATATTTATTTTTTCGTCCTAGCAAATAAACAACGACAATCGGACAACTGTAAGCCAAAAACTCCGTACTAAAAAGTAAAAACTCAACAAAAATAAAAAACGCCGAATGGTACCTAAAAAAATTATAATACAACGCGTAAGAACAGAGCAAAAGAGGCGCGTAACTAAACACCACGTAATTCGAGATATCCAACTCGTATTTAGTTTTTCGTTGATTTTCATTTAAGGGTGTTCTTCTTACAAGAACATTTATTATTATTAACACCACCATAAACGAACAATAAAGCGCAATTAAAAGATGGCTAGTGTGCACCCCTATTGGACCCATGCAATCGAAAGCAGCCACCCCCAACTTAATAAAACAAAACACGTAACATCCAATCACAAAATAAAGTTGAAAACGGGGAAATTTTTCAATCCAGTGTTGCCTGAAGTTTTCCACGAACCAGAACACCCCCAAAGCTGTACCAAAAACGAACACCAAAATGTACGTGGAGCTCGATAGCATATCGAGGATGCATAACACTCTCCAGTAGGAACTCCAGCTGCCGGTCGAAAAGACGATGATTAAGGTCATCAAAGGGAGCAACAGCATGTCGATTAAGCACCCTATGGCATAGTGCAGCAAAAACACGCTACTTTTCCTTCTCACTTTCTCGAATTTTAAGTACACGTAAACGAGAAATACGGACGCTCCGGCGGAACCCACACAAATCAAGAGTTTTGCGATTTCTACTATGACGTATAAAACTCCCGGGACGTTGACGTAGTGCGAAAATTCCGTAGGGTCGAGGTTGCCGAAAGTTTCGTCTTCCAGGAAGCTTATGTTTTGCATGGTAACCTGCAAGATGTGTTCTAGATGGAAGAAATATTGAGTGGGTACCGACCTTTTTCGCAGGAAATTTAGTTAAATGTGGATCAGTGGAGGGCTAAGCGGCTGCGTTAGCACTAAATGGATCGTCGCAATTTTGAGTGAAACCCAAGATGAAGCCATGTGGTTTGTTTTATGGCAAAGTAGAGATAAACGTGCATTTTTGTAGAGATTAAATGACTGATGTTTAGTGTGAAACCAGATGACCGATTTTTCCAAACTTTTAAATTAGATCTGCTTTTTAATTCCTAACGTCTAGGGTACGGAAAAATATGGATCCCGTTTCCGTTCGTCTGTCTGTCAGTCTGCCTGCCGTCTGCTCGGAATTTTTATATAATCTCCAAAACTACTGCACCAAGTGTTGTTAAATTTTATATGTGTATTAAGATATTAAGAATATCGTGCAGATATTCAAAATTTATTCGTTTATTATATCTTAAAGTTGTTGGGAGGATAGTAAATCGTTAATAAAAATTTGTCCGTCTTCTTACAATTTTGCCAAATAAATGGTCTTCAAATTTATGAGTGCTTCTGGGAAAAAAATTGATTGTGGTTAATTAATTAGTCTTCTCTTCAGCGTTGAGAAAACAATATCAAATTTCATTTCAGTTTAACCGCTGGTGCTTGTAATCTTAACGTGCTAATACTCGAATTTTTTGGAAGTATAAATATAAACAGTCGAAGTTAAGCATGTACTGAAAAATTGACAATAGGTATATACATTTTTGGAACGAAGTTCCTTACGGCAGGCTTGGAGGAGATAGGAATTTTGCTGCACGACCGAACTGAAATAAATGTGATCCTAAAACCGTAACGAAAACTCCGTGGAAAAATGGCCGCCTTACAAGTGTAGGTAAGCAGAGAAAAAATGTTGTGCCTCGTGGGATTCGAACCCACGTTTTCTTGCTCTCCGGGCAGGTATGCTGACCACTGCACCACGAAACGACTTATTTATACTCTGCTTACCGACGTGTTATTGTGCCGCCACACAAGATTGAAGGTCCGCACACGTGCAGCTGCCTTACAAAGACACCGCCAACACGTGGAGACCGCACCGACAAAATATAAAAAATGTCCTAAACACTTTTCGTTCTCTCATCCCTTCTCTCTCTATTACCACTCCACCCCGCCAATGCATAGTATATACTCATGAATTCATGGACAAACACGTGGCGAATACGCACATTATAGATACATTTTACTCGTGAGTAGCCACGTTTATTTTCATACAATTTCAAATCGTCAAAACAATAATAAATATAGTAACAATGGCAAAGCAGAGTATCAAAAAGCGTATAGGGAACGCGAAAAAGCTAAAAAAAATGAAAATAAGCAAGAAAGTTACGATATAAAGCAAAGATATCCTCTAAACTAGTGACAATATTTAAAAAGTTTATTGATTATTTTTTTAAATAATTAAAACAAATTCTCCCTTCAATTCCAAACATTTAAATATATATATATTTTTTGATAATTCTACCTATTTTACGTAATTTATTATTTCCTAAAATACTGAATTTCCTAAATATTTTCCTGTACTTAAATAAAAACTAATCAGCAAAATTTAAGAGAAAAATCAAGAAAACCTACATAAAATTGAGCACGTTTTTTTTTTGCAAATTGTGTCGATTCTACATTAACCGAAGGAACTTCGTTCCTACCTGGTGTCCCACGACACCACATTTTCTTTTTTTCCTTGATTATCTGTTTTAAATATACATATTTCACGTTATCCATATTTTATAACTATGCCACTAGTTTTTAATTTCTAGAAGTTACCACGAAACGAAAATTGCAAATTCAAATTTCATAATGTACACAAGGGCGAAGAAATATCTGCCGAAATAATTTTGGATTTTTTTTAAGATGGTGAAACCTCGGAGACCCCAAATGTTTTTTTTTAACGTAAAATCTTCTTGGGGGTCCCAACTGTTTTTTTAAGAATGGAAATTTTCTCATGGGCCCTAACTGTCTTTCAAATCAATAGAGAAATACTTATTTTGCAATTACGCTCCGTCCTTTGCTCTAACAACGAATGAAAAATTCATCACAATTGAGATCAGGGCGGGTGGGCGGGACTTAATCTTGTTTCATTTTCTTGTTGGCAAAAGAAGACTTCGTACATTAAGAAAAAATGGACCAAATATAAACCCCGCCCACCCACCCTTTCTAATTTGTGATGATTATTTTATTCATCGTGAACTGAAAGGCGGAGTTTAGTTGCAAACTCCTCATTTCTCTACAAGAAATTACCATATGAAATGTGTTTTTAAAAGGGTAGATTTTTTTAGAGAAATATTGATGTTACAATTAAGCTCCTGCCCTCGGTCTGATTAGGCATGAAAATCTCATCATAATTGAGACCGGGACGGAGCAAATTGGAAAACTGACGAAACAGAAAAAAGTGAAATTTAAAAAACAAAAAATTATAAAATCGGAACATTGAGAAATTGAAAAACTTGAAAAATAAAGAAAACAAAAAATTGAAAACTCGAGAAACTCAAATCGAAAAATTGCAAAATTTAGAAATCGAATTGAAAAATTGAAAAGTTAAATTTAAACTTCAAAACTCGAAAAAATGAACTGGTTTTTACTTTCTAGAGGTTATCAGAAAACAAAAATTGCAAAAAGAGATAAATTTTTAGAGAAGCGGAATTTATTTGGCTGCAGTTCAGGGGCGAGGGAAGTTATGTTGAAATAACCTTCGACCAATTTTTTTAGGAATGTGGAACCTTGTCAGGGGCCCGAATTTTCTTTTTTTTAAGAAAGTGAAAACTTCTCGGGGAGCCCAATTTTCTTTTTTTTTTTAACAAAGTGAAACCTTCTTGGGGCACCCAACTGTCTTTTTCGACAGAAGGTAAAACATTGTTGGGGCATCGGCTGTCTTTTTATAAGATTATTAAACCTTCTCAGAGGTCCCAACTGTTTTTTTTTTTAATGTGAAATGTTCTAGGGGAACCCCAACTGACCTTTTTTTAAAAAAGTAAAAACTTCCCGGAGGACCCAACTGTCTTTTATCAATGAAAGTGGAATCTTCTCTGTGGCCCGAATTTTCTTTTTTTTTTAAGAAAGTGAAACCTTCTCGAGGAGCCCAATTTTCTTTTTTTTAACAAAGTGAAACCTTCTTGGGGCACCCAACTGTCTTTTTCGACACAAGGTAAAACATTGTTGGGGCATCAGCTGTCTTTTTTTAAGATTATTAAACCTTCTCAGAGGTCCCAACTGTTTTTTTAATGTGAAATCTTCTAGGGGAACCCCAACTGACCTTTTTTTAAAAAAGTGAAAACTTCCCCGAGGACCCAACTGTCTTTTATCGAAGAAAGTGGAACCTTCTCTGTGGTCCGAATTTTCTTTTTTTAAGAAAGTGAAAACTTCTCGGGGGGGCCCAATTTTCTTTTTTTTTTACAAAGTGAAACCTTCTTGGGGCACCCAACTGTCTTTTTCGACAGAAGGTAAAAATTGTTGGGGTATCGGCTGTCTCTTTTTAAGATTATTAAACTTCCTCAGAGGTACCAACTGTTTTTTTTTAATGTGAAATCTTCTAGAGGAACCCCAACTGACCTTTTTTTAAAAAAGTGAAAACTTCCCGGAGGACCCAACTGTCTTTTATCCAAGAAAGTGAAACCTTCTTGGGGCACCCAACTGTCTTTTTCGACAGAAGGTAAAACATTGTTGGGGCATCGGCTGTTTTTTTTAAGATTATTAAACCTTCTCAGAGGTCCCAACTGTTTTTTTTTTAATGTGAACTCTTCTAGGGGAACCCCAACTGACCTTTTTTTAAAAAAGTGAAAACTTCCCGGAGGACCCAACTGTCTTTTATCGAAGAAAGTGGAACCTTCTATGTGGCCCGAATTTTCTTTTTTTTAATAAAGTGAAAGTTTCTTGGGGCACCCAAATGTCTTTTTCGACAGAAGGTGAAACCTTGTTGGGGCACCAACTGTAATTCTTTAAGAACATGAAACCTTGTCAGGGGTACCCAATTGTTTTTGAGAAAATGTGAAGTCTTCTAGGGGAACCCCAACTGACTTTTTTTAAGAAAGTGAACCCTTCTCGAGGGCCATAACTCTCGTTTTTTTGAAGAAAGTTGAACCTTCTCGGAGGCCCCAATTTTCGCCATTTTAAGAAAGGGAAACCTTCTTCGGGCTCCCAACTGTCTTATTTTTACAGAAGGTGAAACCTTGTTGGGGCACCAACTGTCATTTTTTAAAAATAAGAAACCTTATCAGGGGTACTCAGCTGTTCTTTTTAATGTGAAATTGTCTAGGGGAACCCCAACTGACCTTTTTTTAAAAAGTGAAAACTTCCCGGAGGACCCAACTGTCTTTTATCGAAGAAAGTGGAACTTTCTCTGTGCCCCGAATTTTCTTTTTTTTAAGAAAGCGAAACCTTCTTGCGGGGGCCCAATTTTCTTTTTTTTTTAACAACGTGAAACTTTCTTGGGACACCAACTGTCATTTTTTAAGAATATGAAACCTTGTCAGGGGTACCCAACTGTTTTTGTGAAAATGTGAAGTCTTCTAGGGGAACCCCAACTGACTTTTTTTTAAGAAAGTGAAACCTTCTCGGGGGGCACAACTGTCATTTTTTAAGAAAATGAAACCTTGTCAGGGTTTTTTAACTGTTTTTTTGAAAATGTGAAATCTACGGAAATCCCAACTGTCTTTTTTTAAAGATGGTGAAACCTTCTTGGGGGCCCCTACTGTTTTTTTAAAAATGCGAAATCTTCGAGGGGACTCCCAACTGTCTTTTTTTTGAAGAAATTTAAACCTTCTTGGGCGTCCCAACTGTTTTTTTTTTTAATGTGTAACCTTCTCGGGAGTCCTAATTTTTGTCTTTTTTAAAGATGGTGAAACCTCGGGGGGCACAACTGTCTTTTTTTAAACAATGTGAAACTTCGAAACCCCAACTGTCTTTCTTTTATAATGTGAAACCTTTTATTATTATTATTATTATTTAATTAAATTGCCCAACGGAGAAAATTCCATTTACAGGGCAGGTTAGAAGTAATGAATATTAACAAACAAGAAAACAAGGAAACTTACTTACTTTCTATATTGTTTTTACTCTATAGAGATTATCACAAAAAAGTAAAATTTCGCTAAATAAAATTTTATAATTTTTCAAAGATAACTTTCGACTTTTCAAAAATGTGAAACCTTTTCGGGTTCTCAATAGAGGTTATATCAGAAAAGTAAAATTTCACAAAATAAAATTTTATATAAGCAGGATAAGAAATATAGGTAATATATTACTTATATAGAAGTAATTCTACAGTGTGAGTTCTGGTAAAATTTGTGCGAAAAATGACTACCAAAATATTCCGAACTATGTATACTTCTGCTGTTTCATTATCATGAAATAAAAACCTATTATAATTATTATAATTAATTGCTCTTCGTGTTTGTTGGGTTCCAATAAACGTTATTTATTTAACTACCATTGCAAAAATATGCTTTTTATTATATTCTTAACATGCTCAGAAACCTAGAAATAAACAAGATCGATTTTATCAAGATAGGAAAATTCCGCCAAAATCCGCACTCCACACGCCATATCAAAGGTCAAACTGTCAAATTACAATATTTATCACCAATCACAGCAAAAAAATAGTTTTTATAGAATAATAATCAACAAAATCAATCACTCCTGACATTCGATAACATCCACACTTCCTCGAACGTCAAGCACGCCACTCCAACGTCACTCCTCAATCCCGCGAACAACACCGGCCCTTCGTCGCCCCTGCCTCGCTCCGGCCAAAATCGCGCCGAAAATCCGCCGTTGACGTCACGCGCACCTCCCCTCACCTCCCGCATTATGTAATAACGCTTCATTGAGCCGTTGATCACAATTAAAGTGTGTATGACACGACCAGCGACCGTCTCAATTGGATAATGCAGCAAAGTCAATTGGCAAATTACCCGGAGCCGTCTACGACGGACTCCTCGCCGTGCGCTCCTCTTCTCGTTTTGGTCTTTCGAGCCGGACGTGCGTCTCGCCTAGCGTCGTCGTCGTCCCATCGACAATTGCTGCCGTCTTTTCCTCAGCAGTTGTCGTCCGAACACGGCAAAAAGGTCGCGATTTTTGACATTTCGTGTCGAAAAGCGTCGTCTTCGCACGCGAGGCCTTGGCCGAAGAAAACGCGTTAATGATGATTGATGAGACGTCAATATGCGAGGCGCACTTCGGCGAAGCCGACCCCGAGGCCGTCGACAAGGAATGGGAAGAGTTCGCCAAATTGGTGGAAACGAAGAAGCAGAGGCAGGAACAGGCCTTCTATCCGTGCCCGGCGGAAGAGGATTACGTCAGCACTCTTGTAAGGAAAAGTCGTAAGCGGCGGGCAGTGGCGGGGCTTGCAGGTGGTTGGAGGAGGGTTTGGGTGGATTGTGAGGTTGAGGTCTTTCTAAATATATGGTCTTTTTTGGCTTTGTTGGCATACATTTTTTGCCTGAAGTGACGTTGAGGTTTGGTATGTGATAAAAGCTGAGTGTAATGATAAGTTGAGTAATTGGTAGAAAAGTGATGTGGGCGTTACCGCCCCCGCGCCACCATTTCCTGTCTTCAAATAGTGTGTATGTCTACCTACAGGTTTTTGGCAACTGGATTACGTAGTAGTAGTAGTAGTAAAGTGTATGATTATTTTTTGTTGTCATGACACTTTTGGTGCTATTCTTATGTATATTACTCAACTTATCACTAAACTCAGGTTTCATTTCATATTAAACTAAATAAACTGAACATTTTTTTGTTTTTCAAAGGCACCTTTAGTTGATATTTTGCTAATAATATATAGTCCAATCACTGGAAGAACAAATTGTTACAATTATTATAAACGTTAATCTCAAACCAGGGCTTATTTTGACAAACTACTTTTTCTATAAAACTGTCATCAAATTGTCATGTTATGTTTTAAATTAACTCCTGTTTTCAATTTTAAATCATTTTCAGTGTTGTATTCTTTTGTATCTTGTCTGTCGATTTCCATTTTTTTTTTCTTAAAAATTGTAAATAAAACTTTTTAACTCAAGATGTACGAAAATTTAAAAACATGTATGACTAACATAGAAAAAAACTTGTCACTGACAGAAAAATGCATTGTTTTCACACAGTCGATTACAGAAATTTCAAAATTGTTATTATAAGAATGTTAATGTCAAACCAAAACTTGTTTTCTTTTTTTTAGATCAGTTCATTTGATAAACAACTTTTTTCTGTAAAAATTTCATTTGATTATGTTTTAAATTAGGTCACGTTTTTAAATTTCAACCATTTTAAAAGTCAGCGAAATGATCAATACTAAAAATCAGCGAATTTAGGATTGAACACTCGGTGCAGAAATTTTTTTCTAGCGATTTCTTTCGTCAGTTTATCTAATTTTGTGTTAGAAATAGGGTCTGCGAAGGTTAAAAAAAACAAATTTCCAAAGAAATAAAAAATTGGTTACAATGAAAGTTTCACAATTTTTCAAATTTTAAACACAGTTTTCCCAAAATCTATTACAAAATTTTTGTTTTTTTAATCTTACGTAACATTTTTCTTAAGAGTTATATTCTTTGTATCTTATCTGTCTTTATCCACTTATTTTCTCGTAAAAATTGTGAATAATAACATTGATTGTCATCCTTTTCTTGCTATTTTTCTATATTTTACGTAAAGATTAATTAAAAACGGAGTTTCAAAAATCCAAGAAAAAATTAAATTAGCGAAAGCTCACACTACTGAAGATATACCAGAATTTAAAAAAATGTATGACCAATGTAGCAAACAAAAAGTAAAATGAGAGGAATATTAAATTAAAATTATACACTGTAGGCATAAAAATCGTATTGATGAGAAATTCCTGAAAACCCCTTAGTCTAATCTGAACTTTATTTCTTTTTATAATTACGCAAAATTCAAAGGCAGAAATCATAAAATTTCCTCAGTATTTTCTATAACTAATGTTTAAAACATAGCTGTTTTTCATAAGCGCCTTTAACTTCAAATTTTATTAACAACATATCGTCTCATTCATTAGGTCTCGCTGACAGAAAAATGTATTGTTTTTACACGGTTGGTTACAGGAATTTTTCAAAATTATTATTATAAATGTTACTGTCAAACCAAAGCTTAATTTCTTTTTTTTATATCAGTTCATTTGATAAACAATTTTTTTCTGTAAAAATTTCATTTGATTATGTTTTAAATTAGGTCTCGTTTTTAAATTTAAACCATTTTAAAAGTCAGTGAAATGATCAACACTAAAAATCAGCAAATTTAGGATTGAACACTCGATACAGAAATTTTTTTCTAGTAGTGATTTCATTCGTCAGTTTATTTAATTTGTGTTAGAAATAGGGTCTGCGAACGTTAAAATGAACAAATTGCCATAGAAATAAAAAATTGGCTACAATGAAAGTTTCACAATTTTTCGAATTTTAAACACATTTTTTCCAAAATCTTTTACAAAATTTTTATTTTTTTTATCTTACGTAACGTTTTTCTTAAGAGTTATATATTTTTTATTTTATTTGTCTTTATCCACTTTTTTTCTCTTAAAAATTGTGAATAATAACATTGATTTTCATCCTTTTCTTGCTCTTTTTCTATATTTTATATAAAGATTAGTTAAAAACGGAGTTTCAAAAATCCAAGAAAAAATTAAATTAGCGGAAACTCACACTACTGAAGATATACCAGAATTGAAAAAAATATATGACCAATGTAGCAAAAAAAAGTTACATCGGAGGAATATTAAATTAAATTTATACACTGTAGGGTTAGAAATCGTATTGATGAGAAATTCCTGAAGACGAGTTAGTCTAATCTGAACTATTATTTCATTTTATAATCACGGAAAATTCAAAACAAAAAATCATAAAATTTCCACAGGATTTTCTACCTAATGTTTCCAAAATACTTTTTTTTCATAGGCGCCTTTAACTTGAAATTTTATTTACAATATATTGTCTCATCAGTCATCACTAGAGAGCGGATTTCTGTCGGGCTACGTCACGATTATTAGGTGGGGACGCGTGAATCGCTGTGAATCAGTAGCGGGTAATAATCAGTGCATTTAATTTTCACTTATTCCATAAATACAATTCACGAAACCTTAATTCGCAAAACAGCTAGGTAAATGAGAACGGGAATTAACAGCAAAGTACAACGAAGCACCGTTATTTTATTCGAAAATAGACGAAGTGCAGCTAGTAACTGCTCTGAATTCCCATCCCGCACGAGCCGTACCGAGTTTGGCCTTGCCAAGCCCGACAGAAATCCGCTGTCTAGTCATCACGTTTAACCGGCAAAAAATGGATCGTTGCATACACTCAGTTACAGTAATTCCTAAATTATTATTATAAATGTTAATGTTTTTATTTTTATTTTTTATGTTACGTAACGTTTTTCTTCAGACTCGTATTATTTTTGTATCTTGTCTGTCTTTATCCACTTTTTTCTTTTAAAAATTGTGAATAACTTTTAAACTTTTTTTTTCTGTCACTATTTATATGCAGATCCTTGTGGACAGGCGATCCAATTCTTGTGGGTCACCCATATAAATCCGATTACGAATATCTTTGCTTAACTCGCATTAGCGCCGGGACTCTATACCGAAATTTTCAAAAATCTCATTTTTAAAATTTGATCATTCAGCGGTACTCGAACTACGAAACCACACAATTTTGCAGCCAACTTAACCACGACAGTACCTCCTCGCGCCGTCACTGCACGTACCACGTGTCCCATCAATTAATCCGCGATACTCTTAAATTAAAGGCGTCTGGACAAGTGCCAACACTTCGTTTTTCCGAGCGATTTGAGTATAAACACACGTGTTTTTTTAATAGATGTATGGCCGATACAGTCGGCAGCTGGGGGAATTCGCCAAATTGGAAGGTCTGAGACAAGCCGAGAAACGAAGACTGAAGGAAGAAAAAGCTCGCAAGAAGGAGCTGAGAGGATACCAAGGTACATCCACCTCTCTCTAATTTTCTTCCTTTTGCTATGACTCTTCTTGCAGGTAAGCTGGCCAAAGCTGTGTCGTTCCTATGGAAGCACACATTCGCCCGTCTGGGCGAAGACTGGGTATTTTTGGCCCTGCTGGGTGTCATCATGGCCATCCTTAGCTTCATTATGGACAGAGGGATTTCGCTGTGCAATTGGGCGAGGATTTGGTTGTTCAACGACTTGCATGGACAACCGTTTGCCCAATATGCGGCCTGGATTTCTTTGCCTGTGTGTCTCACGCTGTTTAGTGCCGGATTTGCACATCTGGTGGCTCCACAGTCGATAGGTGAGCAATTGACGCAGTTACTGCACACTATAATCATAGCGTGATTGTTTAATATAATTGTTGTTTATTCTGGTTTGTTTGTTTTGGTGTTTGTCTTTTATTGCTGTTATTTAATTGTGCGAGGGTTCAATAGTACAAACGACAGTGATTTTTGCGAGAGTTGTTATTATAGAGAAACTTCTGAAATTCTTCAGACAAGAAATTGTCGATGATTTTGTTGGTAATTTTGCACAACGTTTTATTAATAGTAATTTTTCATCACACTCAATTAACTTCGGCTTAAATATAAACATTCGTAGTATCAAATCTATTATTGATGACGACATCTTTAATTCCATTGACACATTAAAACGTACTTTGTGGTGCTCCAGATGGTGTGGCGGCTCCTATGACGAATTGTGCTAATATTTTTATTTGTACGTGTATTTCAAAAATACCTTGTCTGGCCACACCTGGTTTTGTTTTAACTCATAGGAGTCTTCTATAATTGAGTGCTGAAAATGCTAAAGCGGTTATTCTTTGTTGTAATAATTTTTAGTTTTTGCTATGCTACTGACTGCGCCACTTTCAGGTTCGGGCATCCCCGAAATGAAAACTATTCTCCGCGGGGTCGCCCTCAAGGAATATCTGACTTTCCGCACCCTCGTGGCCAAGGTGGTGGGCCTCACGGCCACCCTCGGCAGCGGCATGCCCCTCGGTAAAGAAGGCCCCTTCGTCCACATCGCCAGCATCTCCGCCACCCTGCTCAGTAAGCTCGTCACCGGCTTTCAGGGCATCTACGAGAACGAGAGCCGCACCACCGAGATGCTCGCCGCCGCCTGCGCCGTGGGGGTGGGCAGCTGCTTCGCGGCGCCCGTGGGCGGCGTCCTCTTCAGCATCGAGGTCACCACCGTGTACTTCGCCGTGCGCAACTACTGGCGCGGGTTCTTCGCCGCCGTCTGCGGCGCCACCATCTTCCGGCTGTTGGCGGTAAGTCCCCACAATTCTTGAAACAATTAGAAACTTCCTGTTCGTCAGGTGTGGTTCGACGGCGCCGACACCGTCACAGCCCTCTTCAAGACCAACTTCCAGATGGAGTTCCCGTTCGACCCGCAGGAGCTGTTCGTGTACGCGCTCATGGGGGCCATCTGCGGGCTGGGGGGCGCCTTCTACGTGTGGGTGCACCGACAGTACGTAATGTTCATGCGTAATAGCAAGACCATCAACCGTTTCTTGCAGAAAAAGTGAGTGTTTTGTCGTTTTGTTGGCCACCAGTTGGCAAACGATGGAAATAGTTTGGGCGTTTTTCTAGTCGGTTCCTATATCCGGCCATCGTGAGTCTGCTGGTGTCGACGGTGTCGTTCCCGCTGGGCACCGGGATGTACTTCGCGGGGGACTTGACCACGCATCAGCAGGTCATGAACTTCTTTAGCAACTTCACGTGGACGCACGAGAATTTGACGGCCGACCAGCACAGCATGGTGAAGCACTGGCAGACGCCGCACTCGGGGGTCTTCGTCAGCTTGATCTGCTACGTCGCTTACACGGTGAATATTCACATTATATGACGTCATTCGACAAAAACGAGCTCGCTGCCATACACATCGAACCAACTTGAAAAAACCTCAGGCTTATGTAATCATAAAAAATACATAAGCCCAAAATCATGTCTGATCTCATAATGCACCATAATACGATAATGCACCGAAATCCCTTAATAATTAAAATTTTCCTAAATCACACTCAATAAAAAGATAAAAATAACAACCAGGGGGTCCGGCTAATTTTTTCAAGATTACATTTTCGCTTTATTCCCCACGATAACGCTGATCCTAGCAAAAGATTGATCATGCGTTATCCAACATAACGAGATTTTAATCGCCGGTTGTAAATCACCAAGACTGCGATGATTTAATTGCACCGGCTCGTTTACGTCTGCAAAATATGAACTTGAATATTGTTTGTGTTGGTTTCAATAAGCTGAAGACATGGCATGTTTGTAAATGCGTCAAACGATTGTTGTTAATAAGATCCGGCGATTTTTTCTAATTTTCATTGAAGCGTGATATTTCAGGCTGCCCTTACGTCGTGGTTAACCGCATTTTGCGTAAACAAGTTATAAATAAATATTATTTATGGGCGGTGTTTAGGTTCAGGTGCTATTAGATTTTTTGTGAGATTAAATGGTAAGGATGGCGGTATTTTTGTTTCTTTGTGCGGGGGATAGATGGGAATAGATTGAGGACGGACAGTTGGCGCTTGTACGTCATTTTTAACGACTGCAGTTTGTAAAAGTAAAAATAGGTGGATTGTATTAATTTACTGCAGTTATAAATGTGTCGAATACAAATTGGTACTAAATGCGTTTCGTTGTAGATTTATAGTCTAATTAGCTTATAAACACGCGTGTGCGTATTTAAATATACAAATGGTGAAAAAAAGTTAATTGAGTATTCACGATTTATTGCGATAAAACTGGCAAGAAACGTCGGATTAAAATGTTATTTTAAATCAACTATTATATTTTTTATGACAGCTCCAGTAAGTTTATATAAAAATGGACCAAAAGCCCCCAAGAGACTTTCAAGCTTTTTCAAAGAGATGCCGAGAATTTTTATAAATAAATAAAAACGCTAGGAGCACCCAAGATTCTCTCATAACCAGGAATCCCACGGACTTTTTCACATTCTTTAAAAAAAAAGCAAAATTTTTTCAAACGGATTAGGATACCCAAAATTCCTTCAAACTCTTTCAAAAATATAACACCAGGAGCTACCCAAATCGTTTTACATTTTTAAAAGAATATATTCGAGGCTCCCAAATTTCTTTCATATTCTTAAAAAAAAAGTTTCGATAGGGCGCCGATTTTTTCTTTCCCATTTTTTAAAATAAGGCACCTCATTTCCTATCCTCCCCCCTTTCAAATTGGTTCAAACCCTTTCAAACACAACACATAAAGGGCACCAACATTCCTTAAAAAAGATGCTGGAGGCCTCCAAAATTAGTTCAAGCCTTTTCAAAACCAAAACATGAAGTTTTTTCAAATTTTCTCAAAAGTAAAAGCCCCAAGGTTCTTGTAGATTAAAAAAAGGACACTAGGGGGCGCCAAGTCTATTTCAAACCCTTTCTAAAATAAAACGCCAGGACCTCGCCAACAGGGGTTCCTGAGGTTCTTTCAAATTCTTTCAAAATAAGGCCCCCAAGCTCTCAAAAACAGTAAAAAATGAATCAAATTCTTGAAAAAAAAAAAACACTAGGGGTCGAGATTTTTCCAAGTGTCTACCAAAAACAAAACAAAAAATTAAATTGTTATTTATTGTTAAAATAAAAAAAACTAGGCCCTCCAGCACAGTTTCAAACCTTTTCAGAAAGAAAGGACAAAAGTTCGTCTCAAGTTTTCTCAAATTCATTTAAACCCCGTGGTTGCTGAAAAAAAGCACTAGAAGTCTCCAAGTCTGTTTCAAACTTTTTCAAAAACAGAACACCCGAGCCCCGAGGTTTTCCAAATTAAAAAAAAAAAATAAAGTCCCCAAACTTCTTGCAGATACCTAAAAGAATACACTAGGGGACCCCAAGTTTGTTTCTAACTCTTTCAAAAACGGTCAAAAATAAAACATTAGGGGTTCTCGAAATTTCATCAAATTCTTTCAAAATTGAAACTTCAAGGTTCTTGTAGATACCTAAAAATACACTCCCGGGGCTCAAGTCTGTTTAAAACTCTTAAAAAAAACACCTTACTTAATGTCTGTGTACATTCTTAAAGTATATATAATAAGTATTATTATTATTAAAAAAAACACCAAGCCTACCCGATGTTTTTTTAACTTGTTTAAAAAATAAAACACCAAGGTTCCTAAGGTTTTTTTTTTAATCAAAATAATTTCAAAATTAAACACAATACCCTAAATTCTTATTCATTTATGAGAAAAACTCTAGGCGCTCTAAGACTGTTCCAGACGCTTTCAAAAAGAAAACACCAAGAGCCTTAAAAGTTTGTTCAAATACATTGAAAAATAAAAATACCCAAGGTTCTTGAAAAAAAAACATTAGGGGTCGAGGTTTTTTCAAATACTTTCAAAAACAAAACAAAAAACTAAATTGTTATTTATTCTTAAATAAAAAACACTATGCCCTCCAGGACAGTTCCCTTTTCAGAAAAAAAAAACACCAAAAGTCCTTCTCAAAATTTCTCAAATTCATTTAAAAATAGAACCCCATGGTTGCTGAAAAAAAACACTTGGAATCCCAAAGTTTGTGTCAAACTCTTTCAAAAACGATCAAAAATAAAACACCAGGGGTTCTCAAGATTTCAACAACTGCTTTCAAAATTAAAACCTCAAGGCTCTTGTAGATAAGTACTTAAAAAGAGACACAACTGAAGCTCAAGTCTGTCTCAAACACTTGCTAAAAACAGAACACCACGCCTCCCAGAGGTTTGTTCAACTTCTCTCAAAAATAAAACACGAGAGATTCCTGCGTTTTTTACAAATTCTTTCAAACTAAAACCCCCACGGGTTCTCCTAGATATTTAAAGAAAGTTGGGTGCCCCAACTCTTTCAAAAAGAGAACACCAGAGGTTCCGAGGCTTTTTCAAAAGTAAAACCCTCAAGTTTCCTGTAGTTATTTAAAAAAAAGACACACAAGGGTTCCAGTCTGTTTCAAACTCTTTTTAAAACAGAACACTAGGGTCCCTGTCAGAAATAAAAAAACCTCGAGGGTTTTTCAACTTTTTCCAAAAATAAAACACTTGAGGTTCCGGAGGTTTTTACAAATTCTTTCAAAATAAAACACCTAAAGATTTTCTAAATACTTAAAAAAACTTGGAGGCCCCAAATCTGGTTCAAACTCTTTCAAAAACAGAACACCGGTGGTTCCCGAACTTTTTTCAAATCTTCAAAAATAAAGCTATCAAGGTTTTTGTAGATACTTAAAAAATACACTACGATGCTCAAGTCTGTTTCAAACTCTTTCAAATACAGAATACCAGAGGTTCCGAGGCTTTTTCAAATTTTTTCAAAAATAAAACCCCCAAGTTTCTTGTAGATATTAAAAAAAAGACACACAGGGGTTCAAACTCTTTTTAAAACAGAACACCAAGGTTCCTGTCAAAAATGAAACACCAGAGGTTCCGGAGATTTTTACAAATTCGTTCAAAATAAAACACCCAAGGTTCCTTCCTTCTAACAGAACACCAGAGCTATTTGAGGTTTTTTCAACTTCTTTCAAAAATAAAACACCATTGGTTCCCAGAACTCACCAGAGGTTTGGAAAATGAAACCCCCAAGAGTTCTTTTACATCTTTATAAAAAGTTGGCGCCCTGCAGATTGTTTGAAATTCTTTCAAAAACAGAATACCAGAAGTTCCGAGCCTTTTTCAAATTTTTTCAAAAATAAAACCTCCAAGTTTCTTGTACATATTAAAAAAAGACACACAGGGGTCCAAGTCTGTTTCAAACTCTTTTTAAAACAGAACACCAGGGTTCCTGTCAAAAATGAAACACCAGAGATTCCGGAGATTTTTACTAATTCGTTCAAAATAAAACACCCAAGGGTCCTTCTTTCTAAAACAGAACAGCGGGGCTATTTGAAGATTTTTCAATTTCTTTCAAAAATAAAACAGCAGTGGTTCCCAGAAGTCACCAGAGGTTTTTGAAAATGAAACCCCCAAGAGTTCTTCTAGATCTTTATAAAAAGTTGGCGCCCTCCAGATTGTTTGAAATTCTTTCAAAAACAGAACATCAGATGTTCCGAGGTTTTTTTTTTATATATTTCAAAAATAAAACCCCAAGGTTCTTGTAGATATTAAAAAAACATATACTCGTACTACAAGGGTCCAAGCCTGTTTCAAACTCTTTTTAAAATAGAACACCAGGGTTGCTATCAAAAATAAAACACCAGAGGTTCCAAAGGTTTTTACTAATTCGTTCAGAATAAAACACCCACGGGTTCTTCTTTCTAAAACAGAACACCGGAGCTCCTTGAGGTATTTTCAACTTCTTCCAAAAATAAAACATTTGAGGTTCCAGAGGTTTTTACAAATTCTTTCAAAATAAAACATCCGTGGATTTTTCTAGATACTTAAAAAAGTTGGAGGCCCCAAATCTGGTTCAAACTTTTGCAAAAACAGAACAGGGACGGTCCCCAAAGCTTTTCCAAATCTTCAAAAATAAAACTCTCAAGGTTCTTATAGATTTTTAAAAAAGACACTACGGGGTCTCAAGTCTGTTTTAAACTCTTTCACTGAACACCAGAGTTTCCGACGCTTTTTCAATTTTTTTCAAAGAAAAAACACCCAAGTTTCTTGTAGATATTTAAAAAAGACACACAGAGGTTCAAGTTCAAGTTTCAAACTCTTTAAAACAGAACCCCAGGGTTCCTGTCAAAAATAAAACACCAGAGGTTCCGGAGGTTTTTACTAATTCCTTCAAAATAAAACACCCAACGGTTTTTCTTCCTAAAACAGAACACCAGGACTCCGTGAGGTTTTTCAACTTCTTTGAAAAATAAAACACTAATGATTCCCAAAGGCCACCAGAGGTTTTTAAAAATAAAACCCTCTACAGTTCTTTTAGATATTTAAAAAAAGTTGGGGACCCCAGATTGTTTGAAATTCTTTCAAAAACAGAACACCAGAGGTTCGGAGGCTTTTTCATATATTTCAAAAGTAAAACCCCCAAGGTTCTTGTGGATTAAAAAAAAAACACTACAAGGGTTCAAGTCTATTTTAAACTCTTTTTAGAGACGAGGGTTTTTCAACTGTTTCCAAAAATAAAACACTTGAGGTTCCGGAGGTTTTACAAAATCTTTCAAAAAAGAACACCCGAGGGTTTTTCTAGATGCTTAAATAAAGTTGGGGCCTCCAATCTGGTTCAAACTCTTTCAAAAACAGAACACCCGAAGCTTTTTCAAATCTTCAAAAATGAAACTCTCAAGGTTCTTGTAGATACTTAAAAAAAGTCACTACGGGGCTCAAGTCTGTTTCAAACTCTTTCAAATACAGAACACCAGAATTCCGATGCTTTTTCAAATTTTTTCAAAAATAAAACCCCCAAGTTTCTTGTGGATATATTAAAAAAAAAACATACACAGGTGTTCAAGTCTGTTTCAAATTCTTTTTAAAACAGAACACTAGGGTTCCTGTCAAAGATAAAACACCAGAGGTTCCGAAGATTTTTACTAATTCGTTCAAAATAATACACCCAAGAGTTCTCCTTTCTAAAACAGAACACCAGGGTTCCTTAAAGTTTTTCTAACTTCTTTCAAAAATAAAACACCAGTGGTTCCCAGAAGTCACCAGAGGTTTTTGAAAATAAAACCCCTAAAGGTCCTTCTAGATACTTAAAAAAAGTTGGGGGTTCCAAGTCTGTTTCAAACTCTTTCGAAAACAGAACATCAGGGGTTGCTGGGGCTTTTTCAAAATATATTTGTCAAAAATAAAACACAAAAGCCCCCTAAGAATATTTCAACTTCTTATCGATTCTTTAAAAAAAGATACTAACAATACTTTAAGTTTTTGTGCCTCTATGCACAATGAAGAAGCAATGAAAATCTCGCTTTTTCCAGTTCATCTTCAGCATCATCTGCTCCACCGTGCCCGTCCCCAGCGGCAGCTTCACCCCCGTCTTCAAGATCGGCGCCGGCTTCGGCCGCCTCGTCGGCGAGCTCATGCACGTGTGGTTCCCCAGCGGCATGCGCTACGGCGGCCAGATCGCCGCCATCATCCCCGGCGGCTACGCCACCGTGGGCGCGGCCGCCTTCAGCGGCTCCGTCACCCACACCATCTCCGTGTCTGTGATAGTGTTCGAGATGACCGGCCAAATCACCCACATCATCCCCATCATGATCGCCGTCCTCATCTCCAACGCCATCGCCAGCTTGCTGGCGCCCAGCATCTACGACTCCATCATCCTGATCAAGAAGCTCCCGTACCTGCCCGACCTGCTGCCAAGCAGCAGCGGCATGTACAACGTCTACGTGGAGGACTTCATGGTGCGCGACGTCAAGTACATCTTCAACAACATGACGTACGAGCAGCTGAAGACGCTCCTGAAGGATAACCGCAGGCTGCAGAGTTTCCCTTTGGTGGACAACCACGAGAATATGGTGCTTTTGGGGTCAATACCGCGGCTGCAGCTGATCCAGTTGATTGAGAGACACATAGGGAGAGAGAGGAGGCTTCAGGTGGCGGCGATCAGACAACGGGAGGCAGAGGAAAGGGCGAGGGAAGAAGCGGAAAAACGAGCAGAAGAAAGGAAAAGAAGACCGTCTAGGTTTCAAGTGGTTCCGGCACCTGACGTTCTTGGTGTCAAACAAATGTCTGAAAATCAACTCAACGTGGACAAACCTACATTCAACCCAGTTTTTGGCACCCAACCCAAGAAGTCCATTTTGAAGAAGACCAACTCTTTTACATTGAAAGGGTTCAGTCCCTTCATGTCCACAAGTCCCGGATCTACCCCCTACACCACTGTGACCGGAGCGGAAAGTAGAATTCGGATCGCTTTTGAGGCAATTTTCCGCAAGTCTGCGCAACTCCAAGACGTGGAAAACAACGAAAGCTCACCTGTTTTGAGCACTCCTGGAGGATCAATGGACAATAAAGTCCAAATCATCCCAATGAGTCCCACCACATCGAAAAAAGTACAACTGGTAAGCAAGTTTTCTTTTCGAATCCTTCTATCTGTGCCCGAAATTAATCTTCTTTCCACTTTTCTATTCATGCCAGCGTTGTTGGCCCAAGCGACTAAAGCGCAAGAAAAAGTACGACGAGGAGGTACACAAAACTTATTCCGCACAGCACCCACGCACTTTTATCTCTAGTGTTAAAAATAGTTTTTGATCACTTGGTTGTTGCAGCCCCGCGAGCGCGTCTGCGACATGTCCCCCGAGGACCAGCGCACCTGGGAGGAGGAGCAAATGCAGCTTCCCGTCGACTTCTCCTCCTGCCACATCGACCCCGCCCCGTTCCAGCTGGTCGAGAGGACGTCCCTCCTCAAAGTCCACTCCCTCTTCTCCATGGTGGGGGTGAACCACGCCTACGTGACCGCCATCGGGAAGCTGGTGGGGGTGGTCGGTTTAAAAGACCTCCGTAAGGCCATCGAGGACGCCAACAGCGGCAACCTGCCGCCGCATGGTGTCGAAACGAACTCAAATGGTAACGTCGGTACCATCAATAGTGATAATGGTGATTCGGACAACGAGGCGGCCCAGACGCTGGTTTCGAAAGTATAGGTGCATACGTAAGAGTTGTGATAACTGATAAGGACTAATTTTTATTTGTTGATTGTGATAGAAGAAGCGATGTTTATTTAATTGTAAGTAATTTAAAGAGATGATATTAATGATAATAAAGTTTATGACAGTAGAGTGTTTGTTTTGGGGGTCTGGGATTGGGGGTAAATATTTGGTGGCCCCGACCTAGTGGCGGCGATAAAGTGGGTAAATATTGACCACTGGCGTTAGAGTGGTGTAGTGTGTGGCCAGGTGGTGTGAAGATGAAGAAGCGGAATGATCTGCCTCAAGATGTCCTCTACGAATCGTATATGGCACCAGTGCAGTCGTACGACGAGAAAAAACCGACTGATTTGTTTAGGTTGAGTTACGTGAAAGAAGAAGAGAAGAAGTTGAGGAAGGAACTTCATGCTCTTCATGGCTTTCAAGGTACGAAGACACAAAGAAGACGGTTATTTAAGTTTGTCTTGTAGGGTGGCTTCTGAAATGTACTACCTACGTTTGGAGGAACCTTTTCGGCCATTTTGGCGAAGAGTGGTTCTATTTGGCTGCTTTAGGCATCCTTGTCGCTTTAATCAGCTACATGATCGACTGGGGTGTCAAAATGTGCAACTGGAGTTGGTACCACCACAGTACTAGGTTTAGGTTGTCTAAAATCCGTTTTTAGGTCGAATGTGGTTGTACAAAGACCTGGCCGTTGGTGGCCACCCATGGGCTAGGTACTTCGCCTGGATTGCCCTACCGGTCACCCTATGCATGTTCAGTGCGGGCTTCGTTAAGCTCGTGGGTCCCAAAGCCGTCGGTGAGTCACTTTCAACATTTAAGAAACTGTGGTACACGAATTAAGTTGTTTCAGGGTCCGGAATCCCTGAAATGAAGACCCTCCTTCGAGGCGTTTACGTCAAGGACTTTCTCACGTTTCGGGTCCTCGTCGCCAAAGTAGTCGGCATAACCTCGACCCTTGGCAGCAGCATGCCCCTCGGAAAAGAAGGCCCTTTGATGCACATCTCCTGCTGCTGCGCCCACCTTCTAGGCAAAATGGTCAGCTTCCGCGGAATCTACCAGAACGAAAGCCGCAAACTGGAAATGCTGGCGGCCGCCACCGCCGTGGGGGTGGGCTGCACCTTCGGTGCCCCCATCGGCGGCGTTCTCTTGAGCGTGGAACTCACTACCGCCTACTACGGAACCAGGAATTACTGGAGAGGTTTCTGTGCGGCGGTCTGGGGGGCGACGTTCTACCGGTTGCTCCTAGTCTGGATCGAAGGGGTGGAGTCGGTGACGGTAGTCTTCAAGACCAGTTTTTTCGTGGATACCCCGTGGGCGGCGCAAGAGCTACTCGCCTTTAGTATTTTAGGGATAATTTGTGGCTTCGGGGCGGCGTTTTACATGAGAATGAGAATCAGGTTCGGAAGGTTCGTCAAGGGGAGTGAACTGATTAAGAAAATCAAGCAGGCGAAGTAAGTCTATATTTGCTCCACCCTAATGATAAACTCCGCCTCTTTTTTAGTCATTTTGTGTATCCAGGGTTTATTTCGTTGGTTGTGGCTTCCATTAATTTCCCGTTAGGGATTGGGCAGTTTATGGCGGGTCACGTTGGATACGCCGTCCAGGTCCAACACATGTTTGCTAATTTTTCGTGGATGGCCCCGAATTTGACGGTTGCTCAACAAGCGGTCGTCAACAACTGGAAGACGCCGTGGACAGGGCCGTACCTACACCTTGTCTGCCTAATCGCTTTTAATGTACCTAATTATTGTATCGCTAGTAGTTCTACCAACATTTTTTTGTTGTAGTTCGTTTGTAACATCCTGGCTGCCACCATGCCTATCCCTAATGGTAGTTTTATTCCGAATTTTCGCATAGGGGCGGCGGCTGGGCGCATTTTGGGTGAGCTAATGAACACATGGTATCCCACTGGTTTGAGTTACCATGGAAGAATAACTAAAGTCGTACCAGGAGGTTACGCTTTAGTGGGGGCGGCGGCTTTCAGTGGTGCCGTCACCCAAACCATGTGCGTTTGTATGATTGTTTTAGAAATGTCGAGTCAAATTACTCACGTAATACCCATTCTGATTGCAAACTTGATATCCAATAGTATAGCCCAACTGTGTAGTTCTAGTTTATACGACAGCGCTATCAAGGCAAAAGGGTTGCCCTATTTACCGGATATGTTACCCAGAAATAGTGGTGAGTCTTAAATTTCTCTGTTTTGATTGGGTGAAAGGGAGGAGCTAGGGGCGTGGCTTAACTACATATGCAATTAACTCTATATACTAATTATTAAAAAATATATATAGCGATTTACAGCGTCTACGTTGAGGACTTCATGGTAACCGACGTCAAATACATCTACCACGGCATGTCTTTCGAAAAACTCAAAAACCTCCTCACCGAAAACAAAGGGATTAAAACCTTCCCTCTGGTGAACAACCCCGTCCGACTCATCCTCCTAGGGTCCATCCCACGAATGCAACTAATCGATTTGATTGAAACCCACGTTGGAAAAAATCGCCGTCTGCAAGAACTAAACGACGAAGAACAAAACGAATGCAAAAAACCTAAATCGGAACAATTTCGGCTTGAAGACGACAACACGTACGACTCAGACAGCGACAATAAAGTAAGTTTCACCATTGATTAAATACATATAGATAGACCCATGCTATTGTTTGGAGCGAACAGGCCAACGGCCGGCGAACAAGAGATGGTGCACCAACAGTCGGCCGTCAAACGCCGGCGAAAAGCTTGGACACCAATCACGCGCATAGGTAACACAAATCACACCAACAATACATTTAATAAATCTACCACTCGATAGAGGGCGACGAAAAAAATGTGTAAAAATCTCATAGCCAGCATTTAGATAATTTACAACGTTGCCAGATGAGCCTAACACAAGTTTGCCGTTATTTCTAGCCAAGTAGGTTTTATTTCGTTTAAAAGTTTCTGATAAAGAAATGGGATTATTGTAATGAATAAAAATAAATAAAACAAACAAATTATTACTTGCTATTTTAAATACTTGTTAGTGCTAACATTATTATAAATACGGTCCGGTAACTCAAATTTTATAGAAAGAGTGAGATGTTTCAGGACGAGCCGAGTTTTTAATTTCGAAACGAGTACTGCGAAAAGAGTTATCGGAGGTATGTCGTTATGGATTTTATTTCATACTGTCAACATATTTTTTTTTATTTGATAAAATAATTACTATTTTGGAAAAAGTTCAAATCGAGTCACTTTTTCTGACATCGTTAGAAACCGCTGTTTGGCTAATGTTTTAATTTGTTTATTCGTGCAAATCAGCATCAAATGTTTAACAATTTAAAATTTTCATTGAAGAGACAGACTGTTCTAGGAAACTTTATTACAAATCTCTTCATTTACGAGCTGCTGAAGGACCGCCGGTCTCATTGATAATTCTTACCTACTTCAGTTCTGGCTTGTACTTAAGAATGAAGCGAAAAATGTTCCAACAATAAAAACCAAAATGTACAGATTGGAAATATAGTAAATGGGGTAGTACCTACATACAAACGTATGCGTAATATGTCGTTAGACATTAGGTATTTATCAAAATTAACCAAATCTCTTAGTTTACGCACTATTGGACGAGCACTCCTTAAAACGGTCAGAATACTTAATCGCATTATTCCATTGACACCTACCTAAAACTTTGCCAGATGAACCTAACACAAATTTGCGGATATTTCTCGTCAACCAGGTAATATTTGATTTTGAAGTTTCTAGAAGTAAATAAATGGGAATATTATAATGAACAAATAAAACAAACAAATTATTGTTATTATTTGTTGTTTTAATCCATTAGACGCTTATAGGCTATCGCATACTTTTCTTGAAAAATCGGTAATAAATTCAGTGAAGCATCTTTGCCCCTTAATTCCTATGGGTAAATTGGGACTTTGAATAGAGATCGCAGAAACATTTTTTATGGTTTTATGGTTTATTTACATAATTTACTTATTTACAAGGAATGTTTTTAAATATAATACAAGTTCTTGATATTATTTATTTTTATTACAGTTAATAATCTTGTGTTATTTTTCATTTTCAACAAGAAAATTTTGTCGCTTATTATCTAACATATTTTTATACAATGAGAAACACCATATGTTTTACATCACAGGACGTTGCAGGAAAATATTTAAGTAAATAAGCTTTTGTTATTTCACTTCGACGCAAGAACCATTTCAAAGAAAACAAACAGTGAAAAAGCGGAACAGATTCACAAAGTTTTCTTTTTTTTCTTCTGTTTTGCAGTGGGTGGGAAATATGGTGTATTGTACATTTTACAATAAAAATATCGATTTCAGGCAAATTTCCGCACCACCAATGAGGTATTGCTACTGTGCGTTTTTTTTTTTTTTGTTTTAGCAGTCCTATCTCCAATAGGCCTAATGCACTACTTGCCGATAGTGATTCAGATAATTATCCGCTGAATTAAGACATGAAACTGGAAATCTGACACAAATAAAACGTGGTGAAGGCCCAAATGCAAGCAAATAATGAAGATGAAATCGAAGCAAAAAAAAGTAAATTAGAGTACTATACATCTAAGGCAAATAAACTTAGACTGAGAAATGCGAGATTACGCGTAAAAGTACATGAATTAAGGAAAACATCTAGCATCGATTATTTTATAAATTCTTTTAAATTTGGTTCGAGTAATTCTAAAATTTTTACGAACATGCAACTGAAACATAATAAAAAAAAATGGAATGTTGACGAGAAAAATTTTTCTATCATGTTATTTTATAAGTCCCCAGCCGCGTACAAGTTTCTACGGCATCAAGGAATTGTTTTGCCAGGTTTAACTACTATTAAAAGATGGATTAGTCAGTCTAAATTTCAACCAGGCTTTAACGATGAGATTTTTAAACAAATTTCTCCCGAGCCCGAAAAAAACTGCACAATAGTTTTTGACGAAATGATTACTTCTGAAAAATTAGGATATAATAAACATATGGATGTTTTTGAAGGATACGAGGACATGGGTCACCTAGGAAGAAAACCTCTTTCAGCAAAATATGCATTAGTTTTTTTTCTTAGAGGTATATATTCAAACTGGAAATTACCTGTTAGTTACTTTTTGTCACACAAACCAGTTTCCAATACAATTTTAGTGCAGTTAATACCAGAGTTATTGGAGAAATTGCGACAATGTAATTTAAATCCAAAAATGATAATCTGCGATCAGAGTACGGGGAATCAGTCAGCATACTCGATGTTAAATGTCACACACAAAAAACCATTCTTGGAAATAACACAAAATCAAAATGACACATTTGAAACACAATTAAAAATAAAAATTTTTGCTATTCCTGACACAATGCACATTGCTAAAAGTATAAGGAATAATATGCTAAATGGCAACTATGTTGTAAAGAGTAGTAATGGCAGTTCTCAGAAAATTATTTCATTCCAGGATATAATAGATTTTTATGAAATTGACAGAAACAATACAAAGTGTCGCGCGCTCACAAAACTAACAGAAGCTCATGTTCGACCAAAACCTTTTCAAAAAATTGGTCTAAAGAGTTTAGACAGTACTTCCGTCGCTGTCGGAAACTTGACGACTGCATGCCTATTGTGTTTTTTTTTCTCATTACATTTTTGTAGTGGGAATTTAAAAAAAAATTGCGATGACGTCATCAACATTTTTGCAAGGACACGTATATCAGTTGGGATAGATGTAGTGTAATACTAAGAATAAAATTATTATATTCTCAAATTTTCGGGAAAATGAATTGGGTCGTTTTGAATATTGATTTGTAATAATCAATAAAATAACGAAACAATTTACTCACGTATACGTATCAGAGGCAACTGAAAATCGTGTATGTATAAACATTCTTAATTTAAGATGACAGGCGTAACAGCATACGTGAGAGTCAAACAGAGAAACTGTAAACAAAACGACCATCGGTTTTATTGCTTCGACTTCCGCTTATTATATAAAACATTGGGTTTTATTTTAATTCTTGACGGTGAAATTCACAATTGGTTGATTATAAACATGTCTATTTCACATTCGCGGAACCAAGTGAGCGCATAAAACAAATGCAGGTCTGTAATGTTAAAGTCGATGTAAATAAGCGTGCTACCCTTATGTTTCAACCGAGTTTTTCCTTTAACAAATTTTGTGTCTACCAAATTGGGTTGGTTGGGGTGTAATACTAATAATAAGTGTTGCCTTTAATTTAATCAATAAAATAAATTGACTTCATTAATTTTTTTGAACCACCTCTTAAGAAAATCTAAAAAATATGAATGGAATGTTAAATCACAAGTACAAACTCATCATATTTTTTGCATTTTAGATAGGATTTATTCAGCAAAATTTAAGGGTGACGTCATCAATTTTTTTAGGAGGGATGAACAAATACATTTTGAACAAAAGTTTACCATGCTTATAATAACTTTAAAATATTCCCAAGATTTCAAAGCATTCGGTTTTGTAATTCCTGATTAAATCGATAAAATAAATCTACGCCTTCATTAATTTTTTTGAGTCACCCTGCATATGAAAATCGAAAAAATTTGAATGGAATGATAAATCACAAGAAGAGACTCACCATATTTTGTACATTTTAGATAGGATTTATTCAGCAAAATTTTGTGGTGACGTCATAAATTTTTTAGGGGGGACGACCAAATACGTTTTGATCAAAAATTTACCATGCTTATGATAATTTTAAAATATCTTCAAGATTTCGAAGCATTCGGTTTTGTAGTTCCTGAGTAAATCAGTAAAATAAATTTACGCTTTCATTTATTTTCTTGAATCACCCTGTATATGCAAATCCAAAAAATATGAATGGAGTGATAGATCACAAGTACAGACTGATCATATTTTGTACATTTTAGATATGATTTATTCGGCAAATTTTCGAGCTGACGTCATCAAGTTTTTGGAGGGGATAAGCAAATATATTTTGACTAAACATTTATTATGCTCTTTATAACCTTAAAACATGTGCAAGATGTCAGAGCATTCCGTTTTGTAGTTCCTGATTAAATCAATAAAATATATTTACGCATTCATTAATTTTTTGAGTCACTCTGTATATGCAAATCCAAAAAATATGAATGGAGTGATAAATGACAAGTACAGGCTCACTATATTTTGTACATTTTAGATATGATTTATTCCACAAACATTTTTGAGCTGACGTCATCAAGTTTTTGGAGGGGATAAGCAAATATTTTTTGACTAAAGATTTATGATGCTCTTTATAGCCTTAAAACATCTGCAACATTTCAAAGCATTCTGGTTAGCAGATTAAAAATTAAATTTCAAAATGTTGTTTTATAATTTTGATTTTTTTTCCAAAAATCTGGACGTTTCGGGTGAAAAGTCGATTCAGAGTTGTAAACTACATGTGTAGGACTATGTTATTTTATACAATTGAAAACCCATTTACTATGTACAATTTTGAAGTGACGTCATCGCATTAGTGGTGGGGATGATTAGACAAATTTTGGTTAGCGTTTTACCATCTACATGATATTCTTAATATAAGTACAAAATTTCACAACAATCGGTCGAGTACTTTCGGAGATTATCTGTCTAATAAAAATCCGGGACAACAGACGGACAGACGGACGGACAGACGGACGGACAGACGGGCAGACAGACGGAAATGGGAGACCTATTTCTTCGTCTTCTAGGAGTCATGAAAGATCGAGAAAACGTAAAAGTAGAGAGTCGGCCGACGGACTCGATTACAATACTTCCTTTGCTTACGCTCGGGAAGTAAAAAGAAAACTTTGTGAATCTGTTCCGCTTTTTCACTGTTTGTTTTCTTTGAAATGGTTCTTGCGTCGAAGTGAAATAACAAAAGCTTATTTACTTAAGTATTTTCCTGCAACGTCCTGTGATGTGAAACATATGGTGTTTCTCATTGTATAAAAATATGTTAGATAATAAGCGACAAAATTTTCTTGTTGAAAATGAAAAATAACACAAGATTATTAATTGTAATAAAAATAAATAATATCAAGAACTTGTATTATATATTAAAAACATTCATTGTAAATAAGTAAATTATGTAAATAAACCATAAAACCATAAAAAATGTTTCTGCGATCTCTATTCAAAATCCCATTTTACCCATAGGAATTAAGGGGCAAAGATGCTTCACTGAATTTATTACCGATTTTTCAAGAAAAGTATGCGATAGCCTACAAGCGTCTAATGGATTAAAACAACAAATAATAATAACAATAATTTGTTTGTTTTATTTGTTCATTATAATATTCCCATTTATTTACTTCTAGAAACTTCAAAATCAAATATTACCTGGTTGACGAGAAATATCAGCAAATTTGTGTTAGGTTCATCTGGCAAAGTTTTAGGTAGGTGTCAATGGAATAATGCGATTAAGTATTCTGACCGTTTTAAGGAGTCATCGTCCAATAGTGCGTAAACTAAGAGATTTGGTTAATTTTGATAAATACCTAATGTCTAACGACATATTACGCATACGTTTGTATGTAGGTATTACCCCATTTACTATATTTCCAGTCTGTACATTTTGGTTTTTATTGTTGGAACATTTTTCGCTTCATTCTTAAGTACAAGCCAGGTAAGAACTGAAGTAGGTAAAAATTATCAATGAGACCGGCGGTCCTTCAGCAGCTCGTAAATGAAGACATTTGTAATAAAGTTTCCTAGAACAGTCTGTCTCTTCAATGAAAATTTTAGTTTGTTAAACATTTGATGCTGATTTGCACGAATAAACAAATTAAAACATTAGCCAAACAGCGGTTGCTAACGATGTCAGAAAAAGTGACTCGATTTGAACTTTTTCCAAAATAGTAATTATTTTATCGAATAAAAAAAATATGTTGACAGTATGAAATAAAATCCATAACGACATACCTCCGATAACTCTTTTCGCAGTACTCGTTTCGAAATTAAAAACTCGGCTCGTCCTGAAACATCTCACTCTTTCTATAAAATTTGAGTTACCGGACCGTATTTATAATAATGTTAGCACTAACAAGTATTTAAAATAACAAGTAATAATTTGTTTGTTTTATTTATTTTTATTCATTATAATAATCCCATTTCTTTATCAGAAACTTTTAAACGAAATAAAACCCACTTGGCTAGAAATAACGGCAAACTTGTGTTAGACACATCTGGCAACGTTGTAAATTATCTAAATGCTGACTATGAGATTTTTACACATTTTTTTCGTCGCCCTCTATCGAGTGGTAGATTTATTAAATGTATTGTTGGTGTGATTTGTGTTACCTATGCGCGTGATTGGTGTCCGACTGTTGGTGCGCCATCTCTTGTTCGCCGGCCGTTGGCCTGTTCGCTCCAAACAATAGCATGGGTCTATCTATATGTATTTAATCAATGGTTTAACGCACCTAATATTACCAACCAATCACTACGTTGCAGTTCACCTACAACCCTCTGTACGAAAGCCCCGGCGAAATCCGCGCTCGCACCAAGTCGGTCACTCTCGTAAGTATCAACCGACGCCCCTCCCACTCGCTCCACCTCTATAATTCCAGCCAACCAAACGCGTCTGCGACTTAACCCCGAAACTGCAAAAGAAGTGGGAGCGCTACCAGATGCAGAAATCCGTGGATTTCCGCACGTGCCCGATCGACCCCGCCCCTTTCCAGCTCGTCGAAAGGACGTCCCTCCTCAAAGTGCACTCCCTCTTCTCGCTAGTGGGGCTTAACACCGCCTACGTCACCGCGATTGGCCGACTCATCGGAGTCGTGGCTTTAAAGGAACTCCGTCAAGCAATCAGCGACGTGAAAAGCGGCAAGTTGCAAGCCCACGGTATTTCGATTATCGTAACCGAAGAAAAGTAAAAGTGTATATTAAACAATATTTACAGTGTAGAAAAATAAATTATACAACTGGTTCGATTTTGTTTTTTAATTGTCGCGTTTTTTCGATGACGCTGTCGACGTAAGGGCGCTCCGACGGGTTGACCTTCAACATGAAAAGAATCAAGTCGTGGACGTCCTAAAAACCAAAATTAGTTAATTAAGGCGTCTTTAGAGACAATTTTGTGTGTATACTTCGTTGAAAGGGGTGTCTTCAGGGAACGTAATCGTGCCAGAAATGACCGCCAGGTTGACGGAGTCGCCGCGCTCGTACACGAAGTCGTACGGCGACTTAAAGTAACACAGCGCGAACAGCACGCAACCCAAGCTCTGCACAATCAAACAATCATTTCTATGGTTTTACAATTATTAAATATAATACCCAAATGTCAGTTCGTTGGTCGATCACGCAATAACTCTCCACGTGAAACAACTCCGGCGCTCGGTACGTCATTGAGCACCTCTCCGCTGCCAAGTCCTGTAGTTTCTGGGCGTCTTGGGCCCCACAAACTTGGACTTTTGCGGTTGCGCACGACCCCATATCCATCAAAACCGGGGTCATGTCTTCCGTGAGACACACGTTTCCGACTTTGAGGTCGCGATGCGCGATCGCTTCGGGTGTAAAATCGTGTAAGTACTTCACCGCTTGGCAGATCTCCATGAACAACCGGATGATTTCTTTCACATCGAGGTAGTTCCGATTGAACGATCTAAGCGTGAGGTAGTCGTGCAGGGTACCCCGGCGGTAATAAGGCAACACTAGGTAAGCTTCGGACGTGGCGTTGACTACGATGTCAGCCGATCCTTTGAACGTGGAGTCCACCAGCTCGATGATGTTGGGGTGTTTGAGTTTCTTGTAGTAGGAAATTTCGTCCATGGCGACCTTCTGGTCCTCGACGCTGTGACATAGGATACGTTTTAAGGCGAATTTACGTTTTGTTCCTTTGTGCTCGATTAAGTCGACGGTGGAGAAGCCTCTGGAAAAGAGAGGTTCGAGTTTGTCGGAAGTGAGGTTAGGTGCTCACCCTTCGCCCAGGCGCTCTTTCACGATGTATTTAATGCCGTTGATGTCGATGGACTCGCGCGCACAAATGCAACCCATTTTTACTATCATGCTGAGCCCCAAAGCGTTCATTTTGGGACGGTTTGACACGTTTGATAACTACATAACCTCAGATTAGGAGTAAATACATAACCACAAACGTCAAGTGTCAGCTGTGCGGGTCCCTGTTTCTAGAGACAGATAACCACTTTATTTTCATACATAGTTTATTATTGTTTTTGTGACGAGTGGAATATCACGTTTATGGCTGATTTTAATAGAGAAATTGTTCTTTACAAAAATTCAAGATTTGTTTGTCCATAGATTAATACAGATGCGACATACAGGCTGATTTTGCAAAACCACCCTTATTGACATTGGAGTCCTCAACCGAAAAAGACAAGCGCCAAATTTAAATAGTATTTTTGGTATAGCAAAATTTCTTAAACTAAGAATATTGTTGAAATCGTAGTAACCCTAGTGGGTTTTTTTCGGGAAAATGTTTTGGAAACACTGTGTTTTTTTTTATGAATTCTTAAATGTTTTTAGTGACAATTTTTGTATGATATTAACAGGGAGAAAAAAAAATGAAAAATAAAAATAATCGAAAATTCAAAAAATCGAGAGATCTAATAATAGAAAAATCGTAGAACCGAAACATTGAAAAATCGAAATAACGAAGAACTGAAAATCGAAAAATGAAACATCAGAAAATCGAAAAATGTAAAATTCAAAAATCTAAAATTTAAAAACCGAAAAACGAAAAATCAAGAAATCGAAACCCCCAAATTGAAAAAATCGGATAACTGAAAAATCGAAACACCGAAAGATTGAAAAAGATCAAGAAATCGTGGAGACGAAAAGTTAAAATTGAACAATTTATAAATTGAGAAATTGACAATCAAAATATCGAAAAATCCAAATCTCGATAAATCAAAAAACTTAAAAATTTTAAAAATTGAAAGATTGAGATTGAAAGATCAAAAGAACGAAAAATCAAAAAGTGATGAAGTCGAAAAATAGAGAAATCGACAAACAAAAAGTTAAAAATTGAAAAATTGGAAAAGCGGAAAAATCAAAAAACGAAAAAATGGAAAACTGGAAAAACTGAGAAGCCGAAATAGGCTAAAATAAAAAATTGAAAAACTGATAAATCGAAAACCTGAACAGTCAAATCTCGATAAATCGGGAATGAAAAATTAACGAATCGAAAAATTAAAAAACAGAACATCTAAAACCAGGAAGTCGAAAAATCGAAAGATTAAGAAATATTGAAAAATTAAAATATCAAAAGATTGAAAAATCTAAAATTTAAAAGTCCAAAAATTGAAAATCGTCAAAGTAATAAGGTAGACACATCGAAAAATCCAGAAGTCAAAAATAGAAAAGCCGAAGAATCGAAATATTGAAGAATCCTAAAAATGAAATATCTAAAAACTGAAAAATCGAAAAATCAAAAAAGTGAAGTCGAAAAATAGAAACCCTAAAAAATCGAAAAATTGAACAATCAAAAACCTGCAAAATCGTAAGATCGGAAAATTGAATAACAAGTAAACTGAAAAATCTCAAAACTCAAATGTCCAAAAACTGAGAAATTAAAAAATTGAAAAATTGAGAAATCGAAGGATCAAAAAAGTGAAATTGAAAAATCAAAACCTGAAAAAATAGAAAAATTGAAAACCAAAAAACCTGAAAAATCAATTGAAAAATCGACAAATAAAGAGTTTGGAAAAGTCAAAAAATCGTAAAATTGAAAAATCAAAAACCTGAAAAATCAAAAAATTAAAGAAATGAAGAACAGGAAAATCGGAACTCTCGAAGGTAAAGAAATGGGAAAATCAAAACATCGATTAATTGAAAAATCGAAATATTGAGAGTTTATAAATGTTAAATTTGAAAAATTAAAAAATCGAAAATTTGACAAAATGACAATTGAAAAACAGAAAATCTAGGTAGAAAAATCGAAAGATTAAGAAATCGAAACATTTGAAAAATTGAAATATGGAAGAGCTGAAATAAAAAATCGAGAAATCGAAAAATTAAAAATTTTAAATATTGAAAAATTAAAGTACCAAAAAATTGAGAACTCTAAAATTTAAAAATCGAAAAAGTAAAAAGTCGACACATCGAAAAATCCAGAAGTCAAAAATGAAAAAGCCGAAGAACAGAAATATTGAAAAATCCCAAAACTGAACTATCGAAAAACTGAAAAATGAAAGAAAAATTGACGAATCGAAAAACTGAAAAATCCCTAAACTGAAATATCCAAAATCTGAAAATCCAAAGAATCGAAAAATTGGGAAATCGAAAAATCAAAAAAGTGAAGTCGAAATATCGAAACCTTAAAAAAATCGAAAAATTGAAAAATCAAAAACCTGCAAAATCGTAAGATCGAAAAATTGAATAATAAGTAAACTGAGAAATTCCAAAATATTTTAAAATTTAAAAACCGAAAACGAAAAATCGGGAAATTGAAACTCCCAAATTTAAAAAATCGGATAACTGAAAAATCGAAACATCGAAAAACTGAGAAACCGAAAAATCAAAAGAACAAGAAATCGTGGAGTCGAAATGTTGAACAATTGAGAAACCGAAATAGGTCAAAATCCAAAAATCGAAAAGTTAAAAATTGAACAATTTATAAATTGAGATATTGACAATCAAAATATCGAAAAATCCAAATCTCGATAAATCGAGAAATCAGAAAACTCAAAAATGCGAAAAATTGAGAGATTGAAAGATCCAAAGAACGAGAAATCGAATAGTGATGAAGTCGAAAAATCGAAAAATAGAGAAATGAAAAACCTGCAAAATCGTAAGATCGAAAAATTGAATAACAATAAACTGAAAAATCCCAAAACTGAAATGTCTAAAAACTGACAAATTAAAAAATTGAAAAATTGAGAAATCGAAGAATCAAAAATGTGAAGTTGAAAAATTAAAACTTGAAAAAATAGAAAAATTGAAAAACCAAAAAACCTGAAAAATCAATTAATTGAAAAATCGACAAAAAAAGTTTAGAAAAGTCAAAAAATATTTAAAAATCGTAAAACTGAAAAATCAAAAACCTGAAAATTCAAAAAATTAAAGAATTGAAAAACAGGGAAATCGAAACACTCGAAGGTCAACAAATGGGAAAATCAAAACATCGATTAATTGAAAAATCGAAAAATTGAGAGTTTATAAAAGTCAAATTTGAAAAATTATAAAATCTAAAATTTACCAAATGACAATTGAAAACAGAAAATCTAAAATCGGGAAGTCGAAAAATCGATAGATTAAGAAATCAAAACATTTGAAAAATTGAAAAATTGAAATATTTAAAAATCGTAAAATTGAAAAATCAAAAACCTGAAAAATCAAAAAATTAAAGAATTGAAGAACAGGAAAATCGAAACACTCGAAGGTCAAGAAATGGGAAAATCAAAACATCGATTAATTGAAAGATCGAAAAATGGAAAGTTTATAAAAGTCAAATTTGAAAAATTAAAAAATCGAAAATTTGACAAAATGACAATTGAAAAACAGAAAATTTAAAACCGGGAAGTCAAAACATCCGTAGATTAAGCAATCGAAACACTTGACAAATTCGAAAACTTGAAAAATTGAAATATCGAAGAACTGAAATGAAAAATCGAGAAATCAAAAAATCTAAAATTTAAAAAATTAGAAAAACGACAACTCAAAAACAGGAAATCTAAAACCGAGAAGTCGAAAAATCGAAAGATTAAGAAATCGAAACATTTAAAAAATGGAAATATAGAAGAGCTGAAATGAAAAAACGAGAAATCGAAAAATTAAAAATTTTAAATGAAAAATTAAAATACCAAAAAATTGAGAAATCTAGAATTTAAAAATCGAAAAAGTAAAAAGTCGACACATCGAAAAATCCAGAAGTCAAAAATGGAAAAGTCGAAGAACTGAAATACTGAAAAATCCCAAAACTGAACTATCGAAAAACTGAAAAATCCCAAAACTGAAAATCCAAAGAATCTAAAAATTGGGAAATCGAAAAATCAAAAAAGTGAAGTCGAAATATATAAACTTTAAAAAAATCGAAAAATTGAACAATCAAAAACCTGCAAAATCGTAAAATCGAAAAATTGAATAACAAGTAAACTGAAAAATCCCAAAACTCAAATGTCGAAAAACTGAGAAATTAAAAAATTGGAAAATTAAGAAATCGAAGAATCAAAAAAGTGAAGTTGAAAAATCAAAACCTGAAAAAAATAGAAAAATTGAAAAACCAAAAAACCTGAAAAATCAATTAATTGAAAAATCGACAAATAAAGAGTTTAGAAAAGTAAAAAATCGAAAAATTGAAATATTTAAAAATCGTTAAATTGAAAAATGAAAAACCTAAAAAATCAAAAAATTAAAGAATTGAAGAAATAGAAAAATCAAAACATCGATTAATTGAAAAATCGAAAAATTGAGAGTTTATAAAAGTCAAATTTGAAAAATTAAAAAATCGAAAATTTGACAAAATGACAATTGAAAAACAGAAAATCTAAAACCGGGAAGTCGAAAAATCTAAATATTAAGAAATCGAAACATTTGAAAAATCGAAATATGGAAGAGCTGAAATGAAAAATCGAGAAATCGACAAATTAAAAATTTTAAATATTGAAAAATTAAAATACCAAAAAATTGAAAACTAAAATTTTAAAAATCGAAAAAGTAAAAAGTCGACACATCGAAAAATCCAGAAGTCACAAATGGAAAAGTCGAAGAACAGAAATATTGAAAAATTCAAGAACTGAACTATCGAAAAACTGAAAATTGAAAGAAAAACTGACGAATCGAAAAACTAAAAATCCCAAAACCGAAATATCCAAAAACTGAGAATCCAAAGAATCAAAAAATTGAGAAATCGAAAAATTAAAAAAGTGAAGTCGAAATATCAAAACCTTAAAAAAATCTAAAAATTGAATAATCAGAAACCTGCAAAATCGTAAGATCGAAAAACTGAATAAGAAGTAAACTGAAAAATCCCAAAACTGTAATCTATAAAAACTGAGAAATTAAAAAATTGAGAAATCGAAGAATCAAAAAAGTGAAGTTGAAAAATCGAAACCTGAAAAACTAGAAAAATTAAAAAACCAAAAAGCCTGAAAAATCAATCCAATGAAAAATCGACAAATAAAGGGTTTATAAAATTCAAAAATAGAAAAATCCAAAAATTGAATAATAAATAAGAGTAAACTGAAAAACTGAGAATTCGAAAGTTGAAACAGCAAGAAATTATGGTCGAAACCGGTTAGGATGTGTATCAGATCACGGATCATGGCTTATAAATCAAATCGTTTCCGAACGCTTAGAGTCGACATTGGCTTGAGTGCGCTCTAGTCTGTAGATCAAACAAGTTCTCAGACGACGAACTGTAATTCGTGTGACCTGAATTAAAGTGAAGAAAACAGTAAGCAGCTTGTAATATTCTGGTAAATCTAATGTCAATTTTCGAAAGTAAAACGCTTCTCTATGTTCTCTGGTTTGTCATTAATCTCCTGCAACCTCGATCAACTGCGCAGTGCGCATGCTTACACAAAAGTTACTACCTGTCCCTAGAACACCAAGACTTGTCAAAATCGACGTTTTGAATGTTTTTGTAATGACCGTAATTACGCATTGCGTGTGCGGGGGTTGACGACACGTGACAACTCCCCGCTTGACCCTCGTCCCACGCTTGACCACCCTTATCCATGTACCGTCAAATCACAACATAACCTCACACGTCATCTGTCATTCATCATCTCGCATTATTGTTGTCACTGCGATAACAACAATGCAATTTTATGGTTTTTCACCGAAAACACGGTCTAATCGCTCCGTTGCCTCCTTTGCCGCCCCACACCGCCCAACACCCAACTAGGTTATCTAACAGTACTTCAAGTAGGAGGGGTAAACCGTATTGATTTTTGCCACGACTTGTTGCTTCTTTCTCATGAGTTCCGACTCTCTTCCTTCGGCAGTGGAGGAGGAACAATCTGTTGGTCTGCTCAGGTGCGTATTGCCCCACGTCGCCTTATTTTAACAAAAATACAACAACAACCAACTCTTTATTATAATTTATAAATAAATAAAAAAAAATTAATTTACAAAATAACGACCAATTTTTGCAGCAACACGATGGAGGCCCGAGCCGAACACCTCAAGACCCGCAACTACCGCTCTCTGTACTACTTCACCACCGCGCTGGGGGTGGGCATGATGGTCATGATGCTGACATGGTTGGTGAAGCACAGAGGGGGCTTCTCCTGGTCGTCCAACACCAAGACGCAGTTCAACTGGCACCCGTTGCTCATGAGCATCGGGATGCTGTTCATTTACGGGCACTGTGAGTGGCTTTGGTGGAGAGGTTTGCTCTAAATTGGGTTTTGCAGCAATTCTTGTGTACAGGACGGGGAGGGCTGCCCCGAAAAAGAGACTGAAAATTTTGCATGCTTTACTCCATGGCACGACCTTTATTTTGGCGGTGATTGCTCTGAAGGCCGTGTTCGACTCGCACAATTACGCCAAGCCCCCAATTGCCAATTTGTATACGTTCCATTCGTGGTTTGGACTGATCACGGCGATTTTGTTTACTGGACAGGTGAGTGGCAGGGGGGGGGGGAGTGACTTAAGTTAAGTAAGGTCTGCGGCGTGGTTCCGCGTTTTTTTTTTAAGTAATTATTCAAGCGATAAGGCGGCCGGTGTTTAAGGAAATGAGTCATTCTTTCATGTACGTGGTCTATTTTGTGTCTAATTAAAAAAAAATCGTGTTTAGGCAAATATAATAATAGCGCTTCCTGTAGAAAGTAACCTATTTATGTAATTGTTAACAAAGAATTGTTATTTAATTTTTTAGTTTCTGTTCGGCTTTATGAGCTTCCTCTACCCCGGTCTTTCCAAAACCCTCCGCTCGGCGGTGCTTCCGGTCCACGTGGCCACCGGGACTGCGATTTTCGTCCTAGCTTTGATCTCAGCCCTCACAGGGCTCACGGAGAAAACGCTCTGGACTTTGTAAGTCATTATTATTTTTTTTTTATAGTTTAAATGGGAAACATCACGATTTTTTTATTCCAGGGACACCGGTTACGCACAGCTTCCGTCTGAAGCCATCCTGATTAACTTTCTAGCGCTCTTCCTCGGCTTTTTCGGCGTTTTTGTTCTCTATTTGGTCAACGATCCCGATTTCAAGAGGACTAACTTGCCGGAAGACGAGGTGGCTTTGGCCAGTAGCGATTGATTTGGTGCTATTTTGCCGATGTTTTGAGTGGTTGGTGATGATGAGTGTTGAGGAGGTTGGTAGGAGTGGCTGATTTCACCAATGCAGTTACCACTGAGATGTGACTGGTATCGCTAATCTTACTATATTTTGTGCTTAATTGTTTAAAGTATTTTTTATAATTGTAACTTTGGTGCTACTGTTTGGTCTCTATTTTGTAAAGTTTACACAGTCTGACTATGTAAGTGATGTATCCCAAATATATGTATATTTATGTCAACGCACACGTGGTGGTTTTTGTTTCCCGTTCTAGGCATGAAATTCCTAAAATTGGTGGGCGATTAAAGGCTTCATTTGGGGGTTTACTAAAAAAAGGACGGTTTGTTCGAGGTTCTTAACATTTTGAAAGGTCAAATTTGGTAAAAAATTCAAAAAATAAACCGGTTGTTTCACATTCTTAAATAAAAAAATTGACAGAAACGCTTTAACAAAATAAGAAGGATCCCAAGATTTTTCTAAAAGTGTCCAAAAGAATGTTAGAAACTCTTCCAAAAACAAGATAGCTGGGGTTCCCAAGATTTTTCCATTCTTCAAAAAAAAGACAGCAGGTGCCCAAAAATTATTACGAAGTCTTTCAATTATAAATACATTTTTTCCAAAACAAAACACTACGATCCCAAAGATTCCTTCACATTCTTAAATAAAAAAATCACAAGAGTTCGCAAAATTGTTACAAACTCTTTCAGAAACAAGACAGCTGGGGTTCCCAAAATTTTTCCACGTTCTTAAAAAAATACTAAAAGTTTCCCAAATTTGAGCCATTTTGCTAAAGTTAAATACAAATAACAAAAAATTGAGATTTACCCAAAGCGTTAGATATAACAGCGATTTTTGACCTTTAAGGTTCTTCAGTTTTTCGATTTTACTATTTGTTAGTTTTTCGATATTTCCGATTTTTCAGTTGTTCCATTTTTCGATTTTAATTCTGCAATTTTTAGATTTTCCAATTTCTATTTTTCGATTTTTCAGGTTCTAGATTTTTAATTTTCCAATTTTTCGATTTTCCAGGTTTTCAATTTTACAATTTTTCGATTTTTTATTTTTTTGGTTTCAATTTCTCGATTTGCAGTTTTTCAAACTTTGTATTTTAGATTTTAATTTTCTGTTTTTTCAATTTCTCGTTTTTTTGCTTTTTCCGTTTCCCCAATTTATCAATTTGCAATTTTTCGAATTTTTCAATTTAACGCTTTCCAAATTTCTAGAAATGTTAAAAGGTTCAATTTTTCGATTTTTCAACTTTTACGTTTCTTCAATTTTTCGATTTTTTTAATTTCAGATATTTTAATTTTTCGTTTTTTTTTTTTATTTTTCGGTTTCTCAATTTCTGGATTTTCAGCTCTTGATTTTAAAAATTTTTCATTTCTTCAATGTTTTTAAACTTGCAATTTTTCGGATTTTTAGTTTAAGATTTTCAATTTTTCAACTTTTCGTTTCTTCAATTTTTCGATTTGCAATTGTTCAAACTTAATATTTTAGATTTTAATTTTTTTTTTAATTTCTCCTTTTTCCACTTTTTCCGTTCCTCCAATTTATAGATTTGCAATTTTTCGCTTTCCAATTTTCTAGAAATGTTAAGATTTTGATTTTTCAGTTTCTCGATTTTTAATTTTAATTTTCTCAATTTTTCGGTTCTTCAATTTTGTTCCAATTGCAGTTTGTTCATTTATCAATTTTTCAGCTTTCGATTTAAAAATTTTTTCATTTCTTCAATATTTTCACTTGCAATTATTCGGGTTTTTAGGTTAACATTTTCAATTTCTCGATTTTTGAGTTTTTCCGTTTGTCAATTTTCAGCTCTATATTTTTAAAACTTTTCATTTCTTCAATATTTTTAAATGCAATTTTTCGGCTTTTTAGTTTAAGATTTTCAATTTTCCGATTTTTCACCTTTTCGTTTCTTCACTTTTACGATTGTACTTTTTTTTATTTTTCAATTTTACAATTCATAGATCTTTCAACTTTTGGATATTTTAAACTTTTAAACTTTTCATCTTTGAAATTTTTCGTTTTCCAATCTTTCAATTATTCAAGCTGCAGTTTGTTTGAGTATCCAACATTTCAATTTTCGAATTTCTGGGCTTCCAATTTTTAAATGTTCCGATTTTTCAACTTTTCGTTTTTTCAGTTTTACGATTATGCAACTTTACAATTTTTTAATCTTTCGAGATTTTCGTTTTTACGATTTTTCATTTCCTCAATTTTTCATTTTTTCCGTTTCATCAGTTTTTAGATTTGTAATGTTTTGATTTTTCAGCCTTCGAGTTTTTCAATTCCTACGCTTTTTCACTTTTGAATTTTTCAGTTTTCGATTTCAAATTTTCCGATTTTTTCATTTTCTCGAATTTTTATTTTTCAATCTTTTGTTTTTTCAATGATTCGATTTGCATTTTTTGAGTTTCCAATTTTTCGATTATCAACATTACAATGTATCCATTTTTTAGTTTTTAGATATTTTTCGTTTTTACGATTTTTCAGTTCCTCATTTTCACCGTTTCCGTTTCTTTAATTTTTAGATTTTCAATGTTTCAATTTTTCAACCTTGAATTTTTCAATCCATAGACTTTTTACTGTCGGATTTTTCAGTTTTAAATTCTTTTTTTTTAATTTTTAGATATTTTAATGTTTTGTTTTTTCATTTTTTAGATTTTTCATTTTCCCGATTTACTATTTTTTAATCTGATGTTTTTTCAATTAATTTGTTTGCATCTTTTTGAGTATTCAATTTTTCGATTTTCAACTTTAGAATTTTTCGGTTTTTCTTTTTGTCAGTTTTTCCTTTTGCAACTTTTCCATTTTACAGTTTTCCGAATTTACCCTTTTCTATTTATTATTTTTGATATATGTATTTAAGTTTTCGTGTTTTGACTGTTTTGACTCTTAGTTTTCTGATTTTCCAGTTTTCAATTTTTTTATTACAATTACGTAATTTGGAATTGCAACATCGATTTTTACTTTTTCCGCATTTCTTCAATTTTTGGATTCGTAAATTTTCATTTCTTCGATTTTTCAATTTCGCGATAATTTTTGATTTTTAGATTTTTCGCTTTTTCAATTTTCAGGTAGATTAATTTTTCGTCTTTTCAGGCTTTTGATTGTTCACTTTTTCCGTTTCGATTTGCAATTTGGCGAGTTTTCAAGTTTTAATTTTTCAGTTTTATGATTTTGGAACTTTCGAATTTTTTTGATTTTACAATTTTTTGTTTCGAATTTATTTTCTCCATTTTTACAAATTTTTCCATTTTCAAGGTTCCGATTTTTTGTTTTTTCAAATTTAAATTTTTCGATTTAAATTTTTTTCAATTTTTCGTTTCTTCAATTTTCCGATTTTTCAAATTTTAGATTGCTTAATTCTTCGTTTTTTCAATTTTAGATTTTTTAGTTTCTTGATTTTTCAAATTTTCGTTTCTTTAGTCTTTGATTTGCAAATTTTCTAGTCATGTTCATGTGTTCATTTGTTCAATTTTTGCGATATTAGAATTTTTCCATTTTTCAATTATTAATTTTAAAATATTTTTCATTTATTTGATTTTTCAATTTATCGTTTAATTTTTCAATTTTATCTCAGTACGTAATTTTTCATTTTTTCCATCTTTCAGTTGTTCCAGTTTTTGGATTTTACAATTCTCACGATTCTATAATTTTTCGATTTACAATTTTTCAGTTTTTCATCTTTTTTAATTTTACAATATTTGGATATTTTAATTTTTAGATTTTGCAATTTTTGAAATTGCAGATTCACAAGTTTTCAATTTTTTGATTTTTCAGTTTATCATTTCTTCAATTTTTTAATTTACAATTTTTCGTTTCAGTTTTTCATTTTCTTTATTTTTCAGTTTTTGCGATTTTTCAATGTTCTGTTTTTTTTCACTTTTCTTTTTTTTTTAATGTAATATTTTTCAGTTTTGCATTTTTCAATGTGTATTTCGATTTACAATTTTCCGATTTTTCAACTTTTAGATTGCTTAATTCTTCGTTTTTTCAATTTTAGATTTTTTAGTTTCTTGATTTTTCAAATTTTCGTTTCTTTAATCTTTGATTTGCAAATTTTCTAGTCATGTACCTATATAATAATAATTTTTAAAATTCTTCATTTGTTCAATTTTTGCGATATTAGAATTTTTCCATTTTTCAATTATTGATTTTAAAATATTTTTCATTTATTTGATTTTTCAATTTTTCGTTTAATTTTTCAATTTTATCTCAATACGTAATTTTTTATTTTTTCGATCTTTCAGTTGTTCCAGTTTTTGAATTTTACAATTCTCACGATTCTATAATTTTTCGATTTACAATTTTTCAGTTTTTCATTTTTTTTAATTTTACAATTTTTGGATATTTTAATTTTTAGATTTTGCAATTTTTGAAATTGCAGATTCACAAGTTTTTAATTTTTTGATTTTTCAGTTTTCCATTTCTTCAATTTTTTGATTTACAATTTTTCTTTTCAGTTTTTCATTTTCTTTGTTTTTCAGTTTTTGCGATTTTTCAATGTTCTGATTTTTTTTTACTTTTTCTTTTTTTCAATGTAATTTTTTTCAGATTTAGATTTTTCAATATGTATTTCAACTTACAATTTTCCGATTTTTCAACTTTTAGATTGCTTAATTCTTCGTTTTCAATTTTAAATTTTTTAGTTTCTTGATTTTTCAAATTTTCGTTTCTTTAATCTTTGATTTGCAATTTTTCTAGTCATGTACCTATACCGGGTGTTTCTTTTATTTGATACAACCCCTGTAAATTTTTTATTTTTAAAGATAAATCTGTAGTTCTTTGAGCAAATTTGTATCATTTTAAAAGATCTAGTGATGACAACAATTTTTCAATTGTTTTTCAAGCAACTAGATTTTGAAATAAACGGAAAATTTTGGAGATATTTTACTAAATAACTTTTTTATTATTGATTTTAGAATATTGGTTGCTTGTGATTTTTTGTAGTGAAAAAATCAATCTTTCCATTTATGAAAAAATATACCTAGTGTTCCATTAAAAAAAAATAAGTTGACGTCATTTCCGGTTCTACCGCCAGTGATAATAAAAATGTGTGCTTACCATCATATAAATCTTTGAGAATGATACAAATTTGGTTAAAGAACTACGGGTTTATCTTCAAGAATAAAAAAGTTACAGGGGTTGTATCAAATAAAAGAAACACCCTGTATAATAATAATTTTTAAAATTCTTCATTTTTTCAATTTTTGCGATATTAGAATTTTTCCATTTTTCAATTATTGATTTTAAAATATTTTTCATTTATTTGATTTTTCAATTTTTCGTTTAATTTTTCAATTTTATCTCAATACGTAATTTTTTATTTTTTCGATCTTTCAGTTGTTCCAGTTTTTGAATTTTACAATTCTCACGATTCTATAATTTTTCGATTTACAATTTTTCAGTTTTTCATTTTTTTTAATTTTGCAATATTTGGATATTTTAATTTTTAGATTTTGCAATTTTTGAATTTGCAAATTCACAAGTTTTCAATTTTTTGATTTTTCAGTTCCTCATTTCTTCAATTTTTTAATTTACAATATTTCGTTTCAGTTTTTCATTTTCCTTATTTTTTAGTTTTTGCCATTTTTCAATGTTCTGATTTTTTTTCACTTTTTCTTTTTTTAATGTAATATTTTTCAGTTTTGCATTTTTCAATGTGTATTTCGATTTACAATTTTTCGATTTTTCAACTTTTAGATTGCTTAATTCTTCGTTTTCAATTTTAGATTTTTTAGTTTCTTGATTTTTCAAATTTTCGTTTCTTTAATCTTTGATTTGCAATTTTTCTAGTCATGTACCTATATAATAATAATGTTTAAAATTCTTCATTTGTTCAATTTTTGCGATATTAGAATTTTTCCATTTTTCAATTATTGATTTTAAAATATTTTTCATTTATTTGATTTTTCAATTTTCCGTTTAGATTTTAAATTTTATCTCAATACGTAATTTTTCATTTTTTCGATCTTTCAGTTGTTCCAGTTTTTGGACTTTACAATTCTCACGATTCTATAATTTTTCGATCTTACAATTTTTGGGTTTTCCACTTTTTCGATTCATAATTTTTTTTCTATTATTAGGTTTTAATTTTTCGATGTTTCAACTTTTCATTTTTTCTTCGATTTAGTTTTTAATTTTTCAGTTTTTCGCTTCTTCATTTTTCGATTGGCAATTTTTCCATTTTACAGTTTTTAATTTTTTAATTTTAGATACATATTTTCGTTTTTTTGTGTTTCGATGCTTAATTTTTAGCTTTTTTCAGCTTTTAAATTTTTTAATTATTTACAATCACGCAATTTGAAATTGAAATCGCGATTTTTACTTTTTAACCGCTTCTTCAATTTTTCGATTCTTCAATTTCTAGATATGTACTACTATTAAAATTTTTCATTTCTTTAATTTTTCGGTTCACAATTTTCCCGTTTTTCGATTTTTTAATTTTTCGTTTTTTCAGTTTTTCCGTTTTTCAATTCATCGATATTTCAACTTTTAAATTTTTCAATTTTTCACTTTTTTAGTTTCTCCAAGTGTTCGAGTTTCAATTTTGCAATTTTTCTAGTTTACAGTGTTTTGATTTGACACTTTTCGATATTTTAAATTTTGTATTTCTGAATTTTGCAATTTTTTGAAGTCTCAATTTTTTATTTCTTCAGTTTTTCCATTTTTGGGTTTTGGGATTTTTAAATTTCTCGATTTTTACTTTTTTTTTAATCGATATTCCAACTTTTGAATTTTTCAATTTTACGATTTTTCAATTCTACAATCTTTCAATTTTTCAGGTTTTCCGTTTTCCCACATTCATAAAAAAAATCAGAAGGGCCTCCAAGAGTGTTAAAAACTCTTTAAAAAAAGACGTTAAGGATCCCAAGATTTTTCTACACTCTTAAAAAAGACATCCTCACTTTCAAAAACAAAACAGAAAAGGTTCCCAAGATTCTTCTACACTGATGTGTCAAAGCTATTTAGACAGAACTTCCCTCGCATCTCGAAATCGGTTAGATACAATACACAGGGAAAGTAACAGCGATTAAAAGTAAAGGCGGATTCATAATTCATAAGTATAGGAATATATGTATTATTAAAAAAAAATCAATAGGGTTTAATGTACAAAAGGGATGTTACCACACTGTTAGTGGGGATGATTAGTCGCATTTTCCTTAGCGTTTTACCATCTACATACATGACAAAAATACAATAGGATTTGACAATTGGTCCAGTAGTTCGGAGATTATCTGTCTAATAAAACAAACAGACAGACAGACAGACAGACAGACAGACAGACAGACAGACAGACAGACAGACAGACAGACAACAGACAGACAGACGGAAACAGGAGATCTATTTTTTCGTTCTTTAGGGTTCATTAGACGATGAGAAAACATGAAAGTAGCCAATCGTCCGACTGTTCTTATTTGCAAACATTCCAACACCGAACTTTCTAAAAGTCGAAACCCAGTGCTGCCAACACATCTCCACGTTGGCAACACTAAAAATCGCCAAACACCTAAACCCCTGGCTTATTGATTTCGCTAATCCCACACCATGCGGTTGTTATCACAAATTCACCTGTAAGTGAAACCGCACAAAATCGCCTTTATGTCCCCCGCACAATTATACCTTTTGTGCTAACATCTGTGCTAATGTCTGTTTTGTAACAACACTCACCCAACCTGACCTCCAGTGACGTCCGCTATGTACACGAACACGAAAGCAAAATATTTGTTTTAATTCCCCATTATCGACTGACCTCTGTTTATCAGCAGGCTCCGCAGCAGTCGAACCCGGTCCTGATAAAAATCAGTCGTTGGAGATGTTCGCGAGGGTACTGAGGAACATTTGCCGGAATGAGGGCGCCTCGAGGGTGCTTCGGAAGGGTTTCGCCACCGAGGGCAAGGGCGAAGTGACCGCCCTGTACGAATTCCACGTGGAAAACGGCGGGAGAATGGTCAACTTCGGGGGGTTCATGCTGCCGGTGCAGTACGCGGACCTGGGGATCGCAGCTTCGCACCTGCACACGAGGAAGAGTGCTTCGATGTTCGATGTTTCGCATATGCTTCAAACGGAAATTGTGGGTGAGTTGTTGGATGGGGTCACGATGTGTGATAAAAGCTGAGTTTAATGACAAGTTTCGCAACCTACACGAGTGCGGAAAGTTTTCGTAACAAATGTACAGGATGTCATCACGGTTTGGTGGCGAAAAACGCATTACTTGGGGTTTTGTAAAAAAAAATTGGTTGAAGTTTATTTCGACAGAACTTTCCTTGCCCAACAAAACTCGTTTTTTTTTGAAAAATTATAAACATTTTTTGCGATTTTTGTTTTTTGTAGAGGTTATTATAAAGTTAAAACCAGTGGCGTACTACCTGTTTTTTCAGTTTTTCGATTTAGAATTTTTCGAGTTGTCAAGATTAAAATCTTTAATTTTTCATTTCTTTAAATTTTCGATCTTTCAATGTTCCAATTTTCAACTTTTCATTTTTTGTTCATTAATTTTGTGATATGCTGCAACTCTTCGAGTTTTCATTTCTAAATTTTTCAAGTTTCCGATTTTTGAACTTTTGGATGTTTGAATTCTTAGATTTGCAATTTTCGATTTGCCATTTCACGATTTTCGATTTTTTAGTTTTTCAATTTTTTTATTTTTTAATTATCCATTTGTTCAATTTTTCGATTTGCAATTTTTCGATTTTTCAACTTTTAGATTTCTTAATTTTTCCTTTAAATTTTCAATCTTTTTCAGTTTCATGATTTTTCAGTTTGTCGTTTCTTCAATTTTTGATTTGCAATTTTTCTAATTTTCATTTTAAATACGTATCAAATAATTATTATAATTTTTTTAACTTTCATTTATTCGATTTTCAATTTTTCAAATTTTCGATTAATTTTTCAAAATTCCGTTTTTCGATTACAATTTTGGCGATTCTTTAATTATTCAATTTTACAATGTTTGGGTTTTCCACTTTTTCGATTCGATTTTTTTTTCTTTCCAATTTTTCGCTTCATGAATTTTTCATTTTGTCAATTTTTTATTTTTCAACTTTCAAATTTTTGGTTTTACAATTTTTCCATTTTTTTTTATGTTTTAGATACATATTTTAATTTTCGTTTTTTTTTTAGTGTTAAGTTTCTTAATTTTTTGCTTTTTAGGTTTTGGATTTTTTAATAATTTTTTTTAACCACGCAATTTTTGGATTTTTTATTTTTCGAGTTTTCAATTTAAAATTTTTCAAATTTTTTAATTTTTTAATTTTTTAATTTTTCAACTTTTCTGTTTCTTCAATTTTACAATTTTTAAATTTTTTGATTTTCCTATTTTTAATTTCTCAATTTTTCAATATTTCACGTTCCCAATTTTTAATTTTTAAGTGTTTGATTTTTTTCACTTGTACAATTTACAATTTTTAGATTTTTAAATTTTTTGATTTTCCGATTTTTGATTTTTCAATTTTTCGATATTTCTTTTTCTCAATTTTTAATTTTTTTGTGTTTCGTTTCTTCAGTTATACGATTTACAATTTTCAATTTTTACGAATTATACAATTTACAATTATGTATTTGAGTTTTCAATTTCTCGGTTTCGAATTTTTCAACTTTTCATCTCTTCACTTTTTCGATTTGCAATTTTTCCTTTGTACGGTTTTTCGATTTTTAAATTTTCAGTTTTTTCAGCTTTTCGATTTTTCACTTTTCCGCATTTCATTCAATTTTTTGATTAGCAATTTTTGGGTTTTCAATTTAAAATTTTTCAATTTTAGATTTTTTTAATTTTTCGATTTTTCAACTTTTCGTTCCTTCGGTTATACGAATGTGCAATTTTTCAGTTTTTCGATTTCCAATTTTTCAGTTTTTCGATTTCCAATTTTTCGATAGTCCAATTTTACAATTTTTCTATTTTTCATTTTTTCTATTTCTTCAATTGTTCGATTTGCAATTTTATTTTTCCATTTTACAGTATTTCGATTTTTTGATTTGACTATTTTTGAATTTTAGAAAAAAAATTTTAAAATTTTTGAATTCTTAAATTTTAACTTTCGAATTTTTCATTTTTTTTATTCTTTTATTCTTCACTTTTTCGGTTTGGATTTTTAAATTTTTTGAATTCCCTTTTTTTTTCTCTAGTTCGATTTGCAATTTTGCTGATTTAACAATTTCTCAATTTTTAATTTTTCAGTTTTTCGTTTCTTCAATTATACAATTCATAATTTTTTGAGCTTTCAATTTTTCGATTACCAAATTTTTCAATTTGTCATTTCTTTGCTTTTTCGGTTGGAAATTTTTCAATTTTATGGTTTTTCGATTTGTAATTTTTTGTTTTTTCGGCTCTTCGATTTTTCACTTTTTTCGTTTTCTTCAATTTTTGGAATAGCAATTTTTAACTTTTGAATTCAAAATTTTTCAATTTATCGATTTTTCAATTTTAGAATTTTTTATTTTTCGATTTTTCAACTTTTGATTTCTTCATTTATACGATTGTACAATTTTTCGGTTCTGCTATGTAAAATTTTTCAGTTTTACAATTTTTTAATTTTTCACTTTTTCTGTTTCTTCAATTGTTCGATTTGCATTATATGGTTTCCATTTTACTATTTTTCGATTTCCTAATTTTTATGCAAATTTTTGAATTCTCAAATTTCAACTTTCGATTTTTCAAGTTTTTTGTTCTCCAATTTTTTAGTATGCAATTTTTCTACGTTACACTTTCTCGATTTTTCAATTTTCCAGTTTTTTAAACTTTTTCTTTAGTTTCACGATTATGAGATCTTACGATTTTTGGAATAGTCAATTTTTCGATTTTTAAATTTTAAATATTTTAAATTTTGGTTTTTCAATTTTTTGATATGCAATTTTTCGAATTATCAATTAAAATTTTTCCGTTTTTCAATTTCAAAATTTTTGACTTTACAGTTTTTCGGTTTTTAATTTTTAGATGTTATAATTCTCCGTTATAATTTGGCGTTTTAACCTTTCGATTTTTCAACTTTTTATTTCATTTTTTGGATTTTTTATTTCTCAATGTTTCACTTTTTGACTTTTTTTGTTTTTTCAATTTGTCAACCTGACATTCTTCGATTCGAGTCGTTTCCTCTTTCCAATTTTTCGATTCATTAATTTTCTCGATCTTTCATTTCTTCAGTTCTTCGATTTCCAGTTTTTCAGTTTCTCGATTTTCCGTTCTTTCATCTATTCGATTTGCAATTTTTGAGTTTTTGATTTTTCAACATCCGAATTTTTCAGTTTTTCATTTCTTCATTTTGCGTTTTACAATTTTTCCATTTTACAGTTTTTGATTTTTATATTTTAATTTTAGTTTTTTTAGTGTCTCGTTTTTTCATTCTTCGCTTTTTTAGTTTTTACATTTTTTAATTATTGTTTTACAATCACGCAATTTGAAATGGAACTGAATTTTTCGGTTTGAAGATTTTCCATTTTGCAGTTCTTCGATTCTTCACTAATTCCTTTTTTTTCAATTTTTGGATAAGCAATTTTTAAGTTTTCAATTCAAAATTTCCAATTTTACGGTTTTTCGATTTTTAATTTTTTATTTTTTCAGCTTTTCGATTTTTCAATTTCTAAATTTTTCCATTTTTTTTTATTCAAATAGTTGAATCTAAAAATTAAAAATCCAAAAACTAAAAAATCTAAAAAAAATGAAAAATCTAAACGGAGAAAACTAAAAATTGTAAAATCGAAAAAGTTGAACATCAAAAAACTGAAAATCAAAGAACTGAAGAAACGAAAAATCGAAACGTTGAAAATCGAGAAACTTAAAAATAAAAAAATAATGAATCGAAAAATTAGAAAGAAGAAAAAACGAATGGAATTGAAAAATTGGAAAACTCAAAAAAACTATAGAATTGTCAAAAATGTAGAGTCGGAAAACTGTAACGCTGAAAGAAAATATGAACATTAATTTTGTTTTAAATATAAAATTAAAAATCCAAAAATTTCACCCGGAAAAAGTAACAAACGAGATTTCAGTTTCAAATTACGCAATTCTTAAAAAAAATGTTCAAAATTCAAAAAATCGAAAAGGATAAAATCGGAAAACTGTAAAATGAAAATCGAAAAATGAAGGAAATGACAAACTGAAAAATTCGAAAGTTGGAAAAACTAAAAAATCTGAAAATTTTAAAAACCGAAAAATTTTAAATAAAAAACCGAAAACTTCAAAATATTGAAAATCGACAATTCAAAAGTTAAAAAATCGAAAAACCAAAAATTCTGAATTAATATTCAAAAAAAGCAAATAAAAAAAATTGAAAATTTGTAAAATTGCGTAGTCGTAAAACTGTAGGAGCGAGAAGTTGAAAATTTAAAAAATTTGAAATGGAAAACCTGAAAAATTGAAGAGTTGAAAAATTAAAAAATGCGAAATTTGGAAACTGGAAAACTCAAGTTGCAAGTAGAATAATTAAAGAAATGAAAAACTGAAAAATCAAAAATTAAAATATCTAGAAAATGAAACATGGAAAAATTGGAAATCGAACCATTTAAAAAAAAATCGAAAAAAAGTCAAAATGTGAAACAGGGAAATTGAAAATCCAAAAAATCAAGAAATAAAAACTTGTAAAATCGAAAGTTAAAACGCCAAAAAATTGTAAACTTTAAAATTGAAAAATAAAAAACTGAGAAATTGAAAAATCTAGAAAATGAAAAAAAGAAAAATTACAACATCTAAAAATTAAAGACCGAAAAACTCTAAAGCCAAAAATTTTCAAATCGAAAAATTTTAAATTAAAAATTCGAAAAATACGAATATCCAAATGTTGAAAAATCGAAAAAGTGTAAAATAGAAAAATTGCATATTGAAAAATTGGAGAACTAAAAAATTGAAAAATTCAAAAGTTAAAATTTGGGAATTCAAAAATTTGCACAAAAATTAAGAAATCGAAAAATAGTAAAATGGAAAACATATAAAATTGCACATCGAAAAATTGCAGAAACGGAAAAAGCGAAAAATTAAAAAATTGTAAAACTGAAAAATCGAAACATTTTACATAGAAGAACCGAAAAATTGTGCAATCGTATAACTGAAGAAACCAAAAGTCGAAAAATCGAAAAATAAAAAATTCTAAAATTGAAAAATCAATAAATTGAAAAATTTTGAATTAAAAACTCAAAAATTGCTAATCCAAAAATTGACGAAAAAGGAGAAAGTGAAAAATCGAAAAGCCGAAAAAACAAAAAATTAAAAATCGAAAAACCATAAAATCGGGAAATTTCCAACCGAAAAAGTGAAGAAATGAAAAATTGAAAAATTTGAAAATCGAAAAATTGAAAAAAAAATCGAGAAACTAAAAAATCTGAAAATTTAAAAAATCGAAAAATTTTAAATAAAAAACCGAAAAATTCAAAATGTTGAAAATCGAACAATTCAAAAGTTAAAAAATCGAAAAACTAAAAATTCTGAATTGAATATTCAAAAAAAGCTAATCAGAAAATTGAAAATTTGTAAAATTGTGTAGTCGTAAAACTGTAGGAACAAGAAGTTGAAATTGAAAACCTGAAAAATTGAAGAACTGAAAGATTAAAAAATGCGAAAAGTGGAAACTGGAAAACTCAAATTACAAGTAGAATAATTAAAGAAATGAAAAACTGAAAAGAAAAAAATTAAAATACCTAGAAAATGAAACATCGAAAAATTGGAAATCGAAACATTTAAAAAAAATCGAAAAAAAAATCAAAATGTGAAACAGGGAAATTGAAAATCCAAAAAATCAAGAAATAAAAATTTGAAAAATCGAAACTTAAAACGCCAAAAAATTGTAAACTTTAAAATTGAAAAACAAAAAATTGAGAAATTGAAAAATCTAAAAAATGAAAAAACGAAAAATTACAACATCTAAAAATTAAGGACAGAAAAACTGTGAAGTAAAAAATTTTCAAATCGAAAAACTGGAAAATTTAAAATTAAAAATTCGAAAAATTGGAAAATCCGAAAGTTGAAAATTCGAAAGCTAAAATAGAAAAATTGGATATTGAAAAATTGGAGAACTAAAAAATTGAAAAATTCGAAAGTTAAAATTTGGGAATTCAAAAATTTGCACAAAAATTAAGAAACCGAAAAATAGTGAAATGGAAAACATAAAATTGAAAATCGAAAAATTGAAGAAACGGAAAAAGTGAAAAATTAAAAAATTGTAAAACTGAAAAATCGAAAAATTTTACACAGAAGAACCGAAAAATCAATAAATTGAAAAATTTTGAATTAAAAGCTCAAACATTGCTAATCCAAAAATTGAAGAAAACGGAGAAAGTGAAAAATCGAAAAGCCGAAAAAACAAAAAATTAAAAATCGAAGAACCATAAAATCGTAAACTTGCAAATCGATCACTAGAAAAAAAAAAAGGAAATTCAAAAAAGTTAAAAATTCAAAATTCTAAAATTGAAAAATCAAAACTTGTAAAATTGAAAAATAGAAAAAAATACAATCGTAAAACTGAGGAAACCAAAAGTTGAAAAATCGAAAAATAAGAAAATCTAAAATTGAAAAATTTTTAATTGAGAATTCAAAAATTGCTAATCCAAAAATTGAAGAACGCGGAAAAAGTGAAAAATCGAGAAATGAATAATTGTAATATCGAAAAATTACAAAACAAAAATTAATTTTGCAAAATCGAAAAATCATGAAATCAGAACATTGAAAAATTCAAATTTTGAAAAAACAAAAAAAAAATAAAGAAACGAAAATTTCCATATCGAAAAATTGGTTAGCGTTTTACCATCTACATGATATTTCTAAAATATGTACACACAAAATTTGACAACATCAGTCCAGTAGTTTCGGAGATTATCTGTCTAATTAAAATCCGGACAGACGACAGACAAACAGACAGACAGACAGCAACGGGAGACTTATTTCTTCGTACTCTAGGGGTCATGAAATGTCGAGAAAACATTAGAATAGGGTGTCAGTCGATGGGCTTGATTACAATACTTTCTTAGCTTACACTCGGGAAGTTAAAATCGTATAACTATTGGTTTTGTGACAAAGCCATAATTAAAAGGAAGCTCGACCTTGCTCTCGATAAACACAAGCAGCTGATAAATGAAGTACAAATATGTACAAACAAATAAAACTAATGCGACAATTTGCATATCTGTATACGAGTTTTATGGTTCGAACATTGTACTAAAAGTGTTCAAACAACCAGGCCCGTATTTGACTGATTTACACATTTTTAATTCATCACACAAAATTCCTCGCATCATAAAAAACCAAATTAAAATTGACATTTTACTCACCCGCCAAATCCATCCGCAGATTTACTTCACAGCATTTCCTGGAAAAAATAACGTCATTAATCTTACGCTTTACATACTAATGTTGTGTTTAAACTTGTGGAATCGTTAGCGTCTCACATTAATTTTGGGTGGTGTATAAAACGCTATTAATATGTAATACACGTATCTATAGTCGATTCCTTTTGTATTCAGCCTGAGTAAATAAAATGTACCTTCAAAGTAAATAAAACAAAACATTCGTCACACTTTTATTAAAACACAATTTTGCGCTTTTATCTTAAAACGTTGACGTTCTCTCTCTCTGGTATACTTGATTTTCCAGCTGTGTATTTTGGTTCTTTCTATGTCTGTATTTCTCTTTTAACTCTAGGTAAAACAGAAACACTGCAATGTGTATTGGCCATTCGATGATTATTGCAAGTATCAAAAATACCCAAAAAATAATAGCGAAGTAACTCATGGCTACAAAGTACCCTGTAATGAGAAGTAACCCTGGGCTGGTTATTAAAAGATAAGCCAAAACAAATGTGTGGTCGTTCTGAAAAAAAAACAAAGTAATTTAAATCGTTTTAAACAACCACACAAAAAAAGTTTACCATATATGCTCCAATGAAAAGTAAGATTCCGGAAAGTATCGCCAAGAGGGCGCCACAAACGACAAGCAGGGGACCCACAGATTCGTCGTGGCCGTTAATCCACTGGTTGGATGCAGTTAGTAAATTATAGCCCCCTACTACCTTAAAAGTACGCTAGTTTGAAAAGTACTAAGAAAAAGGGTACTTACAAATTTGAGACCTATAGCGCTGTACGAAATAAAACGGATTAAATGGGAGCGAAAAGACATTGTGGATGGCTCGCGCAATTAAAATGGTAAAACAGACGTGATGCACCTTTATAAAGGTTGAAGACTTTATGAGTCAAAATGATTATCATGCTAATTCATCGTACCAAATATATCGTTAAAATCGCAATGCTAAAAAAGGTTTTGATGTTATCGTCGGAAACGAAACGTTGTTAGGCGAATTTTAACTTTTTCAGAATATAATACTACGTGTTATACACCGGTCACTAAATCTCAGTTCTTTAAATTCAAGCTTGCAAGTGTAAACAGGCGGTAGTAATAATTATAATTATAATTAATAATTATTATTAATGTTATCTGCAATTTTCTCAAAGCTCAGTTAGAGGACACTTGAATGGTAATAACAAAAAATTAAACCCAAAAAAACAAACTTTCCGTTTCTTTAGTTTTACGATTATGCGATCTTACGATTTTTCGAATAGCCAATTTTTTGATTTTTTAAGTTTGAATATTTTCATTTTTCGTTTTTTCAATTTTTTGATTTTTATTTTTTTCCGTCTCTTCAATTTGTATATTTGTAATATTTCAAATTTTCAATTTTAAATTTTTAATTTTTCGATTTTTCAACTTTTGAATTTTTCAGTTTTTCGATTTTAGAATTTTTAACCTTCCAGATTTTCGGCTTTTTATTTTTTTAGATATTTTAATTTTTCGTTTCTACAATTACTTATTAGATTTACAATTTTTTGGCTTTTTAATTTTTCGTTTTTGCAATTTTTCAAGTTTAAAATTTTTCAAGTCTGAATGTTTCGATTTCCAATTTTTCGAGTTTTCCTTTTCTAAATATTTTAATTTTTGACTTTTTTCCATTTCTCCAATTATCCCAGTTGCAATTTGAGTTTTCATTTTTTGAATTTTCGCAATTTTTAATTTTTCACTTCTTCAATTTTTCAGGTTTTCAATTTAAACTTTTTCAACGTTCTTACAGTTTTACGATTACGCAATTTTACAATTTTGGAATTTTTAGATTTTTTAATTTTTAGACATTTTAATTTTTCCGATTATTCAGTTTCTCGATTTTTCACTTTTTCCGTTTCTTTAATTTCTAGATTTGTTTTCTTCCAAATATTGAATTTTGATATTTTTTGTTTTTCAATTTTTTAACTTTTGAGTTTTTCAGTTAGTTGATTTTTAAACTTTTGAATTTCCCAGTTTTTATTTAAAATTTTTGGGGTTTTTCATTTTTTAGATTCTTCTTTAATTATTCGATTTGTTTTTTTTTAATTTTCAATTTTTCGTTTTTCCAACGTTTCAATTTATGATTTTTTCTATTTAGTTGATTTTATATACTTGCAATTTTTCGAATTTTCAATTTTAAATTTTCCTATTTTTCGATTTTTCAACTTTTTAATTTTATGTTTTTCGATTTGAAAATTTTCGACTTTACAGTTTTTCGGTTTCTCGATTTCTTATTTTTCAATTTTTTAGTTTCTTTAATTATATTGTCGGATTTGCAATTTTTTGACTTTTTAATTTTTCAATTTTTCAACTTTTCAATTTTTCAGTTTCACGATTGTACTTTTTTTCAATTTTACCCTTTTTCGATGTTTAATTTCTCAATTTTTCACTTTTTTATTTTTTTTTTAATTTTTCAACTTTCATAATTTTTCAATTTTTAAATGTTTCGATTTCCGATTTTTCTATTTTTTATTTTCTAGATATTTTAATTTTTGACTTTTCAGTTTTTCATTTCTTCAATTATTCCAGTTGCACTTTTCAATTTTCCATTTTCACTTTCGCAGTTTTTAATTTTTCATTTCTTCAATTATTCAAGATTTAACCTTAAATTGTTTTAAATTTTCCATTTTTTGATTTTTTAATTTTCAGACATTTTAATTTTTCGATCTTCCGATTGTTCATTTTCGAAATTTTTCACTTTTTCCGTTTCTTCAATGTTTAGATTTGCTTTTTTTCAAATATTCATTTCTAATTTTTTTAATTTTTCGATTTTTTAAATTTTGAGTTTTTCAATTGCTTCATTTTTCAATTTTTTTAATTTTTCAGTTTTTTCCTTTGTTTAGATTTTTCAGTTCCCCGATTTTTTTTTTCAATTTTTGGTTGTTTCAATTATACGATTTGAGATTTTTTGAATTTTCAATTATTCGATTTGAAATTTTTTGAATTTTCAATTTTTCGATTTGTCAACTTTCAAATTTTTCAGTTTTCCAATTTTATCTTTTTCGATTTTTTAATTTTTAGAAATTGTAATTTTTGTTTTTTTTTTGTTCGATGCTTACTTTTCCGCGTGTCCCCAGTTTTTGGATGTAATTTTTCGAGTTTTATTTAAAATTTGTTTGCTTAACTTTTTCAATTTTTCGATTTTTCAAATTTTCGTTTCTTTAGTGTAGGATTGTACATTTTGACAATTTTTAGATTCTTTAATTTTTAGACATTTTAATTTTTCGTTTTTCCGATTGTTCATTTTCGGAATTTTTCACTTTTTCCGTTTCTTCAATTTTTAGATTTGTTTTTTTTTTTCAAATATTCAATTCTAATTTTTTTAATTTTTCGATTTTTTAAATTTTGAGTTTTTCACTTACTTAATTTTTCAACTTTTTGAATTTTTCACTTTTAATTTAAAATTGTTCGGTTTTTTCCTTTGTTTAGATTTTTCAGTTCCCCAATTTTTTTTTCAATTTTTGGTTATTTCAATTATTCGATTTAAAATTTTTTGAATTTTGAATTTTTCGATTTGTCAACTTTTCCATTTTACAGTTTTCCAATTTTATCATTTTCAATTTCTTAATTTTTAGAAATTTTAATTTTAGTTTTTTTTGTTCGATGCTTACTTTTCCGCGTGTCTCCAGTTTTTGGATTTGTAATTTTTCGAGTTTTATTTAAAATTTGTGTGCTTGATTTTTTAATTTGTCGATGTTTCAAATTTTCGTTTCTTTAGTGTACGATTGTGCATTTTGACAATTTTTTGATTTTTTAATTTATAGACATTTTAATTTAATTTCGTTTCTTTAATTGTTGGATTTGCAATTTTGATAGTTTTCAATTTTAAATTTTTCATTTATTCGATTTTTCACTTTTCCTGCCCTTCAATTGGTTTCAAATTTTTCCATTTTTAAATTTTTCAATTGTTCATTTCTTTAGTTTTTTGATTTGCAATTTTCACATTTTATTTTTTGGATTAAAATTTATGAAGATTTCAATTTAAGATTATATGATTGCAATTTTTCATTTTTTCGATTTTCCAATATTTCGATTTTTCGCTTTATCCGTTTCTTCAGTTCCATATTCTAATTTTTAAATTTTTATTTCTTTATTTCTTCGATTTGCATTTTTTTCAATTTTTCAGTTTCTCGATTTTTCACCTTTTCCGCATGTCTTCTAATTTTTGGATTTTAAAATTTTTTGAGTTGTCAATTAAAAATTTTTCTATTTATGGATTTTTCAACTTTTTCCCGATTTTTCAATTACTCGATTTTTCACTTTTTTATCTCTCCAATTTCTAGAAGTTTTCTTTAAAATTTTTATTTTTCAATTTTTCAGTTTTTCGATTTTTGAACTATTTTTTTAAGAATCTCGTAATTTGAAATGAAATCTCGATTGTCACTTTTTCTAATTTTTCGATTTTTCAGTTTTTCAACTTACAATGTTTCCATTTCATAGTTTTTCGATTTTTCAATGTCTGGATTTTTCAATTTTACAGTCTTCCGATTTTTAGAATTTTTCGTTTTTAAATTTTTCGATATTTTATTTTTGAAATTTACAATATTTCGATTCGCAATTTCTTCAATTCTCAATTTTTAAATTTTTGGATTTGTAATTTTTTGATTTTTCAGTTTCTCGATTTTCACATTTTCCGCGTTTCTTCCAATTTTTGAATTTGAAATTTTTTGAATTTTGAATTTACAATTTTTCAATTTTCCATTTTGAAATGTTTAGATTTTTGATTTTTAATTGCCTCGATTTTTACTTGTTGAGTGTAAGTATTGTATCAAGGTCCATCTGGCAAATGGATACTTTCATGTTTTGACAAGAGTATGAAAAAATGGGTCTGCCGTTTCCGTCAACCTGTCTGTCGCCCGTCTGTCGTTTCGTTTTTTCACTTTACCCATTTTTCAATTTATCTTGCCGTCAATTTTTCAAAAAAAGAGAAAATTTGAAAATTCGTAAATAAATATATAAAAATAATGACAATAATAATAATAGTAAAATTTCCGTCTCTCTTTTCAGGTGCCGACTGCCTCCCTTACATGGAGTCCATCTGCACCGCCGACCTCCAAAACCTCCCCCCCAACTCCTCCATCCTCACCGTCTTCACCACCCCCGAAGGCGGCGTCCTCGACGACCTCATCATCACCAAAATCTCCGACGACCACCTCTACGTCGTGTCCAACGCCGCGATGAAAAAACAAGACCAAGCCCACCTCCTCCAGGCCCTAGACAACCACAAAAAAGCCAACCCCGCCACCGAAATCAAAATCAAGTTTTTCGACCCCCAAGAACGAGGCCTCGTGGCACTGCAGGGACCTAAAGCCGCTCAAGTCCTGCAAAAACTGACCGACATCGACCTCTCCACCCTCTACTTCATGACCTCGTCCGAGGCCACGGTGTGCAGCGCCGGCGCCTGCAGAATCACCAGGTGCGGCTACACCGGAGAAGACGGCTTCGAGATCTCCATGCCGGCGATTAAGGCTGTGGACATTTCGAGGGAAATTCTGCGGAATGAGGACGTGAAGTTGGCGGGGTTGGGGGCGAGGGATTCTTTACGGTAAAAATCGCTTTTTTTGTAACACGTACAATCTGTGTGTTTTTTAGGTTGGAGGCGGGGCTGTGTCTCTACGGAAGCGACCTGACCGCCGACACCACCCCCGTGGAGGCGGCCTTGACGTGGTTGATCTCGAAACGTCGGCGCGAAGCGCGGGATTTCCCGGGGGCGGATGTGATTTTGGGGCAGATTAAAGAAGGATCTGTGAAGAAGAGGATAGGGTTGGTGGCGGATTTGGGGCCTCCGGCCCGTCATGGGACCGTTGTGGTTGACGGTGATGGTAACGACGTGGGTTCGGTTACGTCCGGGTGCCCTGCACCCAGTCTCGGGAAGAATATTGCCATGGCGTATGTCCCTACGGAGCTGAGTAAGGCCGGGACTCAGCTGAGGTTGAGGGTTCGTGATAAGTTGTATGGTGCTGTGGTGACGAAGATGCCCTTCGTCCCTTCGAATTACTACACAAGACCTAAATGATCGGTTAATAAAAGTGTGTGATGAAGAGGGGTTGTTTGATTGGGGGGGAGGTTTTTGGTTTTCCAAATTTAGAAAATATTATTTGAGGAATTTTTGCTATTATTTTTGGAAAGTGCCATTTTTGGGGCAATTTATTTTAAAAAACGCCGTTTTTGAAAATAAAAACTGGTTGTTTTGATTCCTGTGTTTGAAGAATCATCTCTAAAGAACGTCGATTTATGTCTCCAGTGTTATAAAAATTGGTACCGAAAAAGGTCACTTCTTAGAACTGTCGAATTTTTAAAAATTCCCTTTTTAGAATATTTTGAAATGTCGCTTCTAAAAATCTTCATAGTTAAAGTAAAGTACTTCGATGCTTGGAAATCAATTTATTCAGAACATCTGTGGAGTATTTTTTATTATTTTTGGAAAGTGCCGTTTTCTAGATAACTGGAGTTTAGAAAATGCTAAGATAGACTGATTTTGGCAGATGGTATATCCTTTAAGAAACTAAAGGGCGGGTGGGCGGGGCCTGTAAGTATGAAGATAAGACTGATTTTGGCAAATGAACACTGTAAGAAAAAAGGGGGACTCCACTCAAGTTGATTTTTTTCAGAATAATTTAGCGAATTATTATAACCAAAAAAACTAAGGAGCGAGTGCAGCGAGCACGTTTAAGTGTTATTAAAAATTACTCGCCAATGTCCCCGAGAAGTTGAATTATTAATGAGAGAATTTTTCATTGTCTAAAAAAGTGAATCCTGTAAATATTTGTGATTATCTGCTGAAATTGTGGAGACTCTAGCAATTTAAACGTGTTTTTTAAAGTCTAGTAATTTATTCCAGACAACTTCGCTGATAGTCTTTCCTGCAGACCTCTATGAGAATAAAGCTGAAAAGAGAAGTTTAAAATGCGAGCGCAACGAGAATGTTCAGGTGTAAATTAAAAAAATATTAATTGGTATCCCTGAGAAGCTAGATTATTAATATTTTTCGATTTTTCAACTTTTACGTTTTCCGATTTTTAAATTTTCGATATTTCGATTTTTCAAATTTTTCAATTTTTAGATTCAGCAATTTTTTTATTTCGCAATTTTTTGATGTTTCGATTTCTCGATTTTTACACTTTTTTTTTTAATTTTTCGATTAATTATCCTCCAAAATTTACAATTTTTGGATTTATTTTTTTATCCTTCATCCCTAGCATTATCTATGATGGTGCGTAGTAAGTTTTATTTTTGAAGTGGTGATACTGGTATGTGCTATATAACTAATTTTTTTTTTTTTTTTGAAGAAAATGGGGATATTTCAGAAAAAATCATTCGAAAAAAAACTCGTTGCTTAACTGGTTTTTAACAATCATCTCTGGAAAACGTCGCTTTATATCTCCAATTTTACAAAAATTGATAGAGAGAAAGGTCACTTCTTAAAATTGCCGAATTTTTAAAAATTCAGAGTTTGGACTTGAACATTTTGAAATCTCGCTTCTAAAAATCTTCATAACGCCGATTTTTTAAACGCATTATTTTGCTGATTTTTAAAAATCATCAGTGGAAAACGTCGCTTTATATCTCCGCTTTTATAAAAATTGATTCGGAAAATGTTCGCTTCTTAGATTTCCCTACTAAAAAAAAAACACATTTTTGGGATATAACGTTTTCAAAGCTGGTTTCTAAAAATTTCCACAGCTTAAAATTATTTTGATTGTAGTTTTTGGAGAATCACTTCTAGAGAACGTCAATTTATATCTCCAGTTTTATAAAAATAAAATAAGTCACTGCTTAGAATTGCCGAATTTTTAAAAATTCTGTTTTTCGACTTGAACATTTTGAAATCTCGCTTCTAAAAATCTTCATAGTTAAAACTTCGATCCTTGGAAATCTATTTGTTTAAAACGTCTGTGGAGGATTTTTTTGTTATAATTTTTGGAAAGTGCCGTCTTCTAGATAACTGGATTTTAGAAAATGCCGCTTTGCTAAAATCGCTTCATTTTAAGAAAACGCCGATTTTTTAAACGCGTTGTTTTGCTGATTTTTAAAAATCATCAGTGGAAAACGTCGCTTTATATCTCCGCTTTTATAAAAATTGATTCGGAAAATGTTCGCTTCTTAAATTTCCCTACTAAAAAAAAACACATTTTTGGGATTTAACGTTTTCAAAGCTGGTTTCTAAAAATTTCCACAGCTTAAAATTATTTTGATTGTTGTTTTTGAAGAATCACTTCTAGAGAACGTCAATTTATATCTCCAGTTTTATAAAAATAAAAAAAGTCACTGCTTAGAATTGCCGAATTTTTAAAAATTCTGTTTTTAGGCTTGAACATTTTGAAATCCCGCTTCTAAAAATCTTCGTAGTTAAAACTTCGATCCTTGGAAATCTATTTGTTCAAATCATCTGTGGAGGATTTTTTGTTATAATTTTTGGAAAGTGCCGTTTTCTAGACAATTGGATTTTAGAAAATGCCGCTTTGCTAGAATCGTTTCATTTTAAGAAAGCGCCGATTTTTTAAACGCGTTGTTTTGCTGATTTTTTTAAATCATCTGTGGAAAACGTCGCTTTACATCTCCGCTTTTATAAAAATTGATTCGGAAAATGTTCACTTCTTAGATTTCCCTATTAAAAAAAACACATTTTTGGGATTTAACGTTTTCAAAGCTGGTTTCTAAAATTTCCACAGCTTAAAATTATTTTGATTGTTGTTTTTGAAGAATCACCTCTAGAGAACGTCAATTCATATCTCCAGTTTTATAAAAATAAAAAAAAGTCACTGCTTACAATTGCCGAATTTTTAAAAATTCTGTTTTTAGACTTGAACATTTTGAAATCTCGCTTCTAAAAATCTTCATAGTTAAAACTTCGATCCTTGGAAATCTATTTGTTCAAATCATCTGTGGAGGATTTTTTTGTTATAATTTTTGGAAAGTGCCGTTTTCTAGATAACTGGATTTTAGAAAATGCCGCTTTGTTAAAATCGTTTCATTTTAAGAAAACGCCGATTTTTTAAACGCGTTGTTTTGCTGATTTTTAAAAATCATCAGTGGAAAACGTGGCTTTATATCTCCGCTTTTTTAAAAATTGATTCGGAAAATGTTCGCTTCTTAGATTTCCCTACTAAAAAAAAACACATTTTTGGGATATAACGTTTTCAAAGCTGGTTTCTGAAAATTTCCACAGCTTAAAATTATTTTGATTGCTGTTTTTGAAGAATCACTTCTAGAGAACGTCAATTTATATCTCCAGTTTTATAAAAATAAAAAAAGTCACTGCTTAGAATTGCTGAATTTTTAAAAATTCTGTTTATGGACTTGAACATTTTGAAATCTCGCTTCTAAAAATCTTCATAGTTAAAACTTCGATCCTTGGAAATCTATTTGTTCAAATCATCTGTGGAGGACTTTTGTGTTATAATTTTTGGAAAGTGCCGTTTTCTAGATAACTGGATTTTAGAAAATGCCGCTTTGCTAAAATCGTTTCATTTTAAGAAAACGCCGATTTTTTAAACGCGTTGTTTTGCTGATTTTTAAAAATCATCAATGGAAAACGTCGCTTTAAATCTCCGCTTTTATAAAAACTGATTAGGAAAATGTTCGCTTCTTAGATTTCCCTACTAAAAAAAAACACATTTTTGGGATTTAACGTTTTCAAAGCTGGTTTCTAAAAATTTCCACAGCTTAAAATTATTTTGATTGTTGTTTTTAAAGAATCACTTCTAGAGAACGTCAATTTATATCTCCAGTTTTATAAAAATAAAAAAAGTCACTGCTTAGAATTGCCGAATTTTTTAAAATTCTGTTTTTAGACTTGAACATTTTGAAATCTCGTTTCTAAAAATCTTCATAGTTAAAACTTAGATCCTTGGGAATCTATTTGTTCAAATCATCTGTGGAGGATTTTTTTGTTGTAATTTTTGGAAAGTGCCGTTTTCTAGATAACTGGATTTTAGAAAATGCCGCTTTGCTAAAATCGTTTCATTTTAAGAAAACGCCGATTTTTTAAACGCGTTGTTTTGCTGATTTTTATAAATCATCAGTGGAAAACGTCGCTTTATATCTCCGCTTTTATAAAAATTGATTCGGAAAATGTTCACTTCTTATATTTCCCTATTAAAAAAAAACACATTTTTGGGATATAAGGTTTTCAAAGCTGGTTTCTAAAAATTTCCACAGCTTAAAATTATTTTGATTGTTGTTTTTGAAGAATCTCTTCTAGAGAACGTCAATTTATATCTCCAGTTTTATAAAAATAAAAAAAAGTCACTGCTTAGAATTGCCGAATTTTTAAAAATCCTGTTTTTAGACTTGAACATTTTGAAATCTCGCTTCTAAAAATCTTCATAGTTAAAACTTCGATCCTTGGAAACCTATTTGTTTAAAACATCTGTGGAGGATTTTTTTGTTATAATTTTTGGAAAGTGCCGTTTTCTAGATAACTGGATTTTAGAAAATGCCGCTTTGCTAAAATCGTTTCATTTTAAGAAAACGCCGATTTTTTAAACGCGTTGTTTTTCTAATTTTTAAAAATGTTCAGTGGAAAACGTCGCTTTATATCTCCGCTTTTATAAAAATTGAATCGGAAAATGTTCGTTTCTTAAATTTTGCTACTAAAAAAAAACACATTTTTGGGATTTAACGTTTTCAAAGCTGGTTTCTAAAAATTTCCACAGCTTAAAATTATTTTGATTGTTGTTTTTGAAGAATCACTTCTAGAGAACGTCAATTTATATCTCCAGTTTTATAAAAATTTAAAAAAGTCACTGCTTAGAATTGCCGAATTTTTAAAAATTCTGTTTTTAGACTTGAACATATTGAAATTTCGCTTCTCAAAATTTTCATTGTTAAAACTTTCATACTTAGAAACTAATTTGTCAAAACATTCTGTGGAGGGTTTTTGTAATTATTTTTAGAAAGTACCATTTTCTGGACAAATGTATTTCAGAAAGTACCGTTTTGCTAAATTCATTTCATTTTAAGAAAACACCGAACCTTGAAAAAATCGGTCGTTTTGACTGCCCTTTTTGAAGAATTGCTCCTAAGAAATGTCGCTTTAGGTTTCTGCTTTGATAAAAATTTATACAGAAGAGGGTCACTTCTTGGAAATGCCTAATTTTGTAAAATTCTTTTTTTAGTTAGTAACATTGGGAAATTTTGCTTCTAAAAATTTTTATAGTTAAAACTTGCATACTTATTACAAAATAATTTGTCGAAAGATTCTGCGGACGCTTTTTATTTTTATTTTTAGAAAGTGCCATTTTCTGGACAACTGGACTTCAGAAAGTGCCGCTCCGCTAAAATTGTTTCATTTTAAGAAAATACCGATTCTGAAAGAAAGTCCTGATTGCTTTGATTGCTGTTTTTAAAGAATCATCTCTAGAAAGGTCAATTTATACATCCATTTTTATAAAAATTAAAACAGAAGAAAGTCACTTATTGGAATGGTGGAATTTAATCCTCTATGACATTTTGAATTCTTTTTTCAAAATCTCCATAGTGTAGTACTTCTATAATTAGAAAACAATTTGTCCAAAAACATCTGTGAGGGATTTTTTGTTACTATTTTTGGAAAGTGCCATTTTTGGGACAAATGGATTTTAGAAAGTGCCGTTTTGCTAAAATCGCTTCATTTTAAGAAAACAGCGACCTTGAAACAAAATGTTTTTGATTGTTTTGATTGCCAATTCTGAAGGATTTTTTCTAGAAAATGTCACTGTGTGTCTCCGCCTTTATAAAAATTGATACAAAAAAAGTTCACTTCTTAGACTATCCTATTAGAAAAAATAGGAAATAACATTTTCAAATCTGGCTTCTTAAAATTTCAACAGCTTAAAATTTTCAAATTTAGAAAATAATCTTTCCAGAAATATCACCATCAGTTAAGGCTTTTTGTTAACATTTTTGGAAAGTGTCAGATCTGGGATAAATGTATTTTAGAAAGTGCCGTTTTGCTAAAATTGTTTCATTTTAAGAAAGTACCAATTAAAAAAATGCTAGTTGCTTTGACTCCTGTTTTTGAAAAATCATCTTTAGAAAATGTCTATTTATACATCCGCTTTTACAAAAAACGACTCAGAAAAAAATCACTGCTTAGAATTGCCGAATTTTTAAAAATTCTCTATATTTTGAAATCTTGTATCTAAAAATTTCCATTGCTTAGCACTTCCATACTTGGAAAATAATTTTTTCAAAAACATCTGTTAGGGATTTTTAGACAGTGCCATTTTCTGGACAAATGGATTTCAGAAAGTGCCGTTTTGCAAAATCGTTTCATTTTAAGAAAACACATTCTAAAAATTCCCAGGGTTTAAAATTTCCAAATTTTGAAAATAATAATCTTTTCAAAATATCAGTGAGGGACTTTTTGTTACTATTTTTCGAAAGTCCATTTTTAGAACAAATGGATTTTAGAAAGTGCCGCTTTGTTAAAACCGCTTCATTTTAAGAAAACAGCGAACTTGAAACAACATTTTTTTGATTGTTTTGATTGCCAATTCTGAAGGATTTTTTCTAGAAAATGTCACTTTGAGTCTCCGCCTTTATAAAAATTGATACAAAAAAAAGTTCATTTCTTTGAATGTCCCATTAGAAAAAATAGGAAATAACATTTTCAAATCTGCCTTCTTAAAATTTCAACAGCTTAAGAATTTCAAATTTAGAAAATAATCTTTCCAGAAACATCACCATCAGTTAAGGGTTTTTTGTTAACATTTTTGGAAAGTGTCAGATCTGGGACAAATGGATTTTAGAAAGTGTCGTTTTGCTAAAATTGTTTCATTTTAAGAAAGTACCAATTAAAAAAAATGTTAGTTCCTTTGACTCCTGTTTTTGAAAAATCATCTTTAGAAAATGTCTCTTTATACATCCGCTTTTACAAAAATTGACTCAGAAAAAGTCACTGCTTAGAATTGCCGAATTTTTAAAAATTCTCTATATTTTGAAATCTTGTATCTAAAAATTTCCATTGCTTAGCACTTCCATACTTGGAAATTAATTTTTTCAAAAACATCTGTTAGGAATTTTTAGACAGTGCCATTTTCTGGACAAATGGATTTCAGAAAGTGCCGTTTTGCAAAATCGTTTCATTTTAAGAAAACACATTCTAAAAATTCCCAGGGTTTAAAATTTCCAAATTTTGAAAATAATAATCTTTTCAAAATATCAGTGAGGGACTTTTTGTTACTATTTTTGGAAAATGCCATTTTTAGAACAAATGGATTTTAGAAAGTGCCGTTTTGTTAAAATCGCTTCATTTTAAGAAAACAGCGACCTTGAAACAACATTTTTTTTATTGTTTTGATTGCCAATTCTGAAGGATTCACTTTGTATCTCCGCCTTTATAAAAATTGATACAAAAAAAGTTCATTTCTTAGACTATCCTATTAGAAAAAATAGGAAATAACATTTTCAAATCTGGCTTCTTAAAATTTCAACAACTTAAACTTTTCAAATTTAGAAAATAATCTTTCCAGAAATATCACCATCAGTTAAGGATTTTTTGTTAACATTTTTGGAAAGTGTCAGATCTGGGACAAATGGATTTTAGAAAGTGCCGTTTTGCTAAAATTGTTTCATTTTAAGAAAGTACCAATTAAAAAATTGCTAGTTGCTTTGACTCCTATTTTTGAAAAATCATCTTTACAAAATATTAATTTATACATCCGTTTTTACAAAAATCTGCTCACAAAAAATCACTTCTTACAATTGGCGAATTTTTAAAAATTTTCTAACATTTTAAAATTTTGTTTCTAACAATTTCCATTGTTTAGAACTTTCATACTTGGAAAATAATTTTTTCAAAAACATCTCTTGGGGATTTTTAGAAAGTGCCATTTTCTGGACAAATGGGTTTCAGAAAGTGCCGTTGTTTTAACTGCCCATTTTGAAAAACTGGCTATAGAAAACGTCGATTTATGTTTCCGCTTTTATAAAAATTGATATAGAAAAAGTTCACTTCTTAGAATTTGTTGCTTTGCTAAAATTGTTTCATTTTAAGAAAATACCGATTTTGAAAAAAAAATTGTTCTTAAAATAAACGTCACGAAAGTGCCGATCCTAGAAAATACCGGCTACTGTTAGGAACAAAAAAACACTTAATAAAAGAGCAAACAGAATATTTATTTACTCAAACGATTTAACAAATAAATAATTCAATCGAACATTTCCTCGAGGGAAACCCTCGAAAAAAATCCGGCCGTTAATGTAGCGAACATCTGAGCCGGCATTTCCAAATGTTCATCTTTAATATCATCATACAGTTCCCTCCAGTTATCATTAATCAGCTGATTTATGCGTCTTCCAGAATCTTCATCTCCATTAAACAAATTACCAATTTCCACATGAATATTGTCAGCCATTCCGTCTACTTTACTTGAGGTTATTTTGGCGTAGGTTTTGCTATTTTTGGTCACTTCGTCGTAAGTAAGACGAAGAGACATGCTAAAATTGGCTACAAAAAAAAATTAAAGAAAACTAATTTTGAATTTAATTAAAAAAAAAAACTCACTGAAATCCAGCTTACTGACTCCTTCGCCATAAATCGGTATAGTGAAAACAGAACCATTTAACTTATAACCACACGAAGCTTCCACTTTAGGAAAAACACCAACCGCAAAAATAACTCTCTCCGTCAAATCGAAGTCAAAATTCGTCAAATTCACCCTCGATACTCCAAAAAATTTGCAATCCTTTAAGTGCTCGTTCAGTTTTATCAAGTTCGAGTTAATACTAGACGACATTTCGAGGATTTCCAAGGGCTCGACGCTAGGAAAACGCACTTTTTTGTAAGGTTTGTACATCTGGGAAATGCCGTGTTGAGCTGCTTTGAAAACGCACTCTTTGAGGTTAGGCTGACTACGATTACACTTCAAAAAATTCGGCGCTGGAACACCAACAATGTAAAAAACGGCCACTGGGCCAAAATTTTCAAACTTACGTAATTTTACGCACCAAACGGGCGCGACTACGCACAAAAAAAGCAACAAAAACCTCATTTTGACCACAAATTAAACAAAAATTTCAAACTTTTTTGTTTTACACACCAAGCTGACGCTACAACTCACACGAGAAGCAATAAAAAGATTTGGAACACTACATTAAAAAAATATGATAAAAAAATCGCCAGGGTCAGCAACGCTAATCAATTACTGTGGATCAATATAGAAAAAAAATTATATATATCACAAAACTAGTTTCTGCTACACACGTGCGTGCGTTAGATGATTAAAATTTGTTTACTTGAAGTTTGTCAAGTAATGACCTCCAGAATAAGGCTAACGGATCAGAAAGTTAATTTCTTTTGGTTCGTTGGATAGCACTGGATCCAAATCGGACCTCTGTGGGACACCACTTTTTGGGCATAGATGGTAAAGTCGATGTAGACTGGAATAACTTATTATTGCTGAATATTAGTGCAAGTAACACTGAAATATCTCACTTGATGACAAAGCAAGTATTTTTCCTATATTTTTCTAATCACTTTGCAAACACATTAGCAGTTTTATAAACTCGTTTCTCACAAATTGATTCTATCAGTGCGTCAGGTTCATTAAAGAACTTTCAACGATGCGATGTTTTGCATAATAATCGTCAGGCTGATGTCGTTTATGGCGATTTTTCATATCTTTCGACAGAACTGATCATTGCTGTTTGTTAAGGAAATTAGAATCCTTTGACTTCTCGATAGCTAAATATCATTCCTGGAATCATACTTCGATAAACGATGTATTTTTGCGAAGATTAATGGTTTTAAACCCCAACTATTTATTCCAGAAACTGGAGTTCCTCAAGGTCTGTCTTGGGACTGTTATTGTTTGGTGTATTGATTAATGACGTTGTTAGCGTAACTGATTTCATGCTCTTCTATTTACTGGTGACCTCAAAATCTACTGTAGCTTGACTTTTATGCTTATACTTGCAAAAAATATTGATGTGTCGTAATTTACGTGAATTTACCGAATACGTTTACGTCATCGGCTATGAATGACTTTCAGAAATCTTTCGTTTGGAAGGAAACAATTTCTTGAAATTCATGACTTAAATCAATAGTTTTTTGTTGTTAACAGAGGCGTTACTCAAGGGTCAAATCTGGGTCAGCTGTTGTTTAGTATATTTTTCAACGATGATGTGAATGTTATTAGTTGTGTATAAAAATAGCTAAAATAATAAAGACGAGTGAGAAGGTGTAATTTTGCAAGATGTAGATAAATCAACCCCTTCATCTTTACTATAAAATGTTCAATTGTTATTCTGTTAGACGCTGTGGCCAGACTCTTCTTAATACAGTAAACAAAAATTTTCTTGAGTTATAAGGATTATCATAAAAAAATAAAATTCGCAAAATTAAATCTTATAATTTTTCGAAAAATCTGGATTTATTTACCTTCGACCAATTTTTTGATGTCACATTTTTTCGTTTTATTAATTTTTTCAATTTTTGCATTTTTTATTATTTGTGTTAATAAATTGTTTAACTTTCAATTTTTTTATTTTTCATTTCTTTAGTTTTTCGATTTACAATTTTTCGATATCACAATTTTTCATTTTTCAATTTCTTGCTTTTTATTTTTCATTTTCTCGATTTTTTTTTATTTTTATTTTCTGGATTTTATATCACAGTTTTTCGATTTCTCATTTTCTCTCTTTATTTTTTCAATAGTTCTTTCGATTTTATTAATTTATAATAAATTTAATTGTGTAAATAAAGAAAACGAAAAAACGAAAAATTGTAAAATCGAAGAAAAATGATTTAATTTTACAATTTTTTGTTTTTTTGAAAATTTCATTTTTCTTTGATTTTACGATTTTTTGTTTTTCATTTTCATTGATTTTTCCAATTTCTCCCTTTTTTAATGTTTCGATTTAATAATTTTTCCTTTTTTCAATTTTTCAATTCCAAGTTATTCAACTTTTCGATATAACAATTATTCATTTTCCGATCTTTCGGTTTCTCAATTTTTCATTTTTACATTTTTCCATTTTTCGTTTCCGCAATTTTCCAAGTTCTTGATTTTTTTTCATTTCTCCGACTTTTGGATTTAATTTTGTCGATTTTACATCACAATTTTTCGTTTTTTCATTTCCTTTATTTTTTCAATGTTTCTTTCGATTATGTAATTTTTCGTTTATTTTATTTTCAAAATTGCTTTTTCAATTTCTCGATTTTTCATTTTTTCAATTTTTCAAATTCGCAATTTTTAGATTTCTCAATTATCTTTCCGATTTCTTTAATTTTCAATATTTCGATTTTACATTTCTTCGATTTTTCAATTTTTCAAGTTCTTAATTTTTATTTTTCATTTTCCCAGCTTTTTGGATTTTATAATGTTTCGTTTATTCAATTCTCAAAATTTTCAATTCTTGTTTCTTAAATTCCTCGATTTTTCAATTTTTTAATTTTTCAATTGTCCGAATTCTCCATTTCTTTAATTTTTTTAATTTTTCGTTTGTTAAACTTTAATTTTCTCAATTTTTTCAATTTCTTCACTTTTTCGATTTAAAATTTTTCGATATTACAATTTTTCATTTTTCGATCTTTCAATTTTTCGTTTCCTCAATTTTTCAATTTCTTGCTTTTTATTTCTCATTTTCCCGACTTTTAAAATTCATTTTTTCGATTTTATATCACAATTTTTTGTTTTTCCATTTCCTTTATTTTTATTCAATTTCTCAATTTTTCATTTCTGCAATTTTTGGATTTCTCAATTGTACGATTTTCCATTTTCCTTAATTTTCAATATTTCGATTTTGCACTTTTTCGATTTTAAAGTTTCTCAATTTTTAATCTTTCAATTTTTCAATTTTTTGTTTCTTCAATTTTTTGATTTACAATTTTTCAATTTTGCAATTTTTCGACATAACAATTTTTTATTTCTCGATCTTTCGGTTTCTGAATTTTACATTTTCCGATGTTCAATTCTGCATTTTTTCGATTGTTAAGTTTCCCAATTTTAAATCTTTCGATTTCTCAAATTCTCGTTTTTTCATTTTCTTCAATTTTTCAATTTCTCCGTTTCTCAATGTTTCGGCTTCATAATTTTTCTTTTATTCATCATTAATTTTTGTAATTTTACAATTTCTCGATTTCCAATTTATTCAATTTTTCATTTCTTCAATTTTACAATTTGTCAATTCTCAATCCGTCAATGTCCCCATTTTTCATTTTTCGATTTTTCAATTTTTCGTTTCCTCAATTTTTCAAGTTCTTATTTTTTATTTTTCATTTTCCCGACTTATGAAATTCATTTTTTCGATTTTATATCACAATTTTTTGTTTTTTCATTGCCTTTATTTTTATTCAATTTCTCGATTTTTCAATTTTGCAATTTTTGGATTTCTCAATTGTACGATTTTCCATTTTCCTTGGTTTTCAATACATATTTCGATTTTGCAATTTTTCGATTTTCGATTTTGCACTTCTTTGATTTTAAAGTTTCTCAATTTTTAATCTTTCGATTTTTCAATTTATTGTTTCTTCAATTTTTCGATTTACAATTTTTCAATTTTGCAATTTTTCATTTCCCGATCTTTCAGTTTCTCAATTTTACATTTTCCGATCTTTAATTTTCCATTTTTTCGATTGTTAAGTTTCCCAATTTTTAATCTTTCAATTTCTCAATTTCTCGTTTTTTCATTTTCTTTAATTTTTCAATTTCTCCGTTTCTCAATGTTTCGGCTTCATAATTTTTGGTTTCTTCAACTTTTATTTTTCCAATTTTCCAATTTCTCGACTTCCAATTTATTCAATTTTTAAATTTTACAATTTTTCCATATAACAATTCTCCATTCGTCGATCTTTCAAGTTCCCAATTTTTCATTTTTTGATTTTTCACTTTTTCCTTTCGTCAACGTTTCAATTTCTTGATTTTTATTTTTCATTTTCCCGAATTTTGAATTTCATTTTTTCGATTTTACATCACAATTTTTCGTGTTTTCATTTCCTTTATTTTTCAATGTGTCTTTCGATTTTATAATTTTTCGTTTCTTCAATTTTCAAAAGCTTCAACCCTTGTTTTTTCAATTCCTCGAATTTTTTATTTTTTAATTTTTCAATTTTGCAATTTTTTAATTTCTCAATTATCCGGAAAATCGGATAATTGAGAAATTCAAAAATTCTTCTTTCTTTAATTTTCATTATTTCGATTTTACAATTTTTAGATTTTCGATTTTGCACTTTCTCGATTTTTAAATTTCTCAGTTTTTTTAATTTTTCGATCAATATTTCGTTTCTTTAATTTTCAATTTTCGAAGTTTTTGGTTTTTTCATTTTCTTTAATTTGTGGATTTCTCCTTTTTTCAATGTTTCGGCTTCATAATTTTTCGTTTTTCAAGTTTCATTTTTCCATTTTTAAATTTCTCGATTTCCAATTTATTCAATTTTTCATTTCTCGATCTTTCATCTTATCCATTTTGAAATTCTAGATTTATATTTTTCATTTTCCCGACTTTTGAATTTAATTTTTTCTATTTTGCATCACAATTTTTCGTTTTTTCATGTCCTTTGTTTTTCCGACGATTTTATAACTTTTCGTTTAATTGAATTTTCAAAAATTTCAAACCTTGTTTCTTCAGTTCCTCAATTTTTCAATTTTTTAATTTTGCCATTTTTGGATTTTTCAATTATCCGATTTTCCGATTTCTTTAATTTTCAATTTTTACCTTTCTCAATTTTTGATCTTTCGATTTTTCAATTTTTGGTATCTTAGATTTTTTTTATCAAGAAACTGAAAAATCTAAAATCGAAAATACGAAAAATTAAAAATTGTAAAAATTGAAAAATCAAAAAATAAAAACCGAAAAATAGCAAATCGAAAAACTGGAAGTTTTCACATTAAAAAAAGAAAAATTATAAAATCAAAACATTGATAAACCAAAAACCTGAAAAAGTAAAGGAAAGAAAAACCGAAACAAAAAATTACCAATCGAAAAATTGAAGAAATGAAAAATTGAAAAATCGAAAAATTGAAACATCAAAAAACTGGTAAATTGAAACACTATAAATTTAAAAATGATGACTCGAAGAGTTGCAAACTGAAATGAAAAAAACAAAAAATTGTAAAATCCAAACATTGAAAATTCGAAAAATTGTAAAAATAAAAAAAAACAAAAACCATAACGAAAAAATGCAAATTGAAAACTCGAGAAATTTTAAATCGAAAAATTGCAAAATCTAAAATTGAACAATAAAAAAAAATAAAAATCCGAAAATGGCAAATCGAAGAAGTAAAGAAATGAAAAATTGTAAAAAAATGGAAAAACTGAAGAAACAAAGGAAACGAAAAATTGCTAAAAAAGTTGTGAAACTTCCTTTATTTGTCCAGATCCGTACTGGGGTAATGAAAGCCCACCTGGCTTTGAAATCTATGAGTAGAAAAAAAGGGAAAAAGAATCAATTTTCAATCTCTGATTTTCCAATTTCTAAATGTTTGAAATTTGCAATTTTTGGTTATCCGATTTTCCTATTTCCTTAATTTTTAATCTTCCGATTTTTCAATTTTTCGTTTATTCAATTTTTCAAGTTCTTGATTTCAAATTTTTAAAATCTTCATTTTCAAAACATACTCTTTCGTTTTTTCAGTTTTGTTTTTTTAATTGCACAATTTTGAAATTTTTTTGACTCGAAAAAACCGAAAAAACGAAAAACTGCACAATCAAAAAGGTAACCCTGGAAACTGAAAAATAATTAAATATGAAGAAATTCAAAAATTAAAAATCGAAAAATTGAAAAATCGAATAAATGAAACAGTTTTCAAATCCAATAATTGAAACATGGAACAAAAATTAAACTCCTAAAATTGCGGAAGTGATTTTTTTTTTAAATTATAATTATTCTTACATATTAAAATCAATACTAGAAAAACTGCAAATCAAATATTGAAGAAAAGAAGAATTGGAAAACCGAAAAACTGAAAAATTGCAAACGGAAATATTGAAAAATCCAAAAATTGAAAATTTTCAAATTGAAAAAAGAAAAATCAGAACACTGAAAAACCGAAAAATTGAAAAAAGTAAAGAAAATGAAAAACCTAAACGAAAAACTGCAAATTGTAAAACTGAAGAAATGAAAAATTGAAAAATCGAAAAATTGAAACATCAAAAAACTGGTAAATTGAAAAACTATAAATTTAAAAATGATGACTCGAAGAGTTGCAAACTGAAATGAAAAAAACAAAAAATTGTAAAATCCGAACATTGAAAATTCGAAAAATTGTAAAAATAAAAAAAAACAAAAACCAAAAATGCAAATTGAAAACTGGAGACATTTTAAATCGAAAAATTGCAAAATCTAAAATTGAACAATAAAAACAAAATAAAAATTCGAAAATCGCAAATCGAAGAAGTAAAGAAATGAAAAATTGTAAAAAAAATGGAAAAACTGAAGAAACAAAGGAAACGAAAAATTGCTAAAAAAGTTGTGAAACTTCCTTTATTTGTCCAGATCCGTACTGGGGTAATGAAAGCCCACCTGGCTTTGAAATCTATGAGTAGAAAAAAAGGGAAAAAGAATCAATTTTCAATCTCTGATTTTCCAATTTCTAAATTTTTGAAATTTGCAATTTTTGGTTATCCGATTTTCCTATTTCCTTAATTTGTAATCTTCCGATTTTTCAATTTTTCGTTTATTCAATTTTTCAAGTTCTTGATTTCAAATTTTTAAAATCTTCATTTTCAAAACATACTCTTTCGTTTTTTCAGTTTTGTTTTTTTAATTGTGCAATTTTGAAATTTTTTTGACTCGAAAAAACCGAAAAAACGAAAAACTGCACAATCAAAAAGGTAACCCTGGAAACTGAGAAATAATTAAATATGAAGAAATTCAAAAATTAAAAATCGAAAAATTGAAAAATCGAATAAATGAAACAGTTTTCAAATCCAATAATTGAAACATGGAACAAAAATTAAACTCCTAAAATTGAGGAAGTGATTTTTTTTTTATTATAATTATTCTTACATATTAAAATCAATACTAGAAAAACTGCAAATCAAATATTGAAGAAAAGAAGAATTGGAAAACCGAAAAACTGAAAAATTGCAAACTGAAATATTGAAAAATCCAAAAATTGAAAATTTTCAAATTGAAAAAAGAAAAATCAGAACACTGAAAAACCGAAAAATTGAAAAAAGTAAAGAAAATGAAAAACCTAAACGAAAAACTGCAAATTGAAAAACTGAAGAAATGAAAAATTGAAAAATCGAAAAATTGAAACATCAAAAAACTGGTAAATTGAAAAACTATAAATTTAAAAATGATGACTCGAAGAGTTGCAAACTGAAATGAAAAAAACAAAAAATTGTAAAATCCGAACATTGCAAATTCGAAAAATTGTAAAAATAAAAAAACAAAAACCAAAACGAAAAAATGCAAATTGAAAACTCGAGAAATTTTAAATCGAAAAATTGCAAAATCTAAAATTGAACAATCAAAAAAAAAATAAAAATCCGAAAATGGCAAATCGAAGAAGTAAAGAAATGAAAAATTGTAAAAAAATGGAAAAACTGAAGAAACAAAGGAAACGAAAAATTGCTAAAAAAGTTGTGAAACTTCCTTTATTTGTCCAGATCCGTACTGGGGTAATGAAAGCCCACCTGGCTTTGAAATCTATGAGTAGAAAAAAAGGGAAAAAGAATCCCTCTGGAAACAAGTTCCAGACCAACAGCATGTGAAAAAGCTTGTGTCATTTTGCCAAAAAAGACGAAAAAGCGTCTCGATTTAAGAAAAAATCAACTAAGACTGGTAACAGGTGCGTAGAAACATAAATACAAGTGGAAGCAAGGACTGGAATAGGAAGCCAAGAAAGAAATTTTTGTCTAGTTTTTGTTTATGTTGCTGTGTACACAAATACACATTTCACCACTTAGACTTTCAGTCAAACAACTCCTCCAGCGACACTCTTGAAAAAAAACCTTTCAAAATAGTCGCCAACATCCCACCCGGTATATCCAAATACTCATTTTTAATATCATCATACAGTACACTCCAATTTTCATTGACAATCTCGTTCACCCTCCTTCCGGCTTCTTCATCCCCGTCGAACAAATTATCGATCCTGAAATGCAACTTTTCAGGTTTGCCGTCCACTTTACAAGTGGCTATTTTCACGTAAGTCTTATTGTTTTTGACAACTTCGTCGTACGTAACATAAAAACTCATGTTAAAACTGGCTAAAGCAAAAAACAGTTTTAGTCATAGCTTAAAGCGATAAAATCACCCCCTTACTGAAGTCCAGCCAGCTGGGTCCTTCGCCTTTGAGCGCCACCCCCAAAATCGTACCGTTCAGTTTATAGTCGCAAGACGATTCAACGAACGGAAGATTGGCGTTTGCAGATATAACCCGCCGTTGGAAATCGAACACGAAAGTTCTAAATCTTCCCTTGGACACCCCATGGAACTGGCAGTTCTTCAACCGTTCGGTGAGCTTTATCAAGTTCGTATCCACGTTAGACGACATGCTCAGGAGTTCTAGAGGCTCCACGCCAGGTAAGCGTACCTTTTTGTGAGGTTTGTACATTTGAGCGATGTCGTAATTGACAGCTTTGATAAGACATTCTTGGAAGTTTGCTTCATGGCGGTTGCATTTTATAAAATTTGGGGCTAAAAATGGACTTTGAAAGAAAGAAAGTGGGTTTATACAATTGACTTACGTAGTTTTACGCACGTGGTGGGGAAGACAAGAAGGCACAACGTTAACACGAAAGTTTTCATTGTGATTTATTTCCGTGACAGAGTTAAAACTGATCATACGTCAAAAAAGTGTGCATTTTATATGAGTAAACAAGGTTATCAACGTCGAAGTACGTATTTATCACGTCAAGAATTCGAAACTTGTTCGATTGCATAATGATAGCGGCGAATAATCTATGAAAATTCCTGGTTTTATTATATTTTTTGGTACAATTAAGGTAACAAATAAATAATTGCATATTTTTGCCATTTTAGTAGATTTAAATGAGGAATTAAAAAACTGGTCGAAGGTTATTTCGACAAGACTTCCCTCGTAGCTTAAGTGCAGTTCAACAAATGATAACATAATGTGTTCGAATCATAGACGGTGACGGAGTGTGGGCGGGGCTCTACATACATTCTAAAAAATATTAAGTGTCATTAAAAAAATCATTAAATCATTTTTTAGAAGTTCAGAATCTTCAATAATTTTATAAAAGTGTAATGACTTACTAAATTGAAGAAGTGGACTCCCGTTTCCGTCTGTCCTCTGTCTGTCTGTCTGTGTTGTTTTTTATTTGACAGATAATCTCCGAAACTACTGGACTAATTGTTGTAGAATTTTGTATGTATATTAGGACTATCATTCAACTGATACATTAGTAAATTTGTTTTCAATTTAATTAAAATAAGATAGAATAAATTATATTTTATAATTTTTTGAGAAAGCGGGATTTATCTACCTTCGACTAATTTTTTGATATCATTTATCATTTTAAAATTTTTCGTTTTTCCGTTTTCTTAATTTTTTCAATTTTTCGATTTTTTATTATTTCGGTTTTATAATTTTTCGATATTAAATTTTTCATTTTTCAATTTCCCGTTCCTCAATTTTTCGACTTCTTGATTTTTGTTTGTCATTTATCAATGTTTTTTCGATTTTATAATTATTCGTTTATCCAATTTTTCAAATTTTCAGTCTTTAATTTTCCAATTTCTAAATTTTTGAAATTTGCAATTTTAGGTTATCCGATTTTCCTATTTCCTTAATTTTTAATCTTCCGATTTTTCAATTTTTCGTTTATTCAATTTTTCAAGTTCTTGATTTCAAATTTTTAAAATCTTCATTTTCAAAACATACTGTTTCGTTTTTTCAGTTTTGTTTTTTTAATTTTACAATTTTGAAATTTTTTTGACTCGAAAAAACCGAAAAAACGAAAAACTGCGCAATCAAAAAGGTAACCCTCAAAGATGGAAACTGAAAAATTAAATATGAAGAAATTCAAAAATTAAAAATCGAAAAATTGAAAAATCGAATAAAGGAAAAAGTTCTCAAATGCAATAATTGAAAAATGTAAAAAAATTAAACTCGTAAAATTGTGCAAGTGAATTTTTTTTATAAAATTATAATTATTCTTGCATATTAACATGAAGACTAGAAAAACTGCAAATCAAATATTGAAGAAATGAAGAATTGGAAAATCGAAAAACTGAAAAATCTAAGAGTTCAGAAAACCGAAAAACTGAAAAACTGCAAATGGAAATATTGAAAAATCCAAAAATTGAAAATTTTCAAATTGAAAAAAGAAAAATCAGAACATTGAAAAACCGAAAAATTGAAAACTTGTGAAATTACAAATCGAAAACAGAAAAATTTAAAATGAAAACTCGAATAATTATCGTAAAAAAGAAACAAAAAAATAAAAAATTGAAAAATTAACAAAACTAAAAATTGAAAAAATTGAAATTGAAGAAACAAAAAATTATAAAATCGGAATATTGAAAAATAGAAAAATTATAAAAATAAAAAACAATGAAAAACCAAATCAAAAATTTAAGATAAAAATCGGAAACCTAAAAATTGGAAAAAATCGAAATATCTAAAAACTGAAAAAACGAAAAAGTAGAAAATCGAAAAACTGCAAATCGAAGAACTGAAGAAAAAGAAAAATCGAAACGTTGAAAAAGTCTAAAAATTGAGGAACTTAAAAATGGAAAAAATTAATGAATTGAAAAATTAGAAAGAAGAAAATCGAATGGAATCGTAAAATTGAAAAATCTAAAATGAAAAAGTTTAAAATCCAATATGTAATTGAAAAATGGAAAAAATCTAAACTCGTAAAACTGAAAAAGTGAACAAAATTTTAAATTATAATTATTATTACATATTAAAATGAAAACTAGAAAAACTGCAAATCAAAAATTGAAAAAAACCGAAAAATCAAAAATGTAAAAGTTGAAAAACCGAAAAATTGAAAACCGAAAATCGAAATATTGAAAAATTCAAAAACTGAAAAATTTCACATTAGAAAAAAGAAAAATAATAAAATCAGAGCATTAGAAAATCAAAAAATTGAAACAAAGAAAATGAAAAACTGAAACGAAAAATTGCAAATTGCAAAACTGAAGAAATGAAAAATTGAAAAACTGGAAAACTAAAATTTGAAAACTCGTAAAATTACAAATCAAAAACAGAATAATTTAAAAATCAAAAAACTCGAATAACTACATTTCGTAAAAAAGAAACAAAAAAAAATAAAAAATAGAAAAATTAACAAAACGAAAAATTGCAATTGAAAAAACAAAAAAGTATAAAAAAATCTAAAAATTGTAAACATAGAAAAAAATAAAAAACCAAAACAAAAAATTGCCAATCGAAAATTTAAAGAAAAGAAAAATTAAAAATCGGACAACTAAAAAATGGGAAAAAATCGAAAAATCTAAAAACAGAAAAACTGAAAAAGTGTAAAATCGAAAAACTGCAAATCGAAGAACAGAAGAAACGAAAAATCCAAACGTTGAAGAACTTATAATGAAGAAATTAAAAATTCGAAAAAAATAATGAATCGGGAAATTAGAAAGAAGAAAAAACGAATCGAATCGGAAAATTGGAAAACTCAAAAAAATTATAGATTCGTAACTAGAACACTGAAAGATGGGAATTGAAAAATTAAATATGGAAAAATTCAAAAATTACAAAGACAAAAATCGAAAAATCAAATAAATAAAAATGTTCTAAATTTAATAATTGGAAAATGGAAAAAATCTAAACTTGTAAAATTGAGGAAGTGAAAAATTTTAAAAATTATAATTATTATTGTTACATATTAAAATAAAAGCTACATAAAACTGCACATCAAAAATTGAAGCAACGAAGAATTGAAAAATCAAGAAACCGAAACGTCTAAAATTGAAAAAACGAAAAATTCAAAAATGTAAAAGTTGAAAAACCGAAAATCTGAAAACCGTAAAATTGACAAGAAAAATTACAATTCGAAAACTTGAGAAATAAAAAATTGAAAAATTAATAACTCAAAACTCGTGACACAAATCGAAAATATATACAAATATTTTAAAATGAAAACTCGAACAGTTACATGACGTAAAAAACAAACAAAATGAAAAATTGGAAAATTCGCGAAACAAAAAATTAAAAAAAAATCGAAAAATCAAAAAAATTATTAAAAAAATGGAAAAGTCACGAAACAAAAAATTTAAAAAAAATCGAAAAATCAAAAAAATTGTAAAATCGGAACATTGAGAAATCGAAAATTTGAAAAATTAAAAATTCAACAAATTTTAAATAGAAAATTACAAAATCCAAAAATTGAAATTTTCAAAAGCTGTAACATTGAAAACCGGAAAAATTTAGACATGAAAACTCGAAAAATTACATACTGAAAAACCAAAAAATTAGAAAAAACTGAAAAATCTAAAAATTGAAAAAAAACGAAACATTGGAAAATGGAAAAAGTGGAAGATCGAAAAACTGCAAATCCAAGACCTGAAGAAACAAAAATCGAAACGTTGAAAACTAAAGACAGAGAAACTTAAAAACAGAAAAAAACTAATGAATCGAAAAATTAGAAAGAAGGAAAAAATTTAAACTCGTAAAATTGAGAAAGTGATTTTTTTTTTAAATTATAACTCTATTATTACATATTAAAATTAAAAAATCTAAAAGTTGAGAAACCTAAAAACTGAAAACTAAAAAATTGAAAAATCTAAAAACTGAAGAAATGAAAAATTGAAAAATTAACGAAACGAAAAATTGAAAAATCGAAAAATTGTAAAAATAAAAAAATAAAAAACCAAAACGAAAAACTGCAAATCGAAAATTTAAGGGAAGGAAAAATTAAAAATCGAAAACCTAAAAAATTTAAAAAAATCGAAAAATCTAGAAACTGAAAAAACGAAAAATTGTAAAAAAAAACTTAAACAAATGCTGCAAAATCGAAAACAGAAAAATTATTAAGATGAAATGAAAAATGAAAAAATTAAAAAATTATAATTGAAAACTCGTAAAACTGCAAATCGAAGATCTGAAGAAACAAAAATCGAAACTTTGAAAACTAAAAAGAGGGAAACTTAAAAACAGAAAAAAATTAATGAATCGAAATAAATTAGAAAGAAGAAAAAAGGGATCGAATCGAAAAATTGGAAAATTCAAAAAAATTATAGAATCGTCAAAATTGTAGAGTCGGAGAACTATGACACTGAAAAATGGAAATTGAAAAATTAATTATGGAGAAATCGAATAGAATGAAAACGTTTTAAAATCTAATAACTGAAAAATGGAAAAAATTTAAACTCGTAAAATTGAGAAAGTGAAAATTTTTTTAAATTAACGAAACGAAAAATTGAAAAAACTGAAATTGAAAAAACAAAAAATTATAAAATCAGAACATTGAAAAACCTAAAAAATTGGAAAAAATCGAAAAATCTAGAAACTGAAAAAACGAAAAATTGCAAAACCGAAAAATTGGAAAATCGAAAAACTACAAATGGAAGAACTACATAAACGAAAAATCGAAACGTTGAAACATTAAAAGTTGAGAAACTTAAAAAATGGAAAACATTAATGAATCGCAAAATTAAAAAGAAGAAAAATCGAATCGAATCGAAAAATTGGAATGCTCAAAAAAATTATAGAATCGTCAAAATTGTAGAGTCGGAAACTGTAACCCTTAAAGATGGAAACTGGAAAATTAAATATGAAGAAATTAAAAAATTAATAAAATTGAAAAATCGAAGAAATGAAAAAGTTTTAAAACCCAATAATCGAAAAATGGAAATTAAACTCTTTACGAAAAATGGAAAAAATCGTAAAAATGAAAAATTGAAAACTTAAAAATTTTGAAAGTTGAGAAACCGAAAAACTGAAAACTGACTGCAAATCGAAATATTGAAAAGTCCAAAAATTGAAAATTTTCACATTGAAAAAGAAAAATCATAAAATTAGAACATTGAAAAACCGAAAAATTAAAAAAAATAAAATGGAAAAACGAAACAAAAAATTGCAAATTGAAAAATTACAAAATCTAAAAACTAAAACATCAAAAAGTTGTAAAATCGAAAACAGATAAATTTTAAAATGAAAACTCTAAAAACGTTACATTGCAAATTGAGAAGCTGAAAAAATAACAAATTATAAAATCGGACCATTAAAAAATCGAAAAATTCCAAAAATAAAGAAAATAAAAAACTGAAAAAAAAAAATTGCGAATCGAAAATTTGGAGAAACGAAAAATTGAAAAAAGAAAAATTGAAATGATTAAAAATTGAAAGCTCATGAAATTTTAAATCGAAAAATTACAAAATCTAAAAACTGAAACATCCAAAAGTTGGAAAATCGAAAAGTGAAAAATTTAAAACTGAAAACTCGAATAATTAATTATCGTAAATAAGAAACAAAAAAATTAAAAATTGAAAAATTGACGAAACGAAAAGCTGAGAAAATGGAAATTAAAAACATTGACTCCGGCGAAATTCTGAGCCAGATTTTGTTTGCCACTCCTCACTACAGCACAAGATCCCAATCTCTGTTTAAATTCAACTGCTTTAAGACCAACTACTGTCTCCACTCATCTTTACAGAGACTTTTATGGTTGGGTGCTCTGTGCCGTACTGAGGTTGATTTTACAGGTGTGAGTTTTAAAGTTTTTAGTCCCAGCTTAGGAATTTATTTTAGAATGTAAGTTGTGCGTTTCTGTTTATTGTAGTTTATTGCAGTTTTTTTTTTCTTTATTTTACTCTGTAATAGCTTTATTGGCGTTAATAAATGCAATTATTATTATTATTGAAATAAAAAACCGAAACGAAAAAAAACAAAAATTAAAAAATCTAAAATTTGAAGAATCAAAAACTGAAAACTCGAAAAAAATTCAAAATCTAAAAATTTTGACTTGACCTAACCTGACCCGACTCGAAACGAAAAACTGTAAATCAAAAATTGAAAAATTAAAAATTGAAAATTTGTGAAAAAACAAACCAAAAAATTGCAAAAAAATCTACAACAAATGTCGCAAAATCGAAAAGAGAAAAATTTTTCAGATGAAATAAAAAATGAAAAAATTAAAAAATTATAACTGAAAACTCGTAAAATTTCAAATTAAAAAATCTAAAAACTGAAACATACAAAAGTTGGAAAATCGAAAACTGAAAAATTTTAAAATGAAGACTCGATAAGTTACATATTTTCAAAATAAAGAAAATACAAAACCGAAATGAAAAACTGCAAACAGAAAAATTGAATAATTAAAATTTAAAATGGAAAATTTGTGAACTTATTCTAAAATCCAAAACATCCACAAGTTGAAAAAACGTAACAAACCAATTTTAAATTGAAAACTCGAATAGTTACATTGTAAATTGAAAAAAATGTTAGTTAGTCTTCGTCATGGCTACGTCATCGCTGGCGCAGTCGCGCAGACTACCGCCGAACACGCACTCCATCTGTTTCCTAACAAAAAATTATAGTATTATCAAAATTGTAAGGTCGAAAAACTGTAACATTGAAATATCGAAAAACTGAAAAATCTGAAATTGTAAATTTGACTACTAGAAAAATTACAAATCAATAATTGGAGAAAAAAAATTGAAAAATCAAGAAACTGAAAAATCTAAAATTGAAAATACGAAAAATTAAAAATTGTAAAAATTGAAAAATCAAAAAATAAAAACCGAAAAATGGCAAATCGAAAACCTGGAAGTTTTCACATTGAAAAAAGAAAAATTATAGAATCAAAACACTGATAGATCGAAAAACAGAAAAAATAAAGTAAAGAAAAACCGAAACAAAAAATTACAAATGATGACTCGAAGAGTTGCAAATTGGAATGAAAAAAACAAAAAACCAAAACGAAAAAATGCAATTTGAAATCTTGACAAATTTTAAATCGAAAAATTGAAAAATCTAAAACTGAACACTCAAAAAAAATAAAAATTCGAAAATCGCAAATCGAAGAAGTAAAGAACTGAAAAATTGTAAAAAGATGGAAAAAGAAAAAATCGAGAAACTCAAATCGAAACACTGCTAAATCTAATAATTGAAAAATTCATAAGTTGGAAAACTGAAAATTAAAACTTGAAAACTCGAAAAATAGCAAATCGAAAAACTGAAGAAACAAGGGAAAAAGAATCCCTCTGGAAACAAGTTCCAGACCATCAGCATGTGAAAAAGTTTGTGTCATTTTGCCAAAGAAGACCAAAAAGCGTCTGGATTTGAGAAAAAATCAACCAAGACTGGTAACAGGTACGTAGAAACATAAATACAAGTAGAAGCAAGGGCTGGAAGAGGAAACCAAGAACGAAATTTTTGTCTACTTTTTGTTTATGTTGCTGTTTGCTGTGTACACAAATACACATTTCACCACTTAGACTAATTTCAGTCAAACATCTCCTCTAGCGACACTCTTGAAAAAAAACCCGTCAATATAGTCGCCAACATCTGACCCGGTATATCTAAGTACTCATTTTTAATATCGTCATACAGTACACTCCAATTTTCATTAACAATCTCGTTCATCCTCCTTCCAGCTTCTTCATCGCCGTCAAACAAATTATCTATTCTAAAACGTAAGTTTTCAGGTTTTCCGTCCACTTTACAAGTAGTCAATTTCATGTAAGTCTTGTTGTTTTTGACAACTTCGTCGTACTTAACATAAATACTCATGTTAAAATTCGCTACAGAAAAAACCCTTTTAGTCAAACTTAAAACGAAACATCGCCCCCTTACTGAAATCCAGCCAACTAGGTCCTTCGCCTTTGAGCGCCACCCCCAAAATAGTACCATTCAGTTTATAGTCGCAAGACGATTCAACGAACGGAAAATTGGCGTTTGCAGATATAACCCGCCGTTGGAAATCGAACACGAAAGTTCTAAATCTTCCCTTGGACACCCCATGGAACTGGCAGTTCTTCAACCGTTCGGTGAGCTTTATCAAGTTCGTATCCACATTAGAGGACATACTGAGGAGTTCTAGAGGTTCGACACCCGGTAAGCGTATCTTTTTGTGAGGTTTGTACATCTGAGCGATGTCATGATTGGCAGCTTTGGGAAGACATTCTTCGAAGTTTGCTTCATGGCGGTTGCATTTTATAAAATTTTGGGCTAAAAATGCGCTTTGAAAGAAAGAAAGTGGATTTAATTATAGAGTCAACTTACGCAGTTTTACGCACGTGTGGGGGAAGACAATAAGGCACAACGTTACCACGAACGTTTTCATTGTGAGTTATTTCCGAGACAGAGTTAAAACTGATCATTCGTCAAAAAAGTGGGCATTTCATATGAGTAAACAAGGTTATCAACGTCGAAATACGTCTGCTTCACGTCAAGAAATCGAAACTTGTTCGACTGCATAATGATGGCGGCGAATAATCTTTGAAAATTCATGGTTTTATTATATTTTTTAATGCAATTAAGGTAACAAATAAATAATTGCATATTTTTGCCATTTTAGTAGATTTAAATGAGGAATTAAAAAACTGGTCGAAGGTTATTTCGACAAGACTTCCCTCGTACGTTAAGTGCAGTTCAACAAATGATAACATAATGCGTTCGAATCATAGACGGTGGCGGAGTGTGGGTGGGGCTCTACATACATTCTAAAAAATATTTAGTGTCATTAAAAAAATCATTAAATCATTTTTTAGAAGTTCAGAATCTTCAATAATTTTATAAAAGTGTAATGACTTATTAAAATGAAGAAGTGGACTCCCGTTTCCGTCTGTCCTCTGTCTGTCTGTCTATGTTGATTTTTATTTGACAGATAATCTCCGAAACTACTGGACTAATTGTTGTGAAATTTTGTATGTATATTAGGACTATCATTCAAATGATACATTAGTAGATTTGTTTTCAATTTAATTAAAATAAGGTAGAATAAATTATATTTTATAATTTTTTGAGACAGCTGGATTTATCTACCTTCGACTAATTTTTTGATATCATTTATCATTTTATAATTTTTCGTTTTTTCGCTTTCTTTATTGTTTCAATTATTCGATATTACAATTTTTCATTTTTCAGTTTCTCGTTTCCTCAATTTTTCGAGTTCTTGATTTTTATTTGTCATTTTTCAATGTTTTTTCGATTTTATAATTATTCGTTTATCCAATTTTTCAAATTTTCAGTCTTTAATTTTCCAATTTCTAAATTTTTGAAATTTGCAATTTTTGGTTATCCGATTTTCCTATTTCATTAATTTTTAATCTTCCGATTTTTCAATTTTTCGTTTATTCAATTTTTCAAGTTCTTGATTTCAAATTTTTAAAATCTTCATTTTCAAAACATACTGTTTCGTTTTTTCAGTTTTGTGTTTTTAATTTTACAATTTTGCAATTTTTTTGACTCGAAAAAACCGACAAAAAGAAAAACTGCGCAATCAAAAAGGTAACCCTCAAAGATGGAAACTGAAAAATTAAATATGAAGAAATTCAAAAATTAAAAATCGAAAAATTGAAAAATCGAATAAATGAAAAAGTTTTCAAACCTAATAATTGAAAAATGGAAAAAAATTAAACTCGTAAAATTGAGAAAGTGATTTTTTTTTAAATTATAATTATTCTTACATATTAACATGAATACTAGAAAAACTGCAAATCAAATATTGAAGAAACGAGAAACTGAAAAATGAAAAATTGTAATATCGAAAAATTGAAAAAATAAAGAAAGCGAAAAAACGAAAAATTATAAAATGATAAATGATATCAAAAAATTGGAAAATGGAGAAACTGAAAAATCTAAAAGTTCAGAAAACCGAAAAAATTAAAAATTGCAAATTGACATATTGAAAAATCCAAAAATTGAAAATTTTCAAATTGAATAAAGAAAAATCAGAACATTGAAAAACCGAAAAATTGAAAACTCGTGAAATTACAAATCGAAAACAGAAAAATTTCAAAATGAAAACTCGAATAATTATCGTAAAAAAAAATAAAAAAAATAAAAAATTGAAAAATTAACGAAAAAATTGAAATTGAAAAAACAAAAAATTATAAAATCGGAATATTGAAAAATAGAAAAATTATAAAAATAAAAAACAATGAAAAGCCAAATCAAAAATTCAAGATAAAAATCGGAAACCTAAAAATTGGAAAAAGTCGAAATATCTAAAAACTGAAAAAACGAAAAAGTAGAAAATCGAAAAACTGCAAATCGAAGAACTGAAGAAAAAGAAAAATCGAAACGTTGAAAAATTCTAAAAATTGAGGAACTTAAAAATGGAAAAAATTAATGAATTGAAAAATTAGAAAGAAGAAAATCGAATGGAATCGAAAAAATGAAAAACCTAAAATGAAAAAGTTTAAAATCCAATATGTAATTGAAAAATGGAAAAAATCTAAACTCGTAAAAGTGAAAAAGTGAACAAAATTTTAAATTATAATTATTATTACATATTAAAATGAAAACTAGAAAAACTGCAAATCAAAAATTGAAAAAAAAACGAAAAATCAAAAATCTAAAAGTTGAAAAACCGAAAAATTGAAAACCGAAAATCGAAATATGGAAAAATTCAAAAACTGAAAAATTTCACATTAGAAAAAGGAAAAATAATAAAATCAGAACACTGAAAAAAGAAAAATCATAAAATCAGAGCATTGGAAAATCAAAAAATTGAAACAAAGAAAATGAAAAACTGAAACGAAAAATTGCAAATTTCAAAACTGAAGAATTGAAAAATTGAAAAACTGGAAAACTAAAATTTGAAAACTCGTAAAATTACAAATCAAAAACAGAATAATTTAAAAATCAAAAAACTCGAATAATTACATTTCGTAAAAAAGAAACAAAAAAAAATAAAAAATAGAAAAATTAACGAAACGAAAAATTGCAATTAAAAAAACAAAAAAGTATAAAATCGAAACATTGAAAAATCTAAAAATTGTAAAAATAGAAAAAAAAAAATAAAAAACCAAGACAAAAACTTGCCAATCGAAAATTTAAAGAAAAGAAAAATTAAAAATCGGACAACTAAAAAATTGAAAAATCTAAAAACTAGAACACTGAAAGATGGAATTTGAAAAATTAAATATGTAGAAATTCAAAAATTACAAATTCAAAAATCGAAAAATCAAATAAATAAAAAAGTTTTAAATTCAATAATTGGAAGATGGAAAAAATCTAAACTCGTAAAATTGAGACAGTGAAAATTTTTAAAAATTATAATTATTATTACATATTAAAATAAAAGCTACATAAAACGTCAAATCAAAAATTGAAGAAACGAAGAATTGAAAAATCAAGAGACCGAAAATTCTGAAATTGAAAAAAAACGAAAAATTCAAAAATGTATAAGTTGAAAAACCGAAAAACTGAAACCGTAAAATTGACATGAAAAATTACAATAAAATATTGAAAAATTAATAACTCAAAACTCGTGAGACAAATAGAAAACACAAATATTTTAAAATGAAAACTCGGACAGTTATATGACGTAAAAAACAAACAAAATAAAAAATTGGACAATTCACGAAACAAAAATTAAAAAAAAAATAAAACCAAAAAATCAAATGTTTATAAAATCGGAACATTGAAAAATCGAAAATTTGAAAAATTAAAAATACAAAACTCGAGAAATTTTAAATAGAAGAATTACAAAATCCAAAAATTGCAAATTTCAAAAGCTGTAACATTGAAAACCGGAAAAATGTAGAAATGAAAACTCGAAAAATTATATTTGAAAAACCAAAAAATGAGAAAAAACTGAAAAAACTAGAAATTGAAAAAAAAAAACGAAACATTGCAAAATCGAAAAGTGGAAGATCGAAAAACTGCAAATCCAAGAACTGAAGAAACAAAAATCGAAACGTTGAAAACTTAAAATAGAGAAACTTAAAAACAGAAAAAAAGTAATGAATCGAAAAATTAGAAAGAAGAAAAAACGAACCGAATCGAAAAATTGGAAAATACAAAAAATTATAGAATCGTCAAAATTGTAGAGTCGGAGAACTGAAAAATGGAACTTGAAAAATTAAATATGGAGAAATCGAATAAAATGAAAAAGTTTTAAAATCTAATAACTGAAAAATAGAAAAAATTTAAACTCGTAAAATTGAGAAAGTGAGTTTTTTTTTTAATTATAACTATTATTACATATTAAAATTAAAAAATCTACAAGTTGAGAAACCGAAAAACTGAAAACTAAAAAATTACAAATCGAAAAATTGAAAAATCCAAAAACTGAAAAATTTCAAATTGGAAAAAAGAAAAATTACAAAATCAAGGCATTGAAAAACCGAAAAATTGAAAAATCTAAACGAAAAATTACAAATTGAATAACTGAAGAAATGAAAAATTGAAAAATTAACGAAACGAAAAATTGAAAAAATTGAAATTAAAAAACCAAAATATTATAAAATCGGAACATTGAAAAATCGAAAAATTGTAAAAATAAAAAAATAAAAAACCAAAACGAAAAACTGCAAATCGAAAATTTAAGGGTAGGAAAAATTAAACATCGAAAACCTAAAAAATTGGAAAAAATCGCAAAATCTAGAAACTGAAAAATCGAAAAATTGCAAAACCGAAAAAGTGGAAAATCGAAAAACTACAAATGGAAGAACTACAGAAACCAAAAATCGAAACGTTAAGACACTAAAAGTTGAGGAACTTAAAAAATGGAAAACATTAATGAATCGCAAAATTAGAAAGAAGAAAATCGAATCGAATCGAAAAATTGGAATACTCAAAAAAATTATAGAATCGTCAAAATGGTAGAGTCGGAAACTGTAACCCTTAAAGATGGAAACTGGAAAATTAAATATGCAGAAATTAAAAAATTAATAAAATTGAAAAATCGAAGAAATGAAAAAGTTTTAAAACCCAATAATCGAAAAATGGAAACTAAACTTTACGAAAAATGGAAAAAATCGTAAAAATGAAATATTGAAAACTTAAAAATTTTAAAAGTTGAGAAACCGAAAAACTGAAAAACTGCAAATCGAAATATTGAAAAGTCCAAAAATTGAAAATTGTCACATTGAAAAAAGAAAAATCATAAAATTAGAATATTGAAAAACCGAATACTTGAAAAAAAAAATGGAAAAACTAAACAAAAAATTGCAAATCGAAAAATTACAAAATCTAAAAACTCTAACATCAAAAAGTTGGAAAATCAAAAACAAATAAATTTTAAAATGAAAACTCTAAAAACGTTACATTGCAAATTGAGAAGCTGAAAAAAAAAGTTATAAAATCGGACCATTAAAAAATCGAAAAATTCCAAAAATAAAGAAAATAAAAACTGAAACAAAAAATTGCAAATCGAAAATTTGGAGAAATAAAAAACTGAAATAAAGAAAAATTGAAATAATCAAAAATTAAAAACTCATGAAATTTTAAATCGAAAAATTACAAAATCTAAAAACTGAAACATCCAAAAGTTGGAAAATCGAAAAGTAAAAAATGTAAAACTGAAAACTCGAATAATTAAATATCGTAAAAAAGAAACAAAAAAATGAAAAATTGAAAAATTGACGAAACGAAAAATTGAGAAAATGGAAATTAAAAAAACAAGAAAAATATAAAATCGGAACATTGAAATATCCCAAAATTGTCAAAATAAAGAGAATAAAAAACCGAAACGAAACAAACGAAAAATTAAAAAATCGAAAATTTGAAGAATTAGAAACTGAACACTGGAAAAAAATTCAAAATCTAAAAATTTTGACTTGACCTGACCTGACCTGACTCGAAACGAAGAACTGCAAATCGAAAAATTGAAAAATTAAAAATTGAAAACTTGTGAAACCACAAGCCAAAAAATTGCAAACGAAAAACTAAAACAGAAAAATTTTTAAGATGAAATGAAAAATGAAAAAATTAAAAAATTATAATTGAAAACTCCTAAAATTTCAAATTAAAAAATTGCAAAATATAAAAACTTAAAAATTATATAAAATTAGAAAATCGGAACATTGAAAAATCGAAAAATTGTAAAAATAAAAAAATTAAAAACCAAAATGAAAAACTGCAAATCGAAACTTTAAGGGAAGGAAAAATTAAAAATCCTAAAAGATTGGAAAAAATTGAAAAATCTAGAAACTGAAAAAACGAAAAATTGCAAAACCGAAAAAGTGGAAAATCAAAAAACTACAAATGGGAGAACTACAGAAACGAAAAATCGAAACGTTGAAACTTAAAAAATGGAAACCATTAATGAACCGAAAAATTCGAATACTCAAAAAAATTATAGAATCGTCAAAATTGTAGAGTCGGAAAACTGTAACCCTTAAAGAGGAAACTGAAAAATTAAATACATATGAGGAAATTAAAAAACTCGAATAGATATTGCAAATTGAAAAAAATCTGAAGAAACGAAAATTGAAAAAACAAAAAATTATAAAATCGGAACAGTGAAAAATCGAAAAATTCTGGCCATAAAAAAATGAGACGAAAAATTGAATAATCGAAAAATTGAAAAATTAAAAATTGAAATCTCGTGAAATTTCAAATAAAAAAATCGTAAAATCTAAAAACTGAAACAACCAAAAATTGGAAAACCAGAAACACCAATAAAGTGTTGATTGAAATAAAAAAGTGAAAATTTGAAAAATTGATGAAACGAAAAATTGAAGAAATTGAATTGAAAAATTAAAAAATTTTAAAAATTGAAAAATTAAAAAATCAAAAATTGAAAAATTAAAAACTCAAGAAATTTTAAATAGAAAAATTGCAAAGTCTAAAGATTAAAAAATTCAACGTGGCCTGACCTGACCCGAAACGAAAAATTGCAAATTGAAAAACAGAAAAAAGAAAAATTTAAAAATTTAAAAATTCAAAATCAAAATTTGGAAAATTAAAAACCGGAAAAATTTAAAGTTGAAAACGCGAAAAATTGCAAATCAAAAAACTGAAAAAACAAAAAAAATTAAAAATTAAAATAAGAAAAAAAAAACAAAAGACGAAATACTCTACTAATTTTTTCTATCGAAGTTTCACGTTTCCAAAAATAACGATTCAGCATATTTCAGACGTCCTGAAATAATTACATTCCTTAAATTTAGAAAAGACTGAAATCTTTAATCTTCAATAGTAAAATCAAACATTGTAGAATTTTCTATTTAAATGAAATTTTGTTCCTTTTATGACTTGTAGGTTTTTAGTAAATTTTAATTAATGACATTTTGTCAAAATATCTGTACTTTTGCTTGAAGTATTGGATATTTTTGAACGTGCAAATCTTGTTCTTCTTTTTGTACCTCGTTTAAATAAAAATTTATTCTTAAAATATTCTAAACACGGAAAATTCAGAGATATTAAAGAACGAAGGCTTTTTAACACATCCTTCAAGACATTTTTTAAGATATGTGACATGGTTCACTAACAATAACAAGTGGGTTTTTCGAGTGCATAATTTTGTGATGACGCGCCATCAAGTTTTTGGGAGGGGATAAACGAATATATTTTGATAACGAACGAAAAAATTTTCATTAAATTATAAAAATAATGTTATTTAATCCATCCAAGCGACCGAATAAACAAAACTTTGTCACTAATTACCTCGCCATCATCACACTATTTCGCATCATTTCAAATTCGGCGCCCTCCCCCCACCCCCGCCTATTTTATTAATGAACAGGTGCCTGACCTATCACAATGCGCACCGGTCCCCCCACTGCGCACGCGCGAATCGGCAGTGTGACGTCACGAAACATCAATACGCTGAAAATCAACCGTGTATTTCTAGTGTGAGTGTTGTGGACGTTCGCTTCTAATTCCACCCTAATTTCACACGACACGACATGTAAGTACGCCAACCCACAACCCCCCAAACCGACCACCGAACTAGCAAAACCCAAAACCGCCCCTCGTCCAAAAACGCACCGAGTGCACCCCGACGCTGCGTCGCGACGCTGCCGCAAAACTACCCCCTTTCGCACGAACTGCGGCAGGGCGTCACGGGGGCCGCAAACGGGGCGCCCGGGCCCCCGGACCCCGGGCCCAATTGTTTGGGTTTTGGTCGGGGCCCGGCGATCGATCGCCGGACTCCGGAAAAATCGACTCGGGGTAGTTTTGCGCTAAATAATAAATGGTGTTAAACATTTATTAAAATGTGAACGAATTGATTTTTGATCGGCGCAAGCGCGCCGGGGGCGGCTCGGGGTGGACGAGGGCCCCCACGAAGGCACGCTCCGCTGGGGTGCGGAAATGTGCGTAAAACGCAATCTTCGAACTGTTTTTTTTTGTTGAAAAAGAAAAATGGTTCGAATGTGAGATTCGTCGAAAAATTCTAATAAGGGTGACTAGGACTAATTAAGACACTATTATATTTATAATTCGTTTGAATGCGTCAAGAACTTGGTTTAATTATAGTTTTAGGAAAAATCTGTGGCTAAAATTTCAGTAAAACGTCTTCAACTAACCCCTTATCTTAAATGTCATTGTCCTCGACCCTAACCGCCATTTTTATCTAATTTACGACAAAAGATTTCCTTAAATCGTGAGCCACAAAATGATAAAAATACAGACAGAAATATTTTTCGTAGCCTTATTAATGTTTCGAAATTGGAATTAACCGGTTATTCAACTTCTTGGGCGATCGATTCTTATGTAAATTACCACAAATTAGTAGCGTGCCCCAAAACAACATATTTATCACAAAAACGACCTCTTCCTGATAACCGATACGTAACTAGAAACAAAATAGTTTGATTGATGACGTCACTTTAAGAAATCATCAATCAAATTTCCTCGGTTCGTCCCTTCCAAAAACTGTGTGACGTCTAAACTCGCTCTTCCAGGTCTGCGGGGGACTCTCTAGGGGCTCCGGCGGCCGGAGGCGGCGCCGGCGACGACGGCATCGTCGGCGGTCCGAGGACGCCGCAGCAGATCGCCGCCCAACGACGCCTCCAGCAGACGCAAGCCCAGGTCGACGAGGTGGTGGACATCATGAAGACGAACGTAGAAAAGGTCCTCGAAAGAGATACCAAACTGTCAGAACTCGATGACAGAGCGGGTAGGTTTCGGCTTGTTGGATTATACAGGGTGTTCGGGTGGTTAGCGGGTATTGATTGTGGCTGTCTTCGGCGTGGGCAAGTTCACCCACATGTGACGCCTTCGGCTTTTTTGGGTCACCAAATGTCAAAAGGTGAAAGGGTGGAGTTTTCCCGAACGAGATTGGATGTTGCGAATCGGAGATTTTGCGGTTTGGCAGGAAGGAAGCTGATTGTTTATTAATTTCATTGCTGGTGATAAGGTGGGCTATTTTTAGAAATGGTCGTGGTTAGTGGGCTTTGTTCGACGCACGTTTTTTACGATTTTTCGGTTTAATAACGAAATTAATCTCGGTGTACGTGGTTAAATTGCACTAATTGTTTTTGGAACAATAGCAAATTTTTAAGATCAAAAAATAGAAAGCGAAGAATGTAAAATTTTAAAGAATATTACAAAACATATACACAGTACATTAAGTTTCCCCCTTCAAGCTAAAAATAATGGTGTTCACAGAATTTTAATATCTTTTTAGCGTATGCCCGAAAGGTAATGTAATGACCAAGTTTATAAATATTTAATTTCACTGTTTTGAGATTCATTGAGGGGCCCGATAAAGCTGTGGAACACAGGTCCGGAATTATCTTTTTAGGCCATTCACTATTAACTATTATCTATTATGGTATCATACGACACTATAAACTGGTTAAATATGTAATGCTTATTTAATAATTTTAATTGAAGTCTAACATGCCTTCAGTATAACCATTTCGCGCATGCTTTACCAAATATATAGTCTGTTTACAGGGTGTTCAAAAAATGGCACACCAGTCTTATGACACGTTCTTCAAATTGACGTAAAGACTTTTTTAATGATTTTTCTCGAACTTAGACTCGTGAGTTGGTGCGTCATTTTTTGAACAGCTGTATATGATTACTTTCCAAACGTAAGTAGGAGTAATACGTAGATAATGGCCCCTGATTTTTTTTCAGTAAGTCATTTAAATTTTATAAAATAACATACTCCTGTACTTGTGGTTTATGAATCCGCCTAGATTTTTCCGCCTTTCATAAAAAAAAAACTTACCAAAATTATTAAAACAGGATAAAAATAATATATAATGCAATTTCTTTTTTGATTAACTCTAAAAACGCGTATGGATTTTTTCTTAAATTCTAGAAAATCCAAAAATTGTAAACCCGAAAAACTGTAACATTGAAAGATGGAAAAATCGAAAAATTAAAAATTGAAACATTGAAGAACTAAAAAACGAATAACTGAAAAACTGAAATAGAAACTAAAAAATCTAAATGTTGAAAAACCGAAAAACTGAAATCCGAAAAACTACACGTAATTGAAAAAAGAAAAATGAAGAAAATGAGAAACCGAAACGAAAAATTGACAAATCGAAATCTTCTAAAAATTCTAATCCAAAAATATAAGAAACCCACATAAAGTCAAAAATGAAAAAATTGAAAACCCAAAAAACGGTAAAATCGAAAAATTTTATTACTAAAAATTGGAAACTCGTCAAATAACAAATCAAAAATTGCAGAATCCGAGAACTGAAACATCCAAAAGTTGGAAAATCGAAAAACTGAAAAATTTTAAAATGAAAATTCGAACAGTTACAAATCGTAAAATTCACGAAACAAAAAAAAATGAAAACATAAATTGAAACATTGTAGAAACGAAAAACTGAAAAAATTGAGATTGAAAATACAAAAAATTATAGCATCGCAACACTGAAAAATAGAAAAATTGTAAAAATGTAGAAAATAAGAAACTAAAACGAAAAATTGCAAATCGAAATATTGCAAAAATTCCAAAAATTGAAATTTTTCACATTGAAAAAAGAAAAATTAAGAAAATGAAAAATCGAAACGAAAAACTGAAAAATTGAAAAATCGAAATCTTCTAAAAATTCTAATCCAAAAATATAAGAAACCCACATAAAGTCAAAAATGGAGAAATTGAAAAATCGAAATGCTACAAAAACGAAAAAATTTAAAAACCGAAAAACGGTAAAATAGAATAATTTTATTATTAAAAATTGGAAACTCGTGAAATAACAAATTGCAGAATCCAAGAATGAAACGTCCAAAAGTTAAAAATCGTTAAATTGACGAAACAAAAAAAATGAAAACTTCTAAATTGAAAAATTGTAGAAACGAAAAACTCAAAAAATTGAGATTGAAAATACAAAAAATAATAGCATTGCAACACTGAAAAATAGAAAAATTGTAAAAATGTAGAAAAAAAAAACTGAAACGAAAACTTGCAGATCAAAAATTTAAAAAATCGAAAAATTGAAAAATTAAAAACTAAAAACTCAAGAAATTTTAAATCGAAAAATTACAAAATCTAAAATTTGAAAAACTGAAAAATCTAAACATGAAAACTCGAAAAATTACAAATCGAAATACTGATAAATCCAAAAATTTAAAATTTTTACACTGAAAACAGAAAAATTATTAAAAAAAACGAAAAATTGAAAAATGAAAATTGGAATAGTTACAAATCGTAAAATCGAAGAAACAAAAAAAATATATCATTTTTAAAGAAACAGGATTTCTTGGACTGCACTTCAAGGGCGAGGAATTTCTGTCTAAGTAATTCTGGATCTTTTTTTATGTAAAATCGGTTTCAAAAATTTGATGTCAACTCAAAGTTATTGACACAGGATAATAAAAAATAATAAATAATGCAATTTCTCTGTTGATTAACTCAAAAAACGCTTGTGGATTTGTTTTATTGCTAGAAAAACGAAAATTTCAAAAATTCAAAAAAAATAAACTCAAAAAACTGTAACTTTGAAAAATGGAAAAATCGAAAAATTAAAAATGGAAACACTGAAAAATTAAAAATTGACACATTGAAAAATTAAAAGTCGAATAACTGAAAGATAAAAAAATCTAGAATCTTAAAACCGAGACATTGAAAATGAAAATTCGAATAGTTACAAATCGTAAAATTCTAAAATCTTAAAACTGAGATAGTGAAAAATGTTAAAAATTATAATTATTACATGTTAAAATGAAAACTAGAAAAACTGAAATAGAAACTGAAAAATCTAAATGTTGAAAAACCAAAAAACTGAAATTCGAAAAATTACAAATCGAAATATTGCAAAAACACCAAAAATTAAAGATTTTCACAGTGAAAAACTGAAAAAAGAAAAATTATAAAATCAGCACACTAAAAAACCGAAAAATTAAAAAAATAAAGAAAATGAGAAACCGAAACAAAAAATCGAAAAAATGAAAAATCGAAAAATCGAAAATTTTAAAAATTAGAAATTGAAAACTTGATTAATTTTAAATCGAAAAATTACAAAATCTAAAAATTGAACAACTGAAAAATTTTAACTTGAAACTCGAAAAATTACAAATCTAAATATTGGAAAAGCCAAAAATTGAAAATTTTTACACTGGAAAAACAAAAATTCAAAAATCAGAACATTGAAAAACCGAAAAATTGAAAAAAAGAAAAATGAGAAACCGAAGTGAAAAATATAATTAAAAATTGGAGAAATATAAAAACTGAAACATCGAAAAGTTGTAAAAACGAAACCCTGAAAAATTCAAAAATGAAAATTCGAATAGTTACAAATCGTAGAATTGAAGAAACAAAAAAAATGAAAAATTGAAAAATTGAAAAATTGCAAATCGAAAAATTGAAGAAACGAAAAATTTTAAAAATTTTGATTCAAACAACAAAAAATTATAAAATTTCAACACTGAAAAACGATAAATTGTAAAAATGTAGAAAATAAAAAATTGAAACGAAAAATTGAAGAATCGAAAAATTGAAAAATTAAAAACTAAAAACTCAAGACATTTTAAATCGAAAAAATTCAAAATCTAAAAATTGAATAACTGAAAAATTTAAACTTGAAAACTCGAAAATTACAAATCGAAATATTGATAAATCCAAAAATTTTAAATTTTTTCACTGAAAAATGAAAAATTATAAAATCACAACGTCCAAAAGTTGGAAAATCGAAAAACTGAAAAATTTTTAAATGAAAATTCGAATTACAAATCGTAAAATTGACGAAATAAAAAACGTGAAAAATTGTAGAAAAGAAAAATTGAAAAAATTGAGATTGAAAAAGCAAAAAATTATAAAATCGCAAGACTGAAAAATCGAAAAATTGTAAATGAAAATGTAAAAACTATAGAACTGAAACGAAAAATTTCAAATCGAAAATTTGAATAATCAAAAAATTGAAAAATTAAAAACTGAAAACTCGAGAAATTTTAAATGGAAAAATGACAAAATCTAAAAATTGAAAAATTGGAATATTTAAACGTAAAACTCAAAAAATTACAAATCGAAATATTGATAAATCCAAAAATTGAAAATTTTTTTACTGAAAAATGAAAAATTATAAAATCACAACTTCCAAAAGTTGGAAAATCGAAAAACTGAAAAATTTTTAAATGAAAATTCGAATTACAAATTGTAAAATCGACGAAATAAAAAACATGAAAAATTGTAAAAACGAAAAATTTAAAAAATTGAGATTGAATAAACAGAAAATTATAAAATCGCAAGACTGAAAAATCGAAAAATTGTAAAAGAAAATGTAAAAACTATACAACTGAAACGAAAAATTGCAAATCGAAAATTTGAATAATCAAAAAATTGAAAAATTAAAAACTGAAAATTCGAGAAATTTTAAATCGAAAAATTACAAAATATAAAAATTGAAAAATTGGAAAATTTAAACGTAAAACTCAAAAAATTACAAATCGAAATATTGATAAATCTAAAAATTTAAAATTTTTTCACTGAAAAATGAAAAATTATAAATTCGCAACATCCAAAAGTTAGAAAATCGAAAAACTGAAAAATTTTTAAATGAAAATTCGAATTACAAATCGTAAAATTGACGAAACAAAAAACGTGAAAAATTGTAAATCGAAAAATTGTACAAACGAAAAATTGAAAAAGTTGAGATTGAAAAAGCAAAAAATTATAAAATCGCAAGACTGAAAAACAGAAAAATTGTAAAAATG